AGCGTTGCGTGCGTACGCAATACGCTAGCTCTTCTATTGCGTTCTGCGCACGCGCACTGCCGACCCGCAATTTTATTGCGTACGCAAGGCTTTAGCGTACGATCCACTAAAACTGTCTAATGAACAAACGTATTCCTTTGGCTTCGTCTTCCTAAACTGCACAAAACTTTTTTTAATCCTTGGCCCAAGTTACGAAAGACCGCTAGGCCGGAACTAAACCACAAAAACAAAGAAGCGAAAATCGACCGATTTCAAACTGCCTATCACTGCGGCCGTATCACCTTGGAGCCAGTGACCTCCCTGCTTAGATTGCTCGCTATCTTATTTCGAAATTATCGGTATATCTGATAATGAGCACTCCGGCGGGGTCACAGCTCATAGGGTTTACTGCACTCTCAAGGAAAAAAGGGTGTAAAAGGGTGTATCGTTACACCCTTTGTCCCATATAATACACCCCAAGACTTCAATTCGACGTACAGCGCCCTACAGTCGAACAGACGGTCCCAAATTTTTAAAAGAGGCTTGATAACGGTGCAATATAACTTATTCAATAGCTAAAGTACGTATCAAAGATCACATAAAGAAAACATCGAGTTCTTACAGTAAAGCCAAGAAAACCCCGATTTTTTTGTTGTTGTCAGTAAAACATACATTAGCTATTTTAATAAGTTGTATCACATGGCTATCAAGCCGTTCGTAAAATTTCGGGCCGTCTGCTCGACTGTTGGGCGCTGTACGTCGAATTGAAGTTTTGGGGTGTATTATATGGGACAATGGGTGTAACGATACACCCTTTTACACCCTTTTTTCTTGAGAGTGTGGAGCTTGAGCACCCCAGCAACAATGTGGCGCCGGATAAAATTTATATTATTAAAAAAAAAACGGTTACTTTGCAGGCGAGCTGGTATGAGTTATACATGATGAGTAAAACCTGAGACCGTGGTTTGAAAAATGAAAACTCGTGAAGTGGGAAGAAAAAGGGGCAGATAACGTCTCAAACTCAGCTAAAAAACTTTATTGCCTCTACGCCTTTTATACATCTCCCCCGAACGTCGCCACCACCACAACGGTTGGTCATCGAACTACAAACAATACGCGGTGTGGTGTATTGTGATTCTGTGGTGTATTGTGATTGTATAGTTCGATGATCAACCGCGGTGGTGGTGGCGACGTTCGGGGCAGGTGTAGGCGTAGAGGCAATAAAGTTTTTAGCTGAGTGTGAGACGTTGTCTGTCCCTTTTTCTTCCTACTTCACGAGTTTCCTTTTTTCAAACCACAGTCTCAGGTTTCTATCATCATGTATATTATTAATCATCGTAACAAAAGCGCATATATCATTTTATTAAAAAAAAACCGGTCGAATAAAAGTAGAACATTAGCAATCGTCCTGCAAATTCTATTTTTATGTTTGTTTCTGACCCGGACAAGTTCTATGCGAAACACACATATAAGTTGTCCGGCCTAGCGGAAAGCTACATCAACTTCGTTTTAATGAAAACAATAAAGGGCAGGCGAGCTGGTGGAAGTTACACATGATGTATAACTTACACCTTGTCTGCCCCTTTTTCTTTCTCCTTCACAAGTCTCCGATGTCTTTAACCCTTTAAGGGTTTATGACGACCTCAACTCGTCACGAGCGATTGCCACTTTTTTGCTTATGACGAGCTCACCACGTCATGGGTACTTTGCTACTTTCTAAATGGCTGTTGACGAGCACAGCTCGTCAAGTAGCGTTTTCTGTTTAAAAACATAGATGGCAGCACCTTTTTTCATCCACGCTTTTCTTGAATGACAGTTTTCACACTAGATGGCAGCAGACGTTCCTTGTATGTAGAGTTCCTGTATAGCTCGTAGGGAGCCTATACAGGAACTCTACTTGTATGCAGAGCCGCTTGTATGCTCTCTTTGTTTTTTGCGTCTCGCCCTGTTCGCATGAGATTTTCCCGCGCTTTCAAACAAACATGGCATCATCCGTGCGTCGTTCGAGTGCGGTTGATTGTCATCCGTCAGATGACAGCGAAAGTGATGAGGATGTTGACTTCGATTTTGATTCTTCAAGTGAAGAAGATAGTGACGACAGTCTCAACGACAGCGAGTCAGATGACGAAGAAAGTATCGATGAGATGATCGCCAGCTCCCGTGCGTGGTGTCGCATAGACCTCAACAACCTCAACCTCAACAACAATTTGTCCTCTATCAGAAAGAAGGAGGCCGAGCATCCCACATGGATTACCGGCTGCAACTTGTTGACAAGATCATCACCAAGTATTCAGGGAATGGCAGTGCCAAGAAGAAAGGGCGGCCAGGATGTCCTCTGAACAAGAAGCGGCTTACTGAGCGCCACTTCCCGTCGCACATCCCGCCGACAGAGAAGAAGCGAGAACCGACACGCCGCTGCATTGTCTGCTACATGAAGAGAGACAGCAAGGGCAAGAACGTCCGCAAGGAAACTAGGATCTGGTGTAGGTGGTGCGAGAAGGCCTTGTGCGCAGTGCCGTGTTTTGAGCGCTATCACACCGTTGGTAGTCTCCAATAGTTGGGAGGGGATCAACGGAGGAAGTGTGCATTTTGTGTATTGGTATACATAACCAACCCTTTCTTTCCGGAGTTCAAGCAATGGACAATACATAACGGCCAATAAACATTATTATCTGCTGGAAAACTTTTGCAAAGGTGTTATCGTCTTTTAGACATGTTATTGAAGCATTTCACGCCATAAAAAAATTGAGCCATTTTGGTGCATTTTCTTTTTTTTTATTGAGCCCTTAAAGGGTTAAAACAGTCTCGGGCTTCAATCATCATGTATTCGGGAAAATCGATGGCCGAGTGGGCTAGCGTAAAGCCCGTCTATCCTGGAAAAAGTGGCGCCATTCATTGCTGTAGACCTGCTCGAGGAACGTGCCGCGCGCCACTTCTGGGAAATTCATGGCGTCTGAAATCTAGCTCAGTGCAATAACGTTGGCTCAGTGCTCAGTGCTGCACTGTGCCGCCATGATTTTCCCAAAGGCTGCAAGGTTGCGCGTGCCTCGTGCATCGACGAACATTGCGCTACTTTTGAAACATGAAGGGGCTTTAGGCTAGCGCACACCAGCTCGGAGCGCATGCAGCGAAAGCTCGCGCTGCAGAACCCAGGGATCTTGGGTTCGATCTGCCCGTTTCGATCTGGATGAGCATCACCGGCGTGCGGTCATGTATCACTACTGCGTGGTGCACGTTAAAGAACCCAGGCCAGCGGTTGTATACTGCACAGGCTGAATTGCTCATCTACAGCGAGTGACTCTTCGCAACTTTGAAATTGCTGACCAACCACACGCTGTATAAATATTTACACAACCCCAATTATTATTCATCATGTATTCGTTTTAATGTTTAAACAAACACACACACACAATCCAGCCTCTGCCTATAGGCAGAGATGAATCGCACTCATGCAAAAAATTTGAAACTTGACGGCATAAAAAAAAAAAGGGTGAAAAGAAAGAAAATTCGATAGACACGCGGAGTTGACCTCTGATGTTATACTGAGACAAATGGCAGAAATACGAAAAATTAGTAACTTCACGATAAACATCAAGTAACATCTTTTGGTGGGCTAGTTCGTTCATGATTTGTAGAAATAGACATGCCACAAAAAAAAAAAAAAAAAAAGAGGCGAGAAACGACAAGTTTGCATCAGACGATACCAGTAAAAAGCCCCAAATCCGGATGCCAAAGTTGCCGATTTGACCGTTATCTTAGTCGAAAGTTATAAGCGGTTTTCTCAAATTTGCAAAGGGAAAATGGCGGGCGATGGCGGCTCTCCGCGTGTACGAGGGCGGCTCGCGGCTCTCTGGTAAGCGTGCATTGCTTCCCCTTCTGTGTCCCCAAGACAAAAACTTTCAGCCTTTCCACTCTGGTGAATAAGGAAGACCAGCGAAGCTGTACTATGGTGGGAGCCGGCCGCAAGTCGGCAAGCCAGAGTGGAAAGGCTCGAAAGGTTGCCGCCGTCGCTCATAGATGGCGGTAGCTGGCTAAAGTTTTGTGTCATCAGGTCATTTGAGGACGGACACGATCCTGACCAAACTGGCCCCTAACAGATCCGCTGTAAAAATAGTCCTAGAATTCAAATAAAGCTCACAGTTTTGGCATCCTTGTACTATACTGCGTGCGCACAACTTGACTGATGTTTGACACATAGGTGTGTCCATTGGCCCCGTTTCCTTTATTGTTCTTGAAAGAATTTCGAACCGTACGCATAACGTGGTGAGGGGCAGCGGCTGGCTAGCAAACCATGGATTCATTTTTGCTTAGCGGTTGAAGAAACGTTCTGCTTCCTTGTGTTATTTGTTGTAGACAATTATACTTGTTCCCATTAGAAAGGACTGTTTCTTGTAAAAAGTAGCGCCCCCCCCCCCCCCCTTTTTTTTCAAGACCTTTGAATGAAATAACAGTTCTGAAATTTTCGGCATCTTAGCATTTGATTGACGTAGCAGACCGTTGCGCGAGCGTGCGACTGGCGCTTCTGTTGAATCAGTGAAGCGCTCATCGAATACATGCAGGTCCCGAAAACTGACGCAGCGTTTGTGGCCAACATGTGCGCCGCTCTGCTCTGGATTCCTTGAAGATGATGCGTTGCGTGAAAAACCCAGCTATGTGGAAAACAAACTCGAACAGCGGTCATTTGAGCGAATCGACGTTTTAGCAAATGACGGGGGCGCTCCACAGGTGCCGCCGGTGCCTTGGTCTAACATGTATACACCCGCCGGCCATATGAAGGTAAACACCTTACCTGGTTTCTTGCCTGTTTTACGGCTCCCTAAAGCTGTATTAACTCTCAACGTCTCAAATGGTACGTGTCCAAGGGTCTAAACTTTGCGTTCTAGCCCTCTTATGGAACAGAGCTTGTTCTAAAACTTGCGGGAGCGTCAAAAACAAGGAGCAGGTTGTTCACCTTCATATCGCTCATGGGTGTACCTCGCGCCTTCGCCTCCGCGATTGGCTCCGGCTGATTGCCAAGCACATGGGGCCCGTATGGACCCGCACTGGTTTCTACGACTCAAGACGCGAAGGTGGATCGTGGTTCCCGTACGCTCGCACGCCTTGATCAAAGCCATGCACGGACACCTCCTTGACAGTTCCGGTTTGAGGAAAGTATCGGTGTGATGAAAACAGCACGTCGGCGCGCTAGTCATTTCCCATGGTAAAAAAAGCGGCCCGTTTTGAAAGAACCCAGTTTAATGTGATCCATTTCCATACTGCCTCGACAGCACGATCGCCTCCGGATGTCCGCTTTTTACCGTGAACACCTTTCGTTGTTTTTGCAGAGGAAAAGTGACACATTCAGTCGCTCCCGGCCACTTTTAGGGTGCAAGATTCTGGGAAATTTCTCACCAGCCCGAAAGACCCCGTATAATCGGTTTAAAGCGACCAAATAACATCTCTTCTTTTTGCCAAACAAAACACCATTGTACCAAAATGGGGGAGGCACGTGTAACCAAGTGGAGAGGAGGTAACAACCATACTTCTTGTAACATAAAAAAAAAAAAAAACTTTAACGGTTTCATAACAGAGCTCCAAAAGGAGTAAACTCTAAACTGAGCACGTGCTCAGTTTACCCCTTTTGGGGCTGTGTCATTCAACCCTAAAACAAACGCCGACTTAGTCCAGCAGTCTTCGCGTTCGAGCTCCTCAAACAAGGACGCTGTAGGCACCGTCTGCCCGTAGTCCGACCCAGCATCGAAGTCTGCCGCGAAGGGGTCCGGCGTCTCCACATCGAGCGTCTCCACTTCGGTGGGTAGCACCAAGCGACACGCGTGCAGGAACATTCGTCGGGAGCTCGCGTCCTCCCCGTACGTAAAGTCCCCGACTATCGTGTGTCCCAGGGAGGCGCAGTGCACCCTCAACTGGTGCCGACGGCCAGTGACCGGTCTGAGCAGCACCTTCGTCGCCGGCCTGCCCTTGAGCAACCCACGCCACAGCACCAGGAGTCGCGTCTGGGCGTCCTTCGGACTCACGCAGTAGTCTTTGTCGGCCGTGCACATCTTGTGCGAGTGCTGCGGCCGTTTGTCCTCGCCGATCGGGCTGTCCACGAGAACGTGGTCGTCGCGGACGTGGCCCTCCAGGATGGCGACGTAGTACTTCTTAGCCAGCCGCTGGTGAAAGGCCCGTTGCGCTGAGCGCGCGGACTGTTTGTGCAGCGCCAGGCAGAGGACTCCGCTGGTGGAGAAGTCCAGCCGGTGGCAGAACCGAAAGCTGTGGTGCACTCCCGTGTCGACCAGTTCGGGATGAAGTCGCTTGAGGAGCGTCTCCACGGTCACCGGGTGCTCGTCGGGCCGCTGGGTGTTGATGACCACGTCCGCCGGTTTGTCCACCACCACGAAATGAGGGCTCAGATGTAGCACGCAAATGCTTCGCTCCGAAATGCCGTGATTGTCCTCCATAGGAAAACAAACGTGTGGATTGAATTGGATCGGCTCCGCCCGACTTAATTATCGGCTTGACTTGGTTAAGTTTTGGGATAATGATAGCGGTGGACCTTCCGCAGCTGAGGCGAGTTAGAGCTTTGAATAAATCCTAGCGATGTCAGCTTTTGTCTAGTAATCTTTATAAAATAATAAGGTTAATTAAACCGCCACGCTTTATTAGTTTGTTTCCAAACAATCACATTAACTTGGCATTGCCATGCGGTTGATGTGGTTGTGCGTGGACGAACACTTTGTAATCTCATAATTTTTCAGAGATACACAACCACATTTGCGCGGCATAAATTAGCTGCTTGCAGCCGGGGAATTGCGCAACACGCGCAACAGTCACCCAGCGGAGGTTGCGTAGTCGTACAACAAACAACTTCGGACACGCACACGTGACTTTCGATGTGCCTGCTTGCTGCGCTTGCTGCGAGCGCTTTCACAGTGGGCGTCTTCGAACCTTCCCCCCCTGAGGCCGAGCAAAAAGCGCTGCGTTGTCCCGGCACAGTGCTGCTGACGCGTCCCCGGTAGCGCTCAGTGATGATGACACTTCAAGACGGCACCGATGACTCTGCAAACATCACGGACGGATCGCTGAAGGTGAGCCTCACTGGTCAGTCCGTCGCCGACGTCGCCCCAGCAGCAACATGTTAGGCCTATCCCACTGGGACCTCGACGACTACTGGCACATGCGTTCCGGCCGCTCCGTGAGTGCCGCAACCGCCGACACCGACTCCGTTCAGGCGGGTTCCCCGCGACGCGGTCTTCGTAATCCGCGTCCGTTGCCACCGTCATTATGTTCGCGTTCCTAATACCCTTTTCCCCGTTTCGCCGGGTCCCGACTTGAAACGGTGCGATGGCTCGCCGAATGTTTTTCCGGATCGCCGCCGAACGCGACCGTCGCTTTTATTCCAACTGCGCACTCTGTTATTTAGAGAGTCGCGTTGGGGCTTCACCCTGAGTACGCCGCGTTCGGCTCCATATCTGTGTCATTTCGTTCGACGAGGAACGGCGGCTCGTAGGGGCGTGACATGCCGCCCAGTTTACACGTCGGGAGACACCCCCCTGCGACCGAAGCGTTGCACTGCTACGCACGCCGTCGGACTTCGGTTTTTGCCACGCGTCCCGGCTTCCACGTAAAACCAAAATCCCGGTCGTCTATTGTCACGGGCAGGATGGGAACTGCTGGACGTCTCTCGGATGACCGGCCCCCTGCACGCGCTTGTTGACTTCCGAGGCGCTTTGACTGCGCGAGCCACTCTGGATTCACGACACCCGAAGCGTTATCGAAGGCAGGAAGCTGGCGCTGAACCAGGGACAACTGAAAGTCCTTCCTGGTGTCCTCACTCTGTCGCTGACTCTAGCTGCGGCGTCTCAGTTTGCGTCACGAGAAGTTTCCGTTGCTTCCTTCCCCACGAGAGGCACCACAGTTAGTGTTGAAAGAAACGCGATAAAGAAAGGTTAAATGAAGCCGGGAGGCTCGTTCATTCCTTGCTGTTCCTGGGGTGCTATGTTGCGCTTTTTGCACTCCCAGGAGACTAGGGAGAAGGAAGTGACGTCAACAACGCAGCAAATGCAGATTGGATGTCGATTTTGTTTTCTTCTGTCAACATCCAATCTGCGTTTGCTCTAGTCGTTGACGTCACTTCCTTCTTCAAAGTCTCCTGGGAGTGCAAAAAGCGCAACATAGCACCCCTGACCTCGAGAGGATTTCTGAACGCGAGGCTGTACCGCGTGCGGTTTCCTTTCCGGCCTTCCCCTACTTCGATTTCGCCGTGCCTGTAATCTTTCAGTACCCCTTGCAATGTGAACGCGTCATGTAGACTGCTCTTACTTGTGATAGAGCGACCAGAGATTAATTGGCCGGAGTCGCGCTCGATTGTTGCAGGTTGGCAAAATTCTTTACAAATTGCATTTCGTCTAATGAAACTTGCTTCGTGATACCTCGTCGAACGTTTTGGAGAATGGTGTTTTTGCACCGCAACTGAGGCAGCTTTAGAAGGGCTGGTGCTAGCATCGCGGTGAGACGTCTGACCTGTTTGAGCAGGGCAATCACATTGTCGTTTAATATTTGTTTGCGGTTCGAGCTTCCTGTTAATTTCAGTGAAGTGCTGTCGAGACAACGGAAGGGATCATCTGGTTACACCCCTGGTCCACTGATGCCAGCAGTAGGAGTTTTTGCCCGTCGAGTATGTTTTTGTGTGGTAAAAAAGGGGGGGGGGGGGGAGGGGGGGATGTACTGAAGCATTGGTTGATAAATTGATAACCTGGCCTTTCAGTGAAATGGTGCTCAGTAAGATCACTACACTTGTCATGGTTTTTACTAGATTTGGTTGTCGGGCAAAAATACGCTTTTCGTATTTGAAACGTCTATGCACGACGTAAAAACAGGTACCTATAGCTTGTGTAGGAGACGCTTGTTAATTTTTCACTTCCATCTGCCCGTGGTCGGCATTATTTGGAGTTTCAGAAGAGCTAAAATGGTGGTCACTGAGCGCTTTATTCCTCGTGCATGCAGGCTTACAAGCAGGTGATTAGGTAGCTTATGCAAGCTTGTAACATGCAAACAGTTGTGCAACCCCTGTACAGCATAGGCAAACTGCATCATTTGGAGAGAACAGGGTAGTCCAGAAGAGGTCCTTGAAAAAGATTTGAGCATGTCAGTGATCGGGTGCTGACATGCTGCTGTGACAGCATGTTCAAGGCTGTCATGATGCAAAGTCTCAAGTTGACCAGCTGCTGTCTCGAGCAATTCTTAGGAACGTTTTTGCCTACCACCGACAGTATAACTGCAGAACCCTTTGTCATCTCTAAAACTGCATGGCTTCCAGACAATGACCTACGGTTGCAATGTCTTTCTGACATGGTATCTTTATCAGGGGAGTCAACCAGCCGAGCTGGCCTTTACTGTGCCAAGCACAATTTATGCCACACTGCATACCAATACTCTAGCGTAGTACAGGCCTGTTATTCCCAATTTCCTTTTAAATCTGTGTTTGTATGTTTCTCTTTTATGCTACATTCCTTCGTTCCCCAATACATAAAGTTCTTTGTTTGTTGTGCGTGGAGCTACAGGAAACGTGTTTGTGCCATTCCAGATGCGTTCGGACACTATTGACTTGGCCGACCAGTCTCTTCTCGTTGACATCTCTGATGCACTCAGCGAAAGGGACAAGGTCAAGTTCACGGTGCATACCAAGGTACCCCTTCTGCCTCATTGCCACCAGCCTGGGGACCACTTGGTGGTCCTGGAGTACTGCATTTTATAGCATCCACTGGAGACTAGAATGTAATTGGTTACTTAGAACCACACCAATTTCATTAAGGTTTGGGGTAGAAAAATCCAATCATCTCTAAATCGCTCCAAAAAGTAAGGTATCGCATGTGTTTTGCTTTACTGCTGAACATCACATTGATGTTTGCACACTCTGGTTGTGCCTTTTGGCATTTAAAATGGATGCAAGTTAAAGTGCTTGTAGAGGCACTCAACCTTGCTCTATGCAGCTTGTAGAGCAAGTTTCTTTTTGTGTCTGTTGTACACTTACGCCCTGAAAAACTTAGGTCTCCTAGTGAAACGTTGGCATGCCATTGAGGTTTACCAGAAGCTCTCTCTTCACATTCTTCTGCCAGCTTCGCTCCCCTTTTTGTTCTGTTTGGACTTACGACAGAAAGTAATAAGCTTAAGCTTCTTAGACTTCACTGCCTACGCTGTGAAATTTTCTTTAGAAGGGAGTCAAAGACAACAGGACTTCTAATATTTCGTCCCCATTGTAAAACTTAAGATGGGAGCATGTCACACCATCAGTTCTTTGAGGCACTTGGTGTGACGACAGTGACGCCCACCGTCCATGTCCGATTGCCACGTCGCTCGCTGTGTGTTTTGACAAATATTGCTGTACAGAGGGATGTGCAAAAGGACCTTCACCATAGTTTATTCAGGATTCTTCGCACTTGATGATCATGTAGTATTAGGTTATCATTGGGCAATGCCAGATTTTTTTCTCAGCTTACCAGGAAGTTCAGTGGTCAAAAAGGGATGACTGACACCAATTTTGTTTCACATAAGCTTCCCTCACAGCTTCGCGAACAAACCTTGGCTTGGTCGCAACACTAGGCCCATTCTGAAACATTCGATACCCACTGGATAACTTGTCATACCCTCCGAATAACAGGTTGTATTGCAGTTGCTTTGTTTCTGTCACCCACGCAGACAACCTTGGCGGACTTCCAGAAACCAGAGTTTTCGGTAGTGCGGCAGCATGAAGAATTCATCTGGTTGCACGATGCGCTCGAGGAGTGCGAAAACTATGCAGGGTTGATCGTGAGTTTCTCTCTTCTTTTAATGTACCATACTTTGTTTTACCTTACGATGAACCAGAGCGAATGCTACAACCCATCCCAACCAATCCGGTGCTGTGAACAAATTGCTCAACTATGCGCCCCCCTGCGTCGTGGCACCCGAAGGTCACATGACACACGTTGCATTGGGTTGACCTCAATGACTGTTAGCATCCCGTGCAGTTCATCGTAAGATGGTGAAACAAAGTATAGTGCTTAAGTAAATTATGTGGCCCTATGTTCAATAGCCTACGACGTAACCAACATTCTTCCACCGCCTTCCCAGATTCCGCCGGCGCCTCCGAGACCGGACTTTGATGCGTCCCGGGAGAAGCTCCAGAAGTTGGGCGAGGGAGAGGGCACCATGACCAAGGAGGAGTTTGCCAAAATGAAGCAGGAGCTGGAAGCGTGAGTGACCCGGGCCTTTTGAGCACCCAGTTTGATGGGGCACTGATCTCCTCAGTGCTTTGTTAGAGAACCGCATTGTGGCACCAGATTAACTGACAGTGGCTGTGTGCAGTTGGTACGAGCGCATCTGGCAGAGACTTTTCCCCAGAGGGCAAGTGGGCTGGCTTTTTAGGGGCGAAGCTTCTTAGGGTCTAGCCTTGCCCATCTGGCGTCCGTGCTCACATCAATCTTGCTGGTGCTCGTGCTCGTGAGCTCACGTGCTCGTGTAAATGAAAAAAAAAATGTTTGCGCAGTCCACAGGATTCGAACCTGTGCGGGGAGACCCCAATGGATGTCTAGTCCATCGCCTCAACCACTCGGCCATGACTGCGGGACGAGTAGGGGGCTCTAAGATGTGGTAGTAACTCAAGAGCTGGGGATGTCATGGATGAAACGTTGCATGCAGCCGCTCAACCTCTATACAGGAGGGGGTGCTGCGGTCAAATGCGTATATAATCGTGTTAAACTTTGCATGCATTGGCTCAACATTTATAGACGAGAGGGCGCTGCGGTCAAATGCTCAAATGCGTATATAACCACGTTCCATACCACACATTCTCTTTCTGACATGGATGAAAACGAACGAAAGGCTCGGCATGCTGCGGCTCAGCGTCTACGCAGACGAGCACCACCAGAGCTTCACCCCAATCAACATCATTCACCACGTGGAGATGCAGTCAATTTTTTTTCCTAGATTACGGGCTGCTTGATATAGAAAGCCCGAATGAAAACCAACACATCTGTCGACCAGATCTGGCCTGTTGTAGTTAACAGCTGTTAGAAGAATCCTTTTTTTGTCCTGGCATCAACATTGCAGATGTGAACTGGTCAAAAATCTAGATTCTCCGGTTTCAGCACATGTGGAGTGTCTGAGACTCTTGAAACGTTTGAGTGACCTTAGCAGTCTCAATTAGATGGATCTGCCCAGAGTTCCTTTCTGCCGAAAAGGTCAAAAGCTGCTGGTCCGAGGGGGTCCTTAATCCTCTGCTGCAATATCCTAAGTACCCGCCTCTTGTACTTTGCATTCAAATAGTCTGGAATTAAAAAAAAAAAAAGTTTAATCTTGTGGTTTGCACATTAAGCTGGGCCAGCTGTTTCTGTCCATCTACATGTCATGTCTATGCATTGCTCCGATTCGTGGGCTGACAAGCCGTGCCTGACGTGCAAGTGTGATAACCCAGACAATGGGATTTGAACAATAGGAAGGGCTTGCTTAGTTGTAATTTTATTCAGGGGTCCCTCGTATTTTTAAGTACTGACTCTGGATAGTCCTTCTGGATACACTGTTTCTGGTGCTTGGCTGATGCAAATAGAGTTGAATGATGATGCTTATTTTACCAGTATTGCAAAAATTCCAAAGGGGGACGAGTTATCTTTCAGTGTTCCGTCTCCTGTGTTATTCGAGGACCATTATTTTACAGTTCCTCATAGGGAGAAAATCCTTTCTCTGGTTTCAGATTGAGCTACTGAGGGACGATTGTGTTGAAAAATTCTTTTTCCCTCCGAAGTGCTTTCATAGTAAGTCTGTGACATCGGATGCCCCTTTTATATAGATGTTTCATAGTCCCAGCAGTAGGTGGCCTGCACTGATGTTACAACAGCAGCCGTTGTGAAGGGCCTTGCTGCTATGCGTGTACCTTTCCCGCTGCCAATTTCGTCTTTCAGAGCACATAGGTATTATCATTGATACGGTGCAATAACATTGCTCGCAAGTCGTGTGTAGATATTGCACTCGCCGCGTGGCACGCTCGGTGGGAACGGGAGACGAGGTTGGTCCTGTCTTGCAGGGAGTACCTGGCAACCTTCAAGAAGACTGTGGCGATGCACGAGCTGTTTCTTCAGCGCCTGGCCCTGCACCCGGTCTTCAGGGCAGACCGCAACTTCCACGTCTTCCTCGAGTACGACAAAGAGGTGGGCCTTTTAGACCTCGTCGGTCTGTGCCCTTGGGTCGAGTTCAAGGCCAGTTGTTCGACGGCCTGTTGCCGGGACCTGTTTTGGGGTGAAAATGTCGCAGGTAAACCGTTCTCAAGACCGAAGGCCCAAAGTTTAAAGGAAGCGAATTGGGATAGAAATTTGGGTGAGCTGGTTCGTACCTTTGAAATTAGAGCTACGACAGCACCAGTACAAGTAGAGCAAAGCCATTTTGTCTTTTTGGTGCTGGTCAATCTTTATTCGATCTTGCAAGGTTTTGCAGATAAACCACGATGTTCAGTCCTAGCAACGAGATTATTTTTGATTGTAAGGTATAGCTGTAGTATCTCTGCCAAGTAAAAGGACCTTTTGCACCTAAATTAGTGTTCCTGAAATTGCAACTCAACGATGGTCGTGACGAGTAATCTGCCTACGAGTGTGAGCTGCCGTGGCCAGAGCAGTAGTATTTGCAAGTAGTTTGGTTTTAGAAGTTACTTCACGAGTGTGGTGACCTGTTTATCTGCTCTTGGCCTGTGACAGTACTTTTCCTGAAACATGCAAATTTTTTTTATTCCTCTTTTGCACCTCAGCTGAGCGTGCGTGGCAAAAATAAGAAAGAAAAACTTGCTGGCCTCTTGACAAACATCGGCAAGTCTGCGGACGACCTCAGGCTTTCTAGCACACAAAAGGTGAGGACACTGCCAAATGCCGAGGACAAATTATGTCCTTCAAAAGTAAAAAAAAGAAAATAAACAGATCTTCACTCTTTTTCTGTTTTACTTCCTGTACAAAAATGTTAATGAATAGTTGTGAGAATGTGCTGTATAATTTTGGTATATTTAGACGGGCACGTGTTCTACGAACGGTTGGTGCTGGGTGGTTTAAAAGGTTCCTCAAATATATTAGGTTGTAAATTGTTAAAAAAATCTAAGTGTAAGAAATGTTCTTTCTAGTGTCTGGGGGAGGGGGGGGGGGGGGAGGAGAGAGAGAGAGAGGGAGGGGGGGGGGGGGGGCTAGGCTACCTTTGTGTCAATTCCTAAACACAAGGTTGTTTTCCCTTGCCTGTAGCTTCAGCATTTTTCCGCTCAAATGGGCTTTACAATGGCTTTTGCCGGGTCAGCAGTGCTGTGAAAGGGGTTGAGGAATTTTCTGGATACAGCCACGGAAAAAGTAAGATTTTATGCAAAGCCGGCCACATAATCTCAGTGGATAATCGAGTTGCAGTGTCAACATCTCGACAGTTTCCCCTAGAATTGGGTGTGCAAGACCATCGTAGCAGTGTGTGCCGCGCAGCCAAGTTTTGGCATTGCACTACGGAAAAGCCCGTTGTTATCACATTTTCTTTGCACTATTACGGTTCTAGCAAAAAGTTTGGTCTGCTTCCCGTTCCCAGGATGTGGACGAGTTCTTTGAGCACGAGCGCACATTCCTGGTAGAGTACCACACGCACATTCGTGACGCCACCGCCAAGTCTGACAAGATGACCAGGGCCCATAAGAGTGAGTCCGGCTCTGGCACCCTCTTTCCTTTTCTTGGGGATTTTGGACCTCGGCAGAAATAAATTCCAGCTGGGTTCTTTACGTGCGGCTGTCTACACAAGGAAATCACCAAAAGACTCGGTTCAAAGCACTTTTTTTTGGGGTGGGGTCGGAAATGGGTGGTCCATGCCATCACAAGGATTTTACGTCAACTGATCAACCCGCCGCAACTTTGCAAGCAGAACAAATTCAAGGTGTTCCATATGCAAAAGTACCAGTCGGCAGAAAAACAAGTACACTGTTGTAATGTGGCTGCATAAATTTTGATTTTACTGACTGTTTTGAGTGCTTCTTAAGTTAGGTAATAAAACGCTAAACTGCAAGGCCTTATTTTCCGCTGTCTTCCAACGTTTGCCATTTGTGTGTACGTACTAGTATTTTAAATCATTCCTGCGTCGCCAAGCATGTTTTCAGCAACATAGAAGTTCATGGTAAAGCCAGTTTCCACAGATAATGTGTTGCTGTTTCTTCTAATGCTGAAGGTTTTCGTGGCTTAAAAGTTGTTCAGTAATGTTTCCAGCATAACAACCTGTCCGTTATCCAAAATGGCAAGGCAATTGTCGGAAACTGCAAATGTGAAACTCGTGTGCTGCTGACTAAAATACAGGGAGGATGTTTTTTCACCTGGTCGTATACTTGCTGAGGTATGGCTACCCCCTTTCAGACGTGGCTGACAGCTACATCAAGATTTCGTCCTGCTTGACCCAGCTAGCAACCGTGGAATCCTCGGAGCTAGAAAAGTGAGTCAGCAAATTTGTGCTAATGCTGGAAAAGCTTTGTTCTCACAGAGCGTTGCTTTCTGAAGATGCCAGCCAGCACGACTAATAGCTTGATAGCATGCTTATTCTACTTGGAACATGCCTGAAGGCTTTAAAGGGACACTGAGAGGGTATTTATGCTCGCCGAGGTTTTTAGTTATATGTGACATATGAGAGCCTAACTACCCAGAACAGAATTTACGGCTCGAAATTCGGTTTCTTCCCGTCCAAAACCCGCCGATCCAGAACTGGGCGGTTTGAGTCGCGCTCGCTCTTTTCAGTGGTCACAGGCAGTTTTCTAAGGTTTCGACACGACGACCAAATTTAATCAGTCGTGGGTCATTGAAAGCACACAGTCAATACTAAAGAAAGAAAAAATATGAAACCCATTTTTTGTGGCTTCCAAAAAGCTGCAAATACGTTGATTGAAAAAAAAAAGTTGCACAGACAACCGGAAGCATTCTGTGCGTTCACTGCATAATTATCAACACTGCATCGTTTCGCGTATCGTGGGACTCGCGGGTGGCAGCGGACAACGGGCGTTGGACCTCTACCTCAGAACTCGTTTACGATACCGGCGAATTCTTTCTTCCTTCGAAAGAGAAATTTTGGACAGTTCAAAAGAATTGATATTCATCCCGTACGACACGCCCGACCAGCAAGCCGATTGCACAAAGACGTCGCCGAGCCGTCGTCCCTCCTTGTGGCTGAAGATATCGCTCGCTCAAACGTCAAGGTCGAAGTGCGTACTTCGAGTTGAATATGCACGCGTACGGTTTCTTTACTAGGTGCAAATGTGGCCAATGCACGGTGCCGCCCGACTTCAAGCCGGCAGTGCATGTATGGAAGGGAAATCGGCAGCAAACTTTCTGACACACAGTCGACCGGCTGCATTACTACGTACAAAAGAGTTCCTTCAGTAGCTTTTTGTTATTTTTTTTCAAACATTTTGTGATGTTTACGTTTCTTTTTTTTTACAACTATCGCGGAAGAAAACAATTGTGTTGGACATTACGTCGCTGAACTAAATGGTATGGGATTTCATTTTTGACACCTCTGCTGTACAATGCCACTTTCAGATGCAGGACATGTGAGGTAGCTCTTCACGCAACATCTTGGGAGTACAGTCGAATCACGTTAATTCAAACTCGAGGGGGACCAAAAATTTGTTTGAATAAAGCAAACTTTGAATTACCGGGAGTTTCCTCCCATAGAGACGCATAGTATGGGACCTGCATCTTAGTTTGAATTTTCCAGAAGTTTGAATTAACGAGCTTTGGTACTGTATTTTTTTCGGAGCCGATCACGGGAATTCACCACGGGCACTCACTACTAATTGCCAACACTTAAAAGTAGAAAACAACTCATAGTATAGAACAGCGAGTGGAACAAACATAACTGCAAAGGAATCGCACGGCAAACGTATCCCGCAACGCTTTTTGTCTGCTGCGTGCAAAAGAAAAAAAGAAAAATCGCACGGTTCAGTGTAGCCACGTGACTTTCACCACTCGCTCTCTCCTCTCCACTTCTGCGTGTGGTGCGGGGGTTTCGGTTTCGAGCAGTTGCGTTTGTTGGCTTTATTAAATAAATATGCGACTCTGCAGCAAAATATTAATTGGGTAGTATTCAGACACCATAATAAATCGCCTGGCAAAAAATGAAAAAAAAAAAAAAAAAATTTGGGGGGTTTCAGTGTCCCTTTAATGTAATTTCCTTTCATGTGGCAACCATGTTACTAAAGCTAAATCAGCCTTAGTGCATGAGGAGCATTTCTTGGTGGACTGTGTTCAAGGCTGCTAAAGTGCAGACTAACATCTTAGCGAGTGGCTCTTCAACAAATATTTTAGAGTTTAAGGATGTTCAAAATTTGCTTTTGAGTTGAGTTGTTCTAATGAGAATCGTGATGCAAGTTTGATGTTATCGTCTGTGTCACCACTTCACTTTGTTAGCCATTGAGTGAACAAAGGTTTTCTAGAAATTTGCACCTTTTTATTTTCCAGGTTTTTCCCCAAAGTGTCTGAAAGCTTTGAGAAAGCAAGGGTGAGCTCTTGGCACTCTTTTTAATTCTGAAGGAAGCAGCATTGCTGACTGGCAATTCTTTGGTAGACGAGCTACTGAAGCATGTGAACCATGTCAGCTTGGACCTCGTAGAAATATTTTGTCTGAAACACTCAAGATGCATGATTATCTTTGTTGCTTAAATTTTCACCACTTCCAGAGTTTAGTGCTCTGCTAAGTGAACATTCCAATATGGGTCTACCAATCAGCAGGTACAAACACAGGCTGCACAAACCGTGCAAAAATTTATATTGCATGCCAATAAATGTTTGCGTTGGCTGCTGCTTTGCTAGCTTTCCTGTAGTTCTTTTGCATTGGATTTTCGTTAGAAAGTACAGGTGTGCAAATAGTGGTGTTAGAAAGTACAGGTGTGCAAATAGTGGTGTTAGAAAGTACAGGTGTGCAAATAGTGGTTTGAATCGAATGGTGCAGTGCTGCTCCTCGTTTCGACACTGTAGGCGTGTTTATTTTTACTCCTGTGCTGCGAAAGCCACAAATGATTCGGCGTTGTTAGATTTGAACTATAGTCGATTCACACACCCTTCATTAAAGTGCTTAAAATTGTTGGCGTATTATTGGAACTTAACCTGGGGCCAGATTGCTGAAGTCATGGGTACAGTGTTGTTTCTCTTGGGGACTCCTAGCTTGGCGCAGATATTTTGTGCATTGAATGAAAGTTCTATTTCGCACTCATTTTATTTGCCAGAAAATTGAGGGACGGGTTGCAACGGACGAAGACCTGAAGCTGTCGGACACCCTGAGGTACTACATGCGTGATACATCGGCTGCCAAAGTAAGCTCCTTTCCTCTTGTATTTTACGGTTTGAGCCATTAGTGCTTGCGCGTGCTACTAGGCTTCAGCCGCCAAGCTTTTTCACTTAATCCTAATTTTACACTGTTTGTGTGCGACAGCATGATTGTGCTCTGGTGGACTGCATTTGTAAATGACTCCCTTCATCACGGCTTTACGATTGTGTCTAGTCTTGGCTTGACCAGAATTTTGAATGATGGCAAAAGGACGAAGGTTCGGGGGTGGAGAGCCTTACACAACGAGGTCCCCGACGTACATCGCACGTTGTGTCGTCAGCGGCGAGGATATTTGTGCAACATTTGTTTGCCATTTCAGGACCTTTTGTACCGGCGACTGCGCTGCCTTGCCAACTACGAGAACGCCAATCGTGCGCTGGAGCGAGCAAGGAACAAGAACAAGGATGTCCAAGCTGTGAGAAACCCTCTATCCATCGTATTCTCTTCTGCCTATTGTCTATGTATCCAATATAACTATAGACAGTCGCAAACATGGCTTCCCGACCGGTGCCCCATACATGCAAGCACGTGCTGGGTCCACGTGCCATGTAGCGTTGGCAAGCTTGCAATTGTACGGGCTTGTGTGCGCGAGCAGAAACATGGCGGCGGCCAGTCACCCCATTTGCAGTTGTGTAGTTGATCTATGTTAACTATATATCCCATCTGTCCTATCTTAATATATTAATCAATTAAACGGTTAATTTTGACGTGGCCCCATTTTGGTAACATGGCGTGCTAATTTATTTCATTCCTAATTGGTGTATCCTAACTAGATATCCTATCTGATCTGTCTAAAAATTGCAGTCTGATTTTGTTGTCTTGGTAAGATGGCATGCGGCAACAAATAATTTTATGATAGAACACTCGGAAACTTATACTCTCAAATATTAGTTGGTGCAGTGTAGACAAGTTGTCAGCATTTTCTTTTTTATTCTTTTGCTGCTGCAGGCTGAAGTTTTGCAGCAAGAGGCTTGCGAATCGTTCGAGAACATTTCCAAACAGGCGAAACAGGGTAAGTTTGGGAATTGTTTGCCTACCAGGTCGTGTTGCTTTGCTCTCTGCAAAGACACTTGGCCTTCGTGCCTGCAGGGATGCTCGAGACTGCCATGTCTTCTGCAGTCTAAATTGTTTTCTTGAAACATTTTCTCGGTTGCCCGTGTTGCAGAGTTGACGGACTTCAAGACACGCAGGGTAAACAACTTCCGCAAGAACCTGATTGAACTGGCCGAACTAGAGCTCAAGCATGCCAAGGTGGGTGCTGTCCCTCTCTGTTCGCGACTTCCCGACTTTGCTGTTTAAGTGATGTGTCCGGATCGCCTGTCTAAGTGAGCTAAAGCTGGTAAAGTCGGTGATTGTCTTTGAAATGGGAACTAGTGGAGGAGGAAAGCTGTCCCGATGAGGCTAAATTTGTTGCGGGGAAAAATGCTTGCACACGTGCTAACAGTTGCATTAGGTACCATCTAGAGTTTTCCTAAATTATCTGTCAGTCATTCATTTTTTGGCCAGACCCAATAATTTTATTTGCAAGTTGCGCGCACCCAACAAATTTGCAAAATGACCTCGCTCTTTCTGTAACATGCAAAGAGCCAATTACTGCAGCCTGCAAAAATATGGGCAAATGAAGCACAAGAAATTTTTGTGCTGCGAGGCACCAAGTGCACCGTTTCGTAGCATTGGGAAGCAATGAAACAGGCCCAATGGATCATTCCGCAGCACCTCCCATCGTCTTTCGACGCACTACGGCAATCCGACGTACGGCGGGTGAAGGAGTAGCCAGAAATAGGGGCGGTGCACATTTGTTTAGCATATTGCAAATAGAGAACACAAGGAAAGCAGGACCGTAACAAAACGGGGTCTGTTTTGGTGCGTTTGCTCAGTCTTCTGTGTGTTCTGAACTCGCAGTTGTAGTAAAAGAGGATTCGGGTCGTTTCCAGGATGCATGGGGTGTACGAGCCTGCCCGAACATACATCGAAACTGCCCCACAATTTCTTGCGTTGCGCAGTGCAGTGCGGGACTAATGGAGGCCTTGTGGCATTTTTTGGAAAGGTCTATTATGGTCTTCATGTACCAGTGTCAATACTAGCGCAGACGCGAATGGCCGTGGCTAGACGTTCACATTGTGAACACAAAGAAAAGAATAGAGTGCATTTCTGTTGAAAGTACCCCAGCGACATTCTGACCACCGGGATGCATATACCGTATATTGCCGCATATAGTTCGGCTCAGAGTATAGGCCTTATTTTCCCAAATTTCAAAAAATATATTGATTTCTGAAAAGATTGACTTATAGGCAGCAATATATTGTACTTACTCGCTGTTTTGCTACTGGAAAGCTTTCTACAAGTCGCTCGAATTGTGCCGTCACAGTTCAGCGATTGTTGCGAACTTGCTCGAGCGATTGAGAGGAGTAATGCAATCATTTTGTTTCTACCGTATTTACTCGCATAATGAACGCACCCTCCACAACGAGCATCAATATTTGGGTGTTTTTTTTCCTCGCATAATGAACGCATCTCCAATTTTTGGATCCGCGACTAACTGCATCCAGGACAGCTAGCTACCGAACCAATTTTCTTTCGCCGCCAAGCGGCCAGGCCGAGTAAAGTCAAGCAAAGCCACTCTTGTAATGGCTGCAAGTGTGTAGTTGCGAAAGTGATCAACCGTGAAACCTAGCGGCACGCACACCTAACGAAGCTGGGGTTGAGGAATAGCCCAGTCCCGGACATGCTTCGCCCATTGGATGCATTGATGTCAACAAACACGCTGCCATCTGTGGTGTGCTTTCGGACAGTGAAATCATAAGTGGTTAGGCCTAAGAATGGTTGTCGCTCTTCATGCTGAGTGAGCTTCATAGGGTGCTTTTCCTTCAATAAAAGTCATGCCAAAAGTGCCCTAAAATGTTTGCAATTTAGAGAGCATGGTTACTGTGGTGTGCTCACAATCAGTTGCGGGCGCACCTTCATGAGTGGAGATGTGCCAAAGTACGCTGCCGTGTCATATTGGCACCTAAAATGACATTTGTGCCAGGTGTGTAAATGCAAAAATTATACCCCGTGCTATGAATGCACCCCCTAAATATGTGTCAATTTTTCGGGTACAAAGTGTGTTCATTACGCGTGTAAATACGGTATCTGTCTTTTCTATCTTCAACGGCACTTTGTTGACAAAAACCCTATAGTCCCACAATTGCACCAGTCCAAAAAAAGAGTAAGTTTTCTGCAGAACACGGAGGTAGCCAATCACTGCGAACAAGAAAAGGATCGCAGCAAATGGCTAAGCTCCAAATAGTTTTTTTTTTTTTTTTTCAAGTCAAGTTGAATTTTTGGCTTTCTTATTTGCCGTGATCGGCAGTCTGTGTTGTGCAGGAAGGTTCACTCAAACTCTTTATAGGGTGTACTCTGCCTAGTGTAATAAGCCCGGAGCGTTTCCCCCCTCTTTCAGGCCCAGGTGCAACTGCTCAAGAGTAGCATAGCACTGGTGAAGGGCGAGCCCATGAAGGCGTGACGTGGAGTCGGGAGCCGTGCTGCCTAAGGTAGCTGCCTGGTGCTACCGGGAGGAGCTGTACCATACGCTGTAAATGCCACTCGCAAAGGGGCTCCTATTTTGATGTGTATTTATTTCGATTCCTTCCGCTCTTCTCCAGGAACTTCTCCCTCCCCTTTTTTTCACGGAAGGCTTTTGAAACAATAAAAAGGATTTATTCAGGTTGCCGCTGGCGTGTTGCCTCTTGCAGTGATGTGATTGGCCAGAGTCATTTTGGAGCAGCTCTTGGAGCAGCCAAAAGTCAATTTTGGAGCAGCAAAAATAACTCTTGTAGCATCATTTGTATTCATACTAATGCAGACATTATGTCAAGATTAATGTGTCGGCATGTCCAACTAAAAGACAATGTCTGCATTGACTTCTCACTGACGTGCAACTCTTTGTTATCATCACATGCACAGCAGGAGTGAGTCCTTCAAACACAAAACTAGCGTTTAGTTGTGTGGAGAAGCACCAGACAGGGTGAGATGGTAAGTGATGAAGGACAAACTGCAGTGAATGGTTATTTTAGGTACTGAATGGCAGTGAAATACAATAATATTAAGCCGATAAATTAATGTTTCCTTCAAGTTCAAAAGGTTGTAATAAAACAGCAATTCTTAAGTCAGATAAAAAAAACAAAGCACTTGTCATTTGATAATGATCGTCAATTACATTTTATGTGTAGAACTTCATAAGAAAAACGGCATGTGAACAAAAACTTAAAAACAATCCCGCCGAATTCATTAAGGTTTTTCCCGAGCTTCCATTCACTGCTCCTGCCAACTTCGTTCTACTCACATCTGTATAAAAGTCGTAGCTAAATAAATGATCTGTCATAGATAAATAAACATACGAAAGAGCGCATATAAATGTCCTTGCAATAGCGAAGTATCCTTGCTAAGTCTCGATTTGGAAAACGGTACTGCCAGGATATCGTAGTCTATGAGGATATCGTAGTCTTTCATTTATACGAGCCGAAATTGTGATGCGTCTCGCTCTCGAGGAGTGCTTTCCCCTTAGCACGGGGGTACGCTGTGGCGAAGCAAGACACGCAAAATCGCGATGCTTACTTTGAGGTAACCGTAAAAAAGCACAAAACGAACAGGAGGACAAAAACAGACATGCACCCCATAAGAGCATGTACAGAGCGCGACACTGTTAGCGCGAACAAGCGATCGCCGGTTTTTCTAGCTTTTCTTTTTGAAACCGAGGGATGTCATCCAAGTTATTATTGCTGCGGAAAGAGCTTATTTAGTTCTATAGTGTAAGCGATAAAATTTTGTGCTCGATATTATTATTTAGAAGTAAAATGCGAAAATGTGCCGATGTCGTGTTCGCGCCAACAGTGTCGCGGTGTGTACATGTCTGTTTTCGTCCTCCTGCTCGTTTTGTGCTTCCTTACTGCTACGTCTGTTCCAACACGCTCGTCAAAATCTTCTTTGAGGTTCTCGCTTCTCTGCAGTACACCAGTGCGCGAGGAGAAGCGCACTCAACGAGACTAACTAATCCTCCAGCAGAACAGATGACGAACATGATAATTATTAGGGAACTTCCAAGTACTGTCAGCATTTCATACGAAATGCGATCGAATAGTACTTTATTCGAGACGATAGTCAAAAGTTCTGAGTACTCGCATAACATATAACGGTCCGGCCGGGCAGAGAGGCCCGAGCTTTTATATTTTCAGTAGTGAAATTAAGTTTTGGCGCAACGTTGGCGCAAATTCCTTACATTTTACTAAAATGTAGCAGGGTAAGCACATTTGCGCAGTTTGGCGCAAATGGCGCAGCAATCACATCACTGCTCTTGGGGGTGTCGCAAAAATGCATAGCAAATGGGTGGCCAATTGTGTTGCACGTGAAACGTGAGGTGTCTACGTTTGGCACTCTTCATTGGTTAGTCTTGCGAATGGCTTAGTGCGTGGCACGCACACTCAATAGCAATTCCTGGAGTAGATGCCGGTTCTAACCCGCGTTAGCGTGACTGGGTGTCAAGTTGCTATCTGCCGGATGCAGAGCGGATGCCTTGCACCTCTTTTCCCTTAAATCTCACCTAAAACTTGTGGTGATGTGTCGTGACATGCTCTAAAGATGTTCGCTTAATAATCCGAATGAACTGGGTTCGATTCCCATCTGGTGCAAACGCTTTCTTTATTGCAATGGCCTCTTCCCCACTTGGTGGCTCCGAGGCGAGAGCGCTGGCCTACGGATCCCCATGTGGCGGGTTCGAATCCCGGCCGAGGTGCCCACAATTTGATGGAAGCTTATTGCGGAGAAGGTGCAATAAGCCTCCATCAGCGTAACTGAGCTTTCGGTTCTCGTCAAAAGATCCCCAGGTGGTCTCAATCCTCAGTCCTCTGCTGGGGCGTGCCAGATGCCCGTCATTGGTTTGGCACGTGAAACTCCCAAATTTTTTTTCCCCAATCGATGTCTAGCCTTGCGGCCATGCTTTTATCCAAACTTCACTTTTGGGCTGAACTGAAATACTGAACGGGGATCTGGTGAAGCAGTTATACTGTTGAGAAGTAAGGTAATGAGGTGGCAGGTAAAAGGGTAGGGTGGGGGGGGATAACGTGATGGGGTGCCTTGGCAAGGTCTAGTCAAGGGGTGGCCAAGCTTCGGCCTGAGCAGCATGCGGCTCTTTGCGTGTTAAAGTGCAGCTCGCGGCTCTCCCCCTCTTCCCCCGCCTCCCTCCCAGCCACAGGAGCGCTTCCCCAAAAAGAGAAGTGGAACGTGTTTTAAATAGAAAGACAGGTTGCTGTTTGGTAGCTTTGATACTGCTACCTTGCGTATAGTGGGCTGCTTTTGACTCGGATAAATTGAAAGTAGTTGGAGTTTCTTTTATTCCTCTAAACAAAAGTTTGCCCCCTCCCCACGACTCTTGGAAGTTTCGTGGTTTTTGTTTGCGGCTCTTGGGCCGTGTCAGCCTGGCCACCCCTGGTCTAGTCACTAGTGTGTTGGAGGTGAGTGGGAACTGCAGAAGAGCCTTAGGTGTGCTGTCAAGCAGAAACTGTTTTAGAGTTATCCAAGGTTATAGAGTAACTCAGTTGGGAAACTGCCTTAGGAGTCTGCTTTGAAAATGGAGAGCCCTTCCACTTTACGTGAAGATGGAGGATCAGCGAAGCTGTTATCTTTACGACGTCTACGACGATGCCTAGAGGATGATGTCTAGGACGACCTCGAGGACAATGTCTAGAACGACCTCAAGGACGACTTCTAGGATGACCTCTAGGACGACCTCAAGGATCACTTTTAGGACAAACTTGAGGACAACTTCTCGGATGACTTCTTGGACGACTTCTAGGACGACGCATAGAGAAATTCAGCCTTTCCACTCTGTTGAAAACCAGAGTGGAAAGGCTGGAAAGGTTGCCGTCGCTCACACGGTGGTAGCTGTCCAGAGTCGTGTTCACATTTATTTGCCCGCGGACACGATACTGGGGAGACTAGCCCTTAGAGCTCCGCTGTAAAAGTCCTGCTCCTGTCTTTGCGCTGTTTGGCTGGATACTTTAGGACGAGAGATTTCGTGCAAATCTATTTAGTGCAAACCTTTTGCGCTTTGAAAATGTGAACCTCAAATTTCGATCAACTTCTTTGCGAAAGGTCTGTGTTGCAGCGAGAGGCGGGGAGCACATGTAGCGCTACTCCTAAGTTCCATAGACCGGCGATAATGGTAATAATTTGTGACTTGTTTGTTTTTGTATTGTTTGGATTGGTTGTGAGCGCCAACAAGTGTTCCAGATTAACAGTCCCTACCGGCGAATAAAACAGCCTAAGAGCGCAGCCAGCACGAAAAATCTTTGAGGCCATGATAAAGCAACCTACGTTTTGACTCCGCTAAAGGGCGGCGCTGTAATCGTATCTAGTTCAATCTCGGTGGACGCAAGCAGTTCAAGTGAGTTTCCCAACCGGGTGTTTTAGTAACGATGGAGTTGTCCCTAAGCGCTAGTGTGATGGGAGAGGCAACTGACTGCATTGATGGCCTACCATGTGTCACTAGGGCACCTGGTGCTGGATGCACATCAACCCAGACCCTGCCTTTTCCTCTCCGGTAACTTCAGACTTTCATGCTGATCCTTGTTCCTGTGGCTTTAGGATGGATAGACCCTAGAGGCACACGGTTCATGTGATGATCCCCACACCAATACATTTTCCAGCAGCTGTGCATTTGTGCAATGATAACTTTCTTTTCAGCAAATACATGTTAAATCATACTTAAATGTGATAGCATTTCTTGATGCTAGGGTTGCCAGATTTTGATGACTGCACATCTCAAGCTCATCATCAGTTTCAGAAACTTTTAGGTAGGATTTCATTGAGGTATCTGCCATGTTATCTTTCTTAGTGTGGTTGTGGGAATTTTCTAAAAGTAGCTTCAAATAAAAGTGTGTAGCAAATTTCTGGGTCATTTTGTTGCACGTGGAACGTGTGGCATGTTTACCTAGACGATACCTTGGCATTTCATGCTTTACACTATTGCCCTGCAATCTGCTTCGGTCCAATTCCTTTGGGATTGACGTCTATGCTTTCGGCGGTTTTCATCGGTTAGTTTAGCGACTGGCTTAACGCGTGGCATGTACACTCGATGACAATTCCTGGAATGGAGATACTGGTGTTAACCCGGGTTATAAACCCCTGGCACTCTTCCCTCCGTAGCTGCAGATGTTTCTACGACGACATCCAACCACTGCTTGGAGCAAGCGGTGGCGCGCGAGTGATTGCGCAATTGCCAGCCAAACGGCGTTGAGCTAGGGGGTGTGACGTCATCACCTGGCTCAGCCAATCAACATCCGAGTTAATTGGCAGCTTCATCTTTCGGATTCAAATTTCTAGACGGCCACCCGATGAGAAGCATGCTTCATGTGAATACGCTCTTTAATATGCACTTTGAGGTGAACTGCGATATTCATGCTTTTTGAAGTGTTGATCGCGGCGAATTAGCGGCGAGTGCACTTCTTACCAAGCACCGATGCACGGCGGAGAAGCAAGCTCCACGGGTGTTGGTTCAGGGTGCACCGGTGGTTGGCAAGAAGCATGCTTAAAGGCTGACGACCAGACTCGAGATTCTGCAAGGCAGAAGACCCTCCTCTCCACGCCTTCGGGCGAGGGAAGCGAAGGATGGAAAGAAGGGACCTGGAGGGGCGGGCGTGGGTGGAAAGGGTAGGAGGGAGAGGAGGAAGTGGGCGAAAAGTGGAAAGCGCGAACTGGTCGTCGGTCTTTAACAGAGCTCACCCACCATGATCAACGCTTCGATAAGTATAAATATCGCAGTCACATGCTTGGGAGAGGAGCAGTTATAAAACAAGATGATGCATGCGCTTCTCATGTCCCAACAACCTGTGTTGATCATTCGCAACTTTTTTTCTTTAAAATTTCCGATTGAAGAAAGGATCTTTGCATACAGCAAGATTTAGAAATACCCTCAATGAAATATAGCTCAGCACCTCAATAGGTTGAATTTTATGTCAAGCCTGTCTATGTGCCTCCCCAATATAGGCACTGGACTTTGAGGCCACATTCCGTAAATATATTAATTTGGCTTGGAAATGGGCAAGTGGAAGCTTGAGAACAACCTTCAGAAATTCATCTGGATTTTGTTTTAGGTGCAGTGAGAGTTTCGGCAAAACTATTCAATATTCAATTTGAAAATATGTGGAAAACCACTATTTGCTTTGAATTCGTTTAAAAAAAACTCTTTGCACATGCCTATTTCTATGTGATACGAAAGAGAACTGGATTGTTTTCTTAATATTGAAAGTGAAACCAAGTTGCCCTTAATTATTTAGCCAGAGCAATTCGCTGTAGTCTGCAGAAAATTAAGCAAATTTTTACTCTCTGAGTAACTTTTCCAGGAAATTCCACCAGTTTTTACTGAATTTGCAAGCAGTGAACATTAATCTAAGTGTGAAACATTCCCCATTCCCCCCTCCCTTCCCCCCCACTGGCAAAGAAAAAAAAAGTTAATCCCAGTGGTGAAATGTATGAACACTTTATTTCACATACCGATCATCGCCAAACATTTTTACATGTTGGCAAGTGAGAACGCAGTCGGGCTCACTCAATCACTCGGCAGTAAGCTTTCATTAAATTTTCAGCACAGTCACTAGTTCGTACAAAATGCAGACTCTTGGATGTAAATTCAACTATACAAGGTAGTGAAAAAAAAGGCCCTCCATGCTTTCTGCCTGTTTGACCCCCCCCCCCCCCCCCCCTCCATGCACATGAGAAGCACAGATGCATGATGCAATTGGTCAATTAACAGTTCTCAGAAAACATGACTTCTACAACCCTCTAGAAGCCATGAAGGTTGAATTTTATGGTGCACAAAGGGTACAGCCAACCAGCATGAAGTAGCAAGCCCACTAAAATGTAAAAAAAGAAAAGAAACCTGAGACTGGAAAACACATATTTGTGTGCTTGTCTTTTTTTTTTTTTTTGAAGTTAGAAGCATGGTTTTAAAATAAAATGCCCATTGACAATTGTAAAGTGAAGATAATGTGCAAAAAAGACTGACTGATGACAGAGTATATGACTTCCAGAAAAATAAAAGGCAATACGGTGTTCAAGGAGGTATATCTTCAATGTGACGAGAATACTCGCATTGCAAAGAAACAGTTCCAATGAAATCACAAAAAGAAAAATGTCAGGAGCCCCGGCTTCGAAAACATTTCTGCGCACGTGAAAACGATTCAACCTTTTGGTGCCTGGCACCGCCACGATACCAACGGCACATCCTTCCGAAACAGTCTCTTTCGACGCCACAACTCGCTGCAGATGCACTACGCCGATCGCCCCCCCCCCCCCCCCCCCTAAAAGTGGTGCTCGCCCCTGGCCCCCCGGCCCCCCTGTCCCCCCCTGCCTCCCCTCCAGTTGGGTCCCCACATGGGGGAGCCCCTTCCCTGGGGAACCATGCCCCTCAGTCTGACCCTGCGACTCCGCTGGCCCCTCGGTCCCGGAGGTCGCGACATGGGGGTCCGCGACAAGGGGGGCCGAGAGGCCGCCCCCCGCGGTGCCACCTGCCCCGGAACACCGGTGACGCCGACCCCCCTCTGCGGCGGCGGCGAGAAGTGGGGGCTCAAGGGCAGCGGAGGGGTGGCGAGCAGCGCAGGCACGGCTGCCGGAGCGGCGTGGGCGACGGCAAGCACGGCTGGGCTCGCAACTTGAACCGCGGGGATGACGGGTGTTGCGGGTTCGGGGTCCTTCCAGACGATGCGACGGCGTTGCGGTTGCGTCTGCTGCTGCTGCTGTTGCTGCTGCGCCGCAGAACCTGAAGTTGAGGGATGGAAAGTTGGCAGACGTCGCCGGGTGGGTCACGACACGGGCTTGGGGTTGAAATACGCAATTCTGGCAATGTTATAGGCAACCATTCATCATTGAAAGTACATGGAATTGATATCACAAATAAAGCAAAAATCTTCAGTCTAGTTATATGCAGGTGAGGAGAGAGAGCAAAAACATTTTTACTTTTGTGTCTAGAGCTCCGTTCTAGTAGTCTACCATTCTTTGCCGAACAGGTTTTTAACGGGTTGAACAAGAAGGGGCTAGAACGCGGTCTCGAGCATCCTGGAGGGTTGGCCCACTATGCCGCAGCTCTGAGCAGTCAAAATGGTGCTCAATAGCTTCATTTGCATATCATAGATTTCGTAACGAAGAGTGACACATCTTCTTATGCAGGTATGTAAAGTTGTCCTAGAGGGCTGAAAATTTGCACAGTACACCTACATCTGAAGTGAAATCTCCCCCGCAAGTTTCATTCCGACCACCCGATTAGTTCAGAAGTTCAACTCCTAGCCAGTGTCCCCTTTTAAGGTCTAGGAAAGTATGACGAACGCCACTATGAAACATGTAACATATACTACAGAGGACAATCTGTACAAAAGAGTGGTAAACTTAGCTCGACATCCTACCACTGTGCCAATCAGTGGGTAAATGCAAAGCTAGCTGACTGTCTCTACCTCGGTGGTCCCTACCAACTGTTCAAACACAAACACTGATCGCTGGCATTCTAGCAGTTTATGAGAAGGAGCGAGAAATCCATCACATTAAAAAGGACAGAGTATGCAATAAAATAACGTGCTATAACTAGGGTTCAGTGTTTTCGGGTAAATCCGAAAAACGGTGAAAAACACCCACCGGTAAAATTTTGGTCAATTCAGATTTATTCGAAAAACTCAGAATTTTGATGAGCCAATAAGCCCCCCCCCCCCCAAAAAAAAAAAAAAAAAAAATAAAGACACTATTTTACATGCAAGTTTGATCAGTATACAAAGTCAATAATCCCCGGGAAAATGCCACCACAGTTATCATTCAAATCTCGGATCATTGACAAAAGGGCTGTTACCGCTTATCTCGTCAAGGTTCAGGAGAACATGTCATTGTACTTTTGGGTCATGACAAAGGCCTCTGTATTAGTTTCCAGTTTGGGCCATACTATTTGTGTTTTTAAAGGAAGGAGAGGTTGTGTTTTTGTAACAGTTAAAGCTATGAACCACAGAGATTGTATAAAATAGGGAAGAGGGGCAGTTGAAACTTCCCCATTACATTCTTTACCACTTCGCCTCGCACAGCCACAGGGTTGCATAGAATAGGACGGGATGAACACGTGCTTCCCAGCGATTACCTCCAGGGTTTTATTTTAAAGATATTGACGTTTGTCGAAGCCACACATGTGTGCAACTTTTGCCGTGGGACAAATTACTATTGCCAATGGCAAAGGCACCAACACCAAATAAAGCTGAAGAAATAGTAATTTATATAAGCACGTTTTATTCTTCTTTATCTAGCATACGTTTACACTCGGATATTATTTATTTATTTTTCATAGGAAACACTGCGAAATTAAGCTCAGAATTTCAGAGATTTTGGAATCAAACAAAAATAAACTCCTATAAACTCAGAATTTTCGGGAAAAAATAACTCCGAAAAACAGCCTCTGAATTTGACAAAAAAATAAACTCCAGAAGCACGAAATCCTAGCTATAACAAAATAAAAATATAAAAACCTGCAATGTCCACCATATATCCCGAAGAGTGCAGCGGAAACACACACTTTGTATACCGACCTTATAGGAAAGATCGAGACAAATCTAGCTTTGCTTTTTTCCCAAAGAGGGCGGTTCTGCGCACCTGTTGGTGGTGGCTCCGAGGAAGGCTGGCTGGGAACCTCTACCACGTCTGCAGGGGGCTGGGCAGGTTCCTCCTCCTCATTGCTCTCCTCGGCTGCGGTTCGAGAAAGCACTACATCATCGAGCACTCCCAGACACCCAGCCTACGTGGTGTAGCGCCCGCAAGCTGTATTTAGTCCAAAACAGGTCGCCAATTTTCTTTTTCGAGAAAACTCGTCTAAAACAGGGGTCGACCTATCATCGTGATCAAAGAATGTGAAATTACGATAGTGAGCGAAATTTCCAAACTTGCCGAGCTAGCCGAGATGCTCCCTAGTGCCAGTCACTTGGCGAAGCTTCACCCAAGGGCACCGGAGCAAAGCAGTAAAGCTTGATGCACACGCCCCAGTACAAAGTGGCAGAGCTTCACCCAAGAGCGCAGGTGCAAAGCAGTGAAGTTTCATGCGTGCACCCCGCTCTCGTGCAAAGCAGTGAAGCTTCACTTGAGAGTGCCGGTGCGAAGCAGTGAAGCTTCGCTGAAAGGCACAGGTGCAAAGCGATGAAGCTTGACGCACGCACCCCAATGCAAGCAGTGAGCCAGCTTTGGCAGGGCTTTCTTTCAGAGACGCCACGCAAGGCAATGTTTGCGCTGTCGATCCACAAAAATGCGTATCAAGTTCCTCCGTGCAACATCACCGTGAAGGAACACAATGCATTCTGCATTACCACGGCCTTTGCAATAACGCTACGGAGAAGGGGCAGGGGCACGCTTTCCGGAAAGAATAGCGGTTGCCTCTTGGAAACAGGTTGCCAAACTCGAGGGACTCACCGATGAGAGAAAGAGCGGCGGAGATGCTGACTCCGGACGACGATGGGGTGGCTGCAGAGTCCTCTCGGCCGGATTCCTCGGACTCTGGCTCCTCAATGACCGGGACCACCGTGGCGGACTCCCTGATGAGTAAGCGAAAACATATTGTCTGGCTTAGAAGTCCCGTCAAATGCAATGAACGTTCTACAGCACTCGATGGGGTCTGTAATGAGCAGCACTTGCTATCAGAACTGCATGCAATGTGACACGTGACAAGATAACTGGGAATGTACAAGGGACTCTCCTTCATCTATGCACCTCTTTGGGGGTCATCGCATAAATTTTTTATGTGCACCTTTTTAAATTAGCCTACCGTAGCCGCTAACAGATTGAGAACGGCACGGCATGTCTTTCAAATGCCCGGCCTCCAGCACAATCACTCGATGCCTTCCGCCATGCTTCGGTTGCACGCTCAAGGTACACGAGACGTCCAAGCATTGCTGAACGCAGGAAGCTCCTCCCCGCACCTCTCACCTAGTCGGTGACTATCGGGAGTGCGCGACGCCTAAAGGGGGCCCGCCGATCTCCCTTGGCAGGTACACAAATGACAGCGTCCCCGTTACGTCCGCCCGCTCAGGCCTTCACCCGTAGCGTCTTGGCCGCATCTGCGCCTCACTGCGGCAGCATTTTTCGATCCAGAGTAAAGCTTTGTAACCTTGACATCCGAAGGTGCGTCTGTGTCCAACATTGTTCTGCATGTGTTCTCACATCGTTCGGCCGGCACAAGTTGCCCAGAACTTGAGTTCAATCGTGTCCCCCCGCAATTGTAGGCGGCAACGACTACAACGCATTGCCACGCTTTTCATTCATAGGCGCTAGGACATGCCTCTACAAAATGTTTGTGTTTGACGGCCCAGAAATCGCCACAAGACGACATTCATGAGTACTACCACTAAGTGATAAAAGCTACACAAGAAATATTTATTGCTAGTCTTATTATCGGATAGCTCTCCGCTCGCTGGTGCAGATGGAGTAGGCATACTGGGATCGAGATGATTGTGGCTGTTTTCACCTGTGCATGGAGGGGATATGTTCTCAACTTCCGGGTCTTGCATAAAAAGTTAGTGCCGACGGTGGCCTTGAACGCTCTGTATAGCGTTGTGCTCGGGCCAGCTGACATTCATTAGAAGGTAAAGTTGGCTGCGAAATGCATCTGCTAGGAGTCAAACAGTGCTGCCACAATCTCGTTGCACGCTTCCAATAATGCGCAGTTCCTACCCAACTAAGCAGCTAGGTGGTTGGGGAGTTAGAGACGAAAGTGTTAATGTACTGCTCACTCTGTAACAGCTATCGCTGTAAAAGTACGGCCTACACACCCACAATTTTTCAGAGTGTGTTGAGAAATCTGCACGAAGAACGAACCAACCTGTCGTCTGCCTCGGGTGCTTCTTCGATAACCGTTGCCGGAACACTTCGCTCGCCCGCGCTCATGTCGAGCGGCTCCTGGTTTCCGTCGTCCGCCGCTCCGTCCTCCGGCGGCTCCAACACTTCCACCACAGCCACGTCCGCTTGAAACAGTGAAGCGTCGCGGGACTCTGAAACCGGGGGTTGTGGGGAGGGCGCTTTTGTCCGAGACTGTGCCGACATGACCCACATTTAGAAGGCACTAAAGTGGATATTGAGGTCATCTATTTATGGTAATGACTCAATCCATGTGACCTAAACATGCCAAGAAATCCAAGGTCAGGACCACGTATAGCCCTTTTCCCCAACGTTGCCCACCTGGTGGTGATATCTGAAGCGGCGTCGAAGGCACGCTTCGTCCACCCCCTTCCTCGAAGTGGGACAAGTCCATCCGGGTGTCGTCCACGCCAACACCTGAAACAGTCGTCACGTGGCACCCTCCTCGAGTCGGCCCTCACAATATCTTCAAAATCTATCTTGGAGGAAAACACCAGCCTCAACTGGACATCTGTAGAGTGATGCTCTACAAACTATGGTGCCCGGAAGGTGTCTCCTACTGGAGTGTTTAACGCCCCCTAAAAAGTAAGTTCCTTGATTTCCGCCCGATGATGTCATTGAAGCATCCAGCCGTTGCCGGCCGCAATCCCGGCAGTGTCACGTCGGCGGTGGTATTCCCTCGTGCTTTTTGCCAGAACTTTTATGCCCAGCCGTCAGGATTGCGACATTTGGCAGCATGGCACTCTGGCTTTTGTGACATCGTTTGTAGCCACTTCGAGACCACTTTCGATGTGCGTGCAGGCACCAAAACACACCAATGTAAGACTCGTTCCAGGCAACGTTCTACAAACATCCAATTGGGTCCTGTAACCGCACGGTTCGCACTGAATGAAACGACTGTATACACTGCTAGCTGACGCAACATTGACTGCACCTCCCTTTAAAAGCGCACCAATGAGTTCAGTGGAAAGTCCTCTGTCCCTTTGCTAAAAGCAAAGGGCTTCAAACTGAACAGAGATCCTGCCTCCAAGTACGCTAGGTGAAAGGTGCAAACGCTCTTACCCCAGCCAGTAAGCCAATTGTATCAGCACGACAGCGAGACACCGGTCGGCAAACTGTACCTTATCATCCAACAAACTCTGGGCAGTGTCTCACTCTGCCAGCATTCATTAATACAAGGCCAACACAATGGAAACATACCATGGAAAGCACGAATAGCGACAACAGAAAAAAAAAAGAACCAAGAGCAAAAAAAGTCACGTGCCAATCCATAAACAGCCGTTTTCTTATCTTGTTTCTTAAAATTTTTAAAGAAACACGGAACCCTCTTTTTAGGTGCCTAAATAGGACAGATATCTCGCAAAATGAACTTTCCTCAACAAAACAAATTTCTTTAGTCAAAAATTACATTGCAAGGCTCATTTTGAGTTAAAGGCGATAGCAACACGTGTTTCTATTTCAAGATGTGAATGCCAAAATACAAACATGCTCAGGGATGGCTCATATGGGTTTCGTCACATAAATACTGCGATAACATTTTCCGCCAAAAATTTATTTTCCGACATTTGTGACTTTTAAGGCACTTAAAAAGCTTTTTGCAGCTTGCGTGTCCCCAACTCTTTCCTCACCATGGAAAAGCAGCAATTTTCGAAGGATTCGTGCAATCACTTTTATTTTTCTAACTAATTTTCGTACGCAGAAATATGACACATCAAAATGTGGCCAATTAGCTGTTCTTTCAAAAGAAACAGAGGTTGGTATAACGTGAGAAAAAGATTTAGAAATGTTATTTTTTTGAAAATGCAATGTACGTGCGGAAGGTGTATAAACGCCAGTACCTCTATGGCTATGTCAAATTAAAAGACGAATAAAAAAAATTCCAAATATACAAAATGTGCCCCACACCCACGGCTATTACTTTTACTTTTCAAAGTTGGTGTACTCAAACTGACCTTGTCTATTTTTGATTCGTCGGAGAGTTCGCCTCCGTAACATGTGTGCTTTTCAACAAAGCAATGCTTATATCGGTGGAACACAGATAAAACAGCTCACATCCCCGACAGAATGTCTTCTTTGTGTTCTATGTTTGTTTTATCATTGCCTCAAATGCAGTTCCATCATATTTCGCCTTTTTGCCCACCTTGTTAGGAACATAAAACGTGCACGCCGGCTCAGGACAGCATTAGAAATTATAGTTATGCTTACCGACAACCATCTTTTAAGCGACGCCTATCACATCATTTAAAGTGTCCCCAGAGCTCTTGATGCCTACAAAATATGCCACAATACAGTTGAATTATGTGTAAATAATACCATCTTTGTTACAAAGACTGATGCAAGCAGCTGGCCATGTTAAACAAGTGCAATCAACATTCCCAGGACCATTGTTGACAGCACACCAGCTTGTGATCAAGCTCAAACCTACGTTAAAAACTGAAACTAGTTATTCAACCATCCACGAGAGTGTGGAACATAATTCTCCGCACTAAATTTAATTTTTTGACGACGCTTGGAAATCACTGATTACCGGTGATCGATGGCCTATACCCTATAGGCACGGTCGGGAAAGAGTTAGGAGTGTATGTGCATGATAATATGCATTGCAAAACATGCACACCCAAATTCCACCTGCAGTCTCTTACAATGTGCTCGCCGAGCCAACCTCCTCAGGTTCTAGCTCGTGCCATGCAAAGACTCACTGACCTTCCTGCGACGCAAGCTGCGACAGGCCGGAAGTCTCCGATGTGGGAGGAGCGTCGGGGGCCCCGCCAAACACGAAACCGCCGTGGGGAACGTGCGGCGAGCTGCAACCGTTCACAAGCCATATTATTTGACCACGCAGGAGAATGACGCATTGCTAGTCGTGCTCCCATGTGTAGAAGGGTGGTGAGCTGAACTAGCTGGTAAGCATTATAGTACACGGTTAAAGTCAGTGAGCAACGTGAGGAAACTTTAGAAAAATACAGATTCAGCATTTATCCTGTCTCCCGTATTCTACTACAGTTTCCTCATGTTGCTTGCTGACTTTAACCATGTATACATCCCATATAGTTTTCGTATTGTATGGGGAACCCGATCCTCTTTAGATGAACGTGCACAAATGGCAGGACCTTTTCAGGCGGAATAATTAGATAAGCGAAACCTTGAGAAATCTCCGATTTCTCGTGTCTTCAAGGTGGTCGTCTTTTCTTCTGACAAGTGGACAACTGGCATCTTTGAGTTTGATTTAAATATCAATCAATTTGTTCTCTAACATCTCTTCGTTAGTATTCACTCCAATTCTAACATCACGATCCAGAAAGTTTGCAGCATTACAAAACTTATTGATAAAGCCAAGTGCCGGCACTAAGACAGAGCGAAGGATAAGGACGACAGGCAACTATGAGCATGGGTGTCCATTCTTGTCAAGAATGAGAAAAGGCAACTATGAGCACGTGAGCCCATTCTCATTAAGATTGAGGACGGGCAACTATGACCATGGATGTTCATTCCCATGCACAATGTGCTTTATTACTAGAGTCCCAGGGAAACAAACTCGGATAATGTCCTAGGTCATTACAACAATGCTTCCCAAGGGCTTGCTCTTTCTTTACAGAGCGTTCAGAGAAAGGGTGCTTCACCTGACAGCCTCTGCGAAGCCATCGCCTCTCCTTGGAACGAAGAGGGTCGGGGTGCTGGGCACAATACTGTCGTCGCCTTCTTCAAACCCGCTTTGACTCTGAAAGGCATAAATGTGCGGGACTGTTGCACTCTGAAGAATGCAGGAGCAAACTAACCAAAAGTAACATCACTCCAGCCAAGGTTGCATGCATGCATGCCAACAGTTTTGCGCCGCAAGTCTGAGCAGTATTGCCCTTGCCTTAAGAAAAGAGAAGTTCGCAGTGTTTGCATGTGCAATGCAGAAGGCCACAATGAGCTGCAGGCCATTTGGCACTGCTACACTGCCAGATGGAGGCCACACTCCACAGTCACAATGGCACGCAGCATCGGTGAACAGTGCATCAATGAACTAGTTTGGTCCCAGCTATCCACAATTTAAGGACAAGTGAGTGTTTTCTGTTTTATTAGCCACCAGCCTCAATCTGCACTTCTAAGTTTGAAGAGCAAAGGCACATCTGAGCTAAACTACGAGTCTCTATGTGGCGCGGGCGATTCCTTGCGGCTCGATGGAACCGCCTGATTCTTTGAATATGACACCTCATTAGCATTGGTCAAAGTGATGCAAAATTCATAACATGAACAGACTGATTGGGCCCAACCCCACGCAACGGTTAGACACCTCCACATGGCTGTTACGTCAACGTATTTAGTTTACTCCATCCCATCATACTAATACGCACTGACTGCGCAGGATCTGTTGACCCACATTCTAAACCATCGCTCGCAACAGCAACCAGTTTTGAAATAGGAGATGAGAGATGCTTGAAAGGCTAACCCAAGTCGAGACAACCACCCTAAAATAAATAGGGGGGACGTCCGGGGCTCCTCACCGAAGGTAACCTCTCACTCCGCGACCTGGGAAGCAGGGAGGGCCTCAGCAGGGGTACCCTCGAAGCCGCCCCCAGGGAACCGGGGGCAGGCCAAGGCTCCTGCTGCTGCTGCGGCTGCTGCTGGGGCGGCTGCTGCTGAGAAGGAGGCTGTTGAGGAGGCCGCTGCTCCTCTTCCTCCGCAGCCTCCTCCAGGCACGGCTCCTCCTCCTCCTCAGCCTCTTCCTCCATCTCACGGTCTTCCACCGGCTCCTCTCCCAAATCTGTTCGGAAATGGGAGTGCGACGCGGATACCGTTACCCCCCTCGTCTGTCACGTCAGCTCAGAATGACGCCAGACCTTGAACTCAAGTTCGCTTGGCTATCGACTGATCTGGCAACAAGTGGCATCTACCGGCAGGACGAACAAAGTGGGCAAAACGACTACAATCAAAAAGAGGAGGTTAGAAGATTGGCAAAAATATCCTGCAGGCTTGGCCATGCTGACAAAGACCAGGGAGCACAGAACCTGTCCCGCACAAACCTCTTCGTTTGTCGTTTGTGCAAGACTATCCAGTCTTTTTATTTAATTTTTTAGCTCAATGTATGTATTTTTATTTTATAACTTTTTAATATTAATGGATTTATGTTTGTTATGTGTTTTTATTTGTTTTAGTAATTATTTTCACCCAAGACCTACAGTTCTCACCGACACATATGCGTCAAGATCATTTATCCTGCCAGACCAGCTGTGCTGCTAACTCAGTAGTTACAATATCCGATTGTCGCCGTCAGGCTCCAACCCAGCCGGAGCTCTAAATTTATATATTAACTTTATATAAAGTCTTAACATCTCTAACACTTCCAGCATGTCACTCATTCATGACGCTTGCTCCAACGGTACGCCCCATAGAACACATTCTGCGTTAAAAGAACTATAGAAGTGTGCGACTACACGAAATGTGTGGGTCGCACGATTTAATGAGACAAAATCTAAAGCGAAACTTGAACAGAAGTGGTACGTATGCTTATAGGCTGGGTGGTGCGCTGAAGCCTCCCGATAAAATTTGCGCTCTGCATGTCCTACAAGTACCGACAACCATTGGGGTGTGAATATGTGAGACACGTGCTAACAGTGAGTGCTGCAACGTCGTCTGCTTCCAAGGGCCCCTTGTGTATTGGCGCATACGTCTCTACTTGTAAGACAAACACTTCAAGGGGATTTAGTGCTAGCTACCACGTTATACAAAAGGTAGAGCCCCAACCATCCATCCATCCATACAGAAAGTAAGTGTGGCTAGACGTTGCACTCACCCACAATCTCCACCTCGTTCGGTTCACCCGGTTCGTCCATGTCCCCTTCCTGGGCCACGCCGCCTTCCTCGATGGCTTCCTGCTCCGCTATGTCTTGGTCTAGGTCCTCTACCGGCATACTCTCCTCTGCCTCTACCTGCATCATAAAACACACACACAAAAAAAAAAAATTGCTTTATCTGTTGTGCCTGCAACACACACACACACACACACAAAAAGATGTTTCTCTATCCGTTAATTGAGGGTACTGGCTAGAGATTTAACTTCTGAACTACTAAAGTGATCGGAATGAAATTTGCAGGGGAGATTTCACATCAGATGTAGGTGTATTGTGCAAACGTTCAGCTCTCTAGGACAATTTTACATACCTGCATAAGATGTGTCACTCTTCGTTAAGAAATCTATGATGTGCAAATGAAGCTATTAAGCACCATTTTGACTGCTTGAATATGAAGTGGGGGGTATGGGACTTTGGGGTTATCTAGTTTCTATAACTCAGATGTAAATATTTCAGGAGGAGTTATAACCCCTCAAAATATGAGATGCATATCTGTCCTATGTCAATTTTTTAAAACATTTTTTACTCTATGAGGATTTCAATTTAAAACAAAATGAAGTAGATAACTGGATTCCCCAGTAAATTGCAGTTCAGAAACATCTTGAATGTGGAATCGGAATACTTTTGCCTCTGAACAAAAGATTCCTTCGTATGAAATTTGCAGCAAAAAGTGGAACTGAGAAAAATACATTCAAACATTGAACTTTTGACTGCTGCGCAACAACGTATTTTCTTAGACTGCAATTTGTGTTTTTGTTTTTTTCTGTATTTTTTACATTGCGACTCCTGCAACGACCTTTCGTGGAAAGCCTCACTATTATTAAATAAATAAAGAAAACCTTTCAGCCTTTCAACTTTGGTGAAGATGGAAGACCAGCAAAGCTGTACTATGGGAAGACTGAAGTATTTATAAAAACTGTTCAACCGGCGTGGCGTCCTGGCCTTTAGCCTTTCCGGTATGCTATTTAGTATCGCGAAATTCATAATAGTTATCGTGAAATCGGCAAATGAAAATGATGCAAAAACCAATATTCAAATTTATAAGCACTTTTCAGTGCCGTGACGTCAGTGGCAGGCAAGCCCTGCCAGTGGAACAAGCATCCGTGCTGGAGCCAGGTTGTAAAGCATTCATACGACACCATGAGACTGCTTCGAATCAGTTGGAAAATTCTACAGTCCAAAAAGTGAGCCCCTGCCCTCCACTGACGTCACTTTTTCGTTGTTGCCAGTAGAAACTTTCAGTTTGAAAAACACGGTGAGGACCAAAACTGTAAATTCAATACCTTTGCGAAAAAAAAAATATATATATATATTTTGACCCAACATTTGGGATACTATTTTAGCGATGTTTTTTTGGCGAGTTTAGCAAAATCTCAAGCAAATCGGGGACCATGAAGAAATAAGCTCCATCCAATGTTGAAAGCAATTTCGGAGAAACTAGAGAGAAATCACACCTGGGCCAGCCATTGCCCAGCCTGTTCTCTGCCCCACACTCCCCGCACACCCCATATCATACTTTTTCTGGGCCTTCTTTATTTTCTCTCGTTCCACAACCCCATGACTTTTAGGATGCAATCAGACGACCCCTAAATAAGAAAAACCCACGAAATTCGAGCATGTGCAAAACAAAAATGTAGAAATTTTAACGAGACGTCGGTCGGCGAAGGCGTGTTTCAGTCAAGCTAGTCTCCCGCGATAAAATGTGTTCTTGCCGCACGTATGTCAACGAGCGACGAGACAAAGGAGAGGAGCGCTCTCACCACGTAGTTGACGTTCATCTCCTCGTATTCGCATTCTTCCTCCTCCATGCCAGACTCCTCTTTCTCCCCTTCCGAAGTTTCCGCCTGACAGAGACACAAGATGACACGATGAGTCGTCGCTCGGCAGAAAAAGGGCAACGATCTCTTCCGAGTGTCTCATAAAAGTGGCAAATGCTTGATTAAAAAAAAGTCATAAAGTATTTTTTTAAGTGCTTCGATAGAACATGTATGTTACAAAAAACACTTCCCACAAACAAAACAAAAAAAAAATATTTTTTTGGTGTGTGTGATATATTTTAATTGATAAGCATTTCTCATTTTACATATGACAAGATACCTACATATGACGAAAATTTCTTTTTGAACTTGGAGTGAGCCTTGCAACCTAATTATAAGCTGTTCTTATTTTTTTTTTTTAATCATTTTTTTTTTTTTTTTTGTAATTTAAAGAAATATGTTTTTTTTAAGGGATTTTAATTTTTGGGGGTTTGCAGAGGCCATCTGTTAGCACAACACTGGTTGTCTCTCTTAGGTTTCCAAGAAGATGTTACACACCAGACAATACAGTCGAACCCGGATATATCAAATTCAAAGGGGATCGTAAAATAGTTTGATATAGCGATAATTTGATAAACAAACATATGTTAATTTAAACCTACCAGATGAAATATCCGCTCGTCTCTGCTAATACCGAAGGCCGCGACAAACTTGACCTTACCAAATAAAGTCTCTAAGACCCGCTAAATACAGTAGGGCTTAGTTGGTGAAGATCACAAACACTGCCACGTTTTGCGACAAGGCTTGCGATCGTTTGCTGCGCGCGCGCCTTGCCACGACCTGCGCACAGCACCGGTGACAAAACAAAAAAATTATATAAAAAAAACTTAAAAACGAAAAGACCGAGCTGTATAAAAAATAAAAAAAAAACTAGATTCATAGAATAAAGCTAGACAAGCAACAAAAAAGAAAGTTCACTAAATTCAGGCAGCAAAAAAAGAAAAAATGAGCAATAACGGGAAAAGAAAAAGGTAGACAAAGATAAGACGTTCGAAGTGCAATTGCTCTCAACCGTTGTTGTCAACACACTCACCTTCACGAAAACTTTTTTTTTTTTTTTTTTTTTTTTTTTTTTTATTTTTAGGTTAAGGAGTCACGCAGCAACAGCAGTGTTCGGGGATAGAGTACACGCTACCGTTCCAACAGCAGGCACTCCCAGCCCTCCCTACGCGCGCCTGCTCTTCCCCTTGCTTTTGCCATCTTCCATTTTTTTTTTTTTTTTTTTACAACTGCTCTTTTCCTGCGTATGCCCGTGCACGTATGCTGGTTTGGTGGTCTGCCAGCTTTGCAACGCAAGCAATGTGCTCGCTGCTGGCGCAATCCGACCGTGGGAGAAGTGAGGGGCGGCCGTGCTTTGTTGGCTATATCGAGTGTCCCCGCCATGGGAGTTTCGATACAGAAAAACAACGCTCCTATACTATTACATGTGATTTTCAAAGGGATGTCTGGACTGTTCGATATAAACAATAATTCGAAATACCCGGGCGTGACATAAACGGGCTCGGCTGTATGCTAGCAGTGGAATGGTTGGTACAGTAGAACCTCGTTGATACGTTTTTCAGGGGACCGCGGAAAAAAAGCGTATCAACCGGGAAAGCGCAGCAACCGATAACGCACTTAAAGGCACACTATATAAGATAGAAAGCAGCTCTTATGCAATGGTTTATTTTATGCACTTACCGAACTCTTTTGGACTCAGACACGTTCACAAAAGCGCGTAATATCCACCTGCCGCTTCGAATTAATGGTATGCAGTAAAAGTCGTTTCTCCAGAAGCCGCAGTCCCCTCTCACTCTCCGCGCAGTCATGAACGTTTACGTAGCGGCGCAAGGTGTCCAACGCAGCGATCGCGTCCGCAAACGTGGGTGCAGCGTAATCGTTGGTTTTTTTGTTCGTCTTCTTCATCACTTTCTTCGTTGTCGGCAGTAGTGAGGTCGGCCACAATGTCCGCTATGCTCGATATCCGAACGATCAGCAATCTCTTGCGCCTTCTCTCGCAGAATGCCTCCGTCGATGTTGACACAAGATGCCCGGGCTTGTTTGAACCATACCAACAGGGCCTCCTCTAACTTTGCGTGTTTTGCCCCCCGAGCCTGTTTAAAGCCTGGTTGGTAGAAAGGAGCCTTCGCCTCGATCTCCTTTCGTCTCGCGACGATACTGTTTAAAGTTGACGGCGCGAGTCCAAGCTCTCTTGCGACCTCAGAGTCTCAGACCTCTTCCGGCTGGGATTTCGATCCACCGTGCGAAGTATGTCAAAGTGCTTTTCTCTTTCGGGATGTCATGGCCGTCGTCAACGCGCACGCACTCAGAAACGGCACTGTTCACGCAGTCGAGCTGTCGAGTGGAACAGAAACTGGAAGTGCAGCGTCCCGGCGTGCGTGCGGCGCGTAAACAACTCGCGCCGGAGAGAGAGGACAGATGAAAAGAAAGAGCAAGAGAGAACGAGCGTTTTCGCAGAGCTCAGCAAAGCCCAGTGAGGAGACCGGGAAAGGGGGGGAAAGGAGTAAAGGGAAGGGGGGCGCCCGCGTGCCGCGCGGCCGCGCGATCCGCGCTGCGTGGTTCGGCTGTTCGGCTCTGCTTCGCTTCGCTTCAAGCCGGCGTGGCACCTTGGCGCACGGCGCGCCGAGGCGGCGAGGCGCCGAGGCGCCGCGATTCCGGCACTTTTGGACGTAACAACCGGGAAAGCAAACGTAACAGGCAGGAAACTAATACATGTATCTCTATGGAAGTAAAACGGGACCGGCGTTTTTGAACGCAACTGACAGGAAAACGTATCAACCAAGAACGTATCAACGAGGTTCTACTGTATTTAAAAGGCCGCAAAATCGCCGGCGCTCGAACCCGCCAAGTGCGTGAGTTCACGCTCACCGGCTTCTGGGGTCCGGCGTCTTCCTTTTCCTCCTCGATGGCTTCGTCGTCACTCTCCACGACAATCAGGTCGATGGGCGACCGGACCTGAGCCTCTGTCGCAGCTGTGGGGAGGCAAGGCAGGACGAGAGAGATGATACTGGCAGCCAGCGTCGGAACAATAAGCGGGTCACGAGCGGAAAAATAATGGTAAAACCCCAGCAGCGCAATACCACGACGGACTAATTTCATTACAACAAACATTAAACAACCAACGCAGGCCGATTTGCCGGGTTTGCCATTAGGTGAGTTAGCATTGCTTACGAGACTGAAACACGATAAAGCGAAATTCGCAATGCAACAAAAGTTTTTCCTACGACCAGTCGACTTCCCCGAAAAACGCGTGTCTTATTTCTTGATTTAGCGAGGTCAAATGGGGTCGGAGTTTCGATTTAATGAGGTCTTGGCACATCAAGAAAGCACTACGCTCCATCCAGCACTACACTCCATCCGTTTCTCTGCACGTCGGTATGGGTGGGAGCTTGGCCACGTGGCAAAGATGACTTGTCCGAGGAGCCATAATCTTCCACAGCACTATCAGCTTAGGGGTGAATGAAATGGTAAATCAAAAGCCTCGGGGAAAAAAAAGAAAGAACAAGAAACCTACGCCTCTGCCACAACAGATATGTCAAATCTTATCCCCAAACAGTTACCCCTCACCCATTAGTGCCTTGGTCTCTGAACCGCGATGTTACCATCTGCTCACAAGCTTTCGCTTCTCTTTCATGACCGCACAGCAACTTTCTGGCTGGGAAAATTATGATTCAACTGCTTTCAAAATACTTTTCTAACCTTTTGCTTTCTGTGGAACAATGATTGTGTATTGTTTTGATCTTTCTGCTGTTATGTTCTCTGTGTCTTGTTGTACACTCCCTTCTCTAATATTGGAAAACCTTGAAAGTTAATAAATAAATAAATAAAGGCCGAGCGGGCCAAGTCAAAGGATTACCTTGCTCGACGGCTTCGCCAGAGGTGCTCAGCTTTTCAACCTCCTCGGCGGCAGTCACGACAATCCGGGGGCGTTTCGACGAAGGCGCAGTCTCGGAAGTTGAAGCCGCCACCGGTGACTCGCTGCGTTAAACGACACAAGAGACCTTCCTTCTTATTTACGAAATTATTAAAATGCGTCGTGCGTTGCATACAGCACAATTCAAGCAGAATCTAGACACGCAATCAGATATTGAATGAATTTTTTTTAGAACGTGAATTATAAGAGATTGATTCGGTTTAATCGTATTGTAGCGGCTCTGCAGCGACAACAACAAGAACGTGGCTCATGAAACAGCCACGTGAACTGCACACTTTACGTGGATGCTCACTCCTCGAGAGGCGCTAGCTCGAGGCAGAACATCGACTCCATCCGGCTCCTTCAACGGCCTAGTTCCCGGTCTGGCGACCAGTCCTTCTTATCTATGTCTTTTCTTGGTAAGTAAATGAAGGGCCACCGCGGCCACTTCAATATCGTTTGTTACGGATCGTTTGAGAAAGTATCTGGGTGAAATGAGAAATTTTAACAGGACTGACAGGGATCTAACGGATGAGCTGATGCTATTTTATGTCTGTGCCAAGAAAATCGTAAGTAAAAAACAAGTTACTACAGTAAAACCTCGTTATAACAAAGTTGAAGGAGCGGTCGTAGTTATTTCGTTATAACCATTAGTTTGTTATAGCCAATGTCCATTTCTCCATACTATTAGCAAGCAAGGGGAATTATGATTGCTTTGTTATATCCATTAGTTTGTTATATCCCATTTTGTTATAACGAGGTTTTACTGTACATAAAGCATACAAAACAAGTTTTGCACCACTACAGGCCAATCTAGCATAGTGAACATACTAAAAAAAAAAAAAAAAATCTACTTCACTACACAGAAGTTTTGTTGCTTGGACAAAACTTTTAAGCCAGTAAAAGACGTCTGAAGAAAATATGTGTGGGCGAGAGGCCTTTCACGCCACATTCTATGCAGAACCAAAACCGTGTCAAACGAGCCGCATTATAGAGACTGAACTGGCAATGAGTGATCCACACCTTGCTCGCTCCGGTGTGCTCTCTCGCTGCCTCTTGAACACGGGTGGGGGAGGGCTGGCAGGTGGCGCAGGTGCAGGCTCCTCGGCTTCGTCAACACCTGAAGTAGGTGTGCCCAATCCCCAGAGTAAGACATACGCCTAAACCATCTATGTAAACCACGGCAGTGAACTATGCTCAGTCCACCTCATGCCTCTGAAGATTAACCAATGTGTTAAAAACCATTTTGAGCTTTCTTAATGGTGGAATACTCCGTTTCAGTATAGCTCGCCAATGAGTGGACGCTGCAGCCGCCTTGGGTCATTCAAAGCAACGCAGCAAAGTGGATAGGGTGCGCTTGAACGATATGTTGTACTGCAACTTGTCCCAATGCTCAAATTGAGTCGCTGGCGAAATAGCTTATGCTGCCAGTCAAGTTATGCTGGAACCGCGTATAGTTTTAACAAATGGCTCTTCTAGAGACAAGCTGCTGAAGTCACAGGATGGGTGAAGCTAGGATCATTTGAGGGCTATGCTAGGATAATTCACACCTTCGATCAACAGGCAGGGTCCAGAGAGGCCATGGCTGCTATCTGCATGTTTGCAGCACCGTGCAACGTCCGTTTGTGCCGACGGCTCGTAGGTGGCACCGTAAAGTTGCATGGTGAAATGTTTGTGACTGACCTGCTTCGCTGGCCTCCTCCTGAGACAAAGTCGGTACCACCGGAGTCACCGTGATGGACGGAACCACCACTGCGGGAGTTGCTGCGGGCTCGGGTGCCGTCTCTGCAAAAAAGGTTGGGCCAGCTCAGACCACACAACGCTCGAAGCGAACGCATCTTCAGCACAACACAACTTACCCCCAAAAAAAATTGATTTAAAAATAAAGAAAATAACACTTTACCACGCCAGGATCTGAAAGGAACCATAAAATAACTTTTTCCCTATACGGAGGGAAAGCCGTCTGCTCTTTCGCGCAGGCCGGTGGCGTGACGTCACCTCGCCGCGCTCTGATTGGAGGATGGCTCCGGGCGGGAGCTGGCGGGAGCTCGGGGGTAAACAAAGCGGTGTCGTCTCTTCTCCGCAGCCATTGCGAAAGGCCTTTTCTGTGGCTCTCAGAAATCCACTGCTACTGCTTGAACGAGGACGCGGCACACGGAAAAAAGAGACCGGAAATACCTCGAAATGTACGTTACTTCGTTTGACGCGAAAGAATTTACCCTGGGAGCATACGAAGCACCAATATGGGTCCCGGTCTCCGGCGGTCGGATGTTGATGTGAGTCCCCCCAACGTCAGCACGGTGATGTGCGACGCGAGTGAGCCTTTCTACTTTTTGGCGGAGACCCTTTTTCGCCAGCAAGTGACTCGGTGTCTCCGTGAAGCATCGAAGTGTAGCTACAGCCCTCTTCGGCGAGCTGAACGGGCTGCCGAGCTTTCGAAGGCCGATCTCCCGCAGCGCTGACACCCGGAGAACCGCGCCATGGCGCTCGCTAAGGTGAGTTACGTCGTCTCTGTACACTTCGCATCATTCACAAACAGTTCAGTTGCACGTGAAAGGAGTATAGCAAAGTAAAACGGAATGTTACGGAAAAGCAGCGGATTAGGCGATCGGTGTGGTACGACCGAGCCGAGTGCGCAGTCGTCTGTTTTTATTCTTTCCCCCCAGCGACAGATGGGAGGCAATCTCTTGATCGAATGACGTTTTAGCGAACGCCCAGGTTTCATCGAATGACAGTTTAGCGAAAAGTCGGACGCCGCGAAGCGGCGTTTTCGGGTGGGCCAAATGAGTTCACATTTTTGTTATGATCCGCCGCAGACTATCGCCGCGAAGCGGCGAAAGCGCAGCGCGGCGGATGGATTAACGCGCGCCCCTGTTATTCGCTAAAACGTCCATTCGCTCAAATGTCGCTGTTCGCTAAAATGTCATTCGCTCATGTGACATGGACCCGTGTTCCATCAGTCGCTCGCCGCTAATTTGTTTCACCATAAAGCGCCAGTGAGGCAAACGCTGCGGGGACGAGTAGCATGTTTTCGTACCTGCCTACTGGTTTTCTTAGGTCCGTTAATCTGCAAGTGCTTGTGTTCCCCCTACCCCATCATTCCAACAGAATCCACCGGCTGCCGGGCTCGGAGGACATGTTGCAGGCCCCGTGTAATGCCCTCGGCGCCTGTGCGACTTCCAGGGGGTCTGCGTTTCACGGCCCCGTTACCAGCTGGGAAGTTCTCCATAGAGGTAAGATTATGAAGAAACCACTCTATGCACTCAGAGGTAGCTTTCAGAAGTTGTGGAAGCCAAATACAAATGCTGATATCTTTAGTAAAAAAAAAATTCATATTACTTGCTTTATGACTTATACATCTCTATTTTGCAAGCCACATATGGCAGGGAAGTGTCGCATTATCTCAACCTGGTTGCTCAAGGCACTGAAAAGCTACCTGTTGCAGACGACTGTACCGTTGTCATTTATTATATGTTATTCCTTGGCACCGGGGGATTGGTGGCCGAGGGGGCTTCCACGCACCAGCTCGGAGAATGTGGAGTGAAAGCTCGCGCTGCAGAACCCAGGATTGTGTGTTCAAGCCCCACATTTGCCCGTTTCGATCTGGATGAGCATTGTACCGGCGTGCGGTCGTGTATCACTACTACGTGATGCACGTTAAGGGCCCCAGGCTAGCAGTCATCTACAGCTGGGAGAGTCATCGCTCGTCGAGGCAGATTGAGTTTGAGACTGTATAAATATACACACAACCCGATTCCTCGGCACGCTGCTGGTATTGCTGTGCTGATGTTTGGACGTTTTTTTTTTTTTGTCGTTGAAATGACTACTGTGGTGCTTGGGTGAAATAACCTGGTCAATTACCTCCTCGGCCGTAGTGCGTCGTTCACTTGTTACTCTCTCTTCTCTTCTGGTTAATGTGGCTCAGATAACAGTCATGAAGTCAGCCCGGTTGAAGTTCTCTCGACGCCACATTCTCACATCTCTGGCCAATCATCCTGCTTTCGCGCAAAACTCACACACCTTGTCTTCTTCGATACTCCCGAATGCGCCTCGGTCGCCCGCTCCGCCGCTAATTTCAGTCCCGTGCCCACTGTTTTATGACAACCTCCTTGACATGACAAATCTAGCTTCTGTATCTGGCCATCAATATGGGATAGTGCTCAATTTGTAAACTTGATGTTTCAAAGTAACAGGTCGAGCTTCCTCCAGCATCTACCAGCAACCAAGCAATGACAAAAACCAAAGCTTTAACTTCCAAGACTAAAAACCCAGGACTATGAGAACACGCTGGCCAACCCTGCTGAGGACAAGCCAGGAGTGGGACAAGCATGTAATCTCAGTATATGGAGAGGTGTCCTCGAAGTTCCCAGCTTTAAAATTGTGGTAGTGTTTGAGTTGGTTTAAGTTCGAGTCTCAAAAGAGCCAATAATGCAATGTTATTTATTTTGATTTGCATCCCTTGGATTCTGGCAGGTGTTCGGTACGAAGGGAATGGAATAGACATGTTCATTTATGCATTCTGTTGCTTCAAAATAGGCTTTCACTGATTTTAAGTTGGTAATGGCATGGGAGGACAAATACGCTGCTCAGGGTGTAACCGGATCGTTTGACTTCTGGGACGACTCTTTTACAGGGGACGACATCCTGTCCAGCACCAGCTTCACCGTCTGGGACCAAGTGCATGAGGGGGTCGCACTGCAAGCACATGAAAGGAGGGCACTGCGACTTTGAGGTCAAGCTTGTACATCTACCATTACAGAGTCCTAAATGGATGCCAATTGCTACTGATGACCTTATGAAGGTGAAACGTCCCTGGATCTAAAGGGAAAATCTGATTGAAGGCGAGCTGGCTTGCTCTTTATGTTTATACAGCCTTGATGGAGATGCGCCGAAGGCGAGCTGAAGTTGTTTCTGACTTTATTCTCTTATGACTTGAAAGTAATCTGCCTACTTCATGAACTTTGAAGATGCAAAATTTGTTTCCGTAACTGTCCCACTTCAACGTAATGTGCACATTGAAACCTATTCCTTTTCTTTTTCTGTTTTTTGGCGAGAAAAAAAAGCCAACGAATCTCCCTCTTCCTTTTCGCAATGGGGAGGTGTGGAAGATTGATTGGATATTTTATATACGCAACCAGTTTCATAAGTGAATGAAGATAAAAGCAGAATACATGTTCACAGATTATTTGTGAATCCTTAGACTTGGTGAAGTGAGTAGTTTATGTTCGAGTCATGTAATTATAAAGTCAAAACCAGCTTTAGTGCATTACCTGAGAGTTCTGCTTTGACTCGGCAATACACAACTCACCTTTGTTATTCCTATAGCACAGCCGAAACTATAAACACGAGCATGTTGCCTGACCAATGCTTGAACTGCCGTGAAATCGACGAAGTCCCTATCCTTCGAGAACAAGTGCCAACGGGGATAGTCGAAAGACCAGGGTATTTATTGCACACGCATACTTGATTTCAAGCTTGTAGATTGAAGTAATTGTTTATTGAATCCATTCTTAAACCTGTTTGAGATTGTATTGGTTCATATTCACAGTATATTTATTTTTCATTTCAGCAAGGAATAATTTAGAGACAGATGTTGGTGTTGAGGCGTGATGCTTTTATTTTCGTAACATGCAAGAGTGCAAAAAATTAGACTTGGCTTTGTAAGCTGATTTTTTTATGTATTCTTCCAAACAGCATAGCAAGCAATAATATAAGGGCTACAGCTGCAAAAGTGGCTACACCTGGCATCTCATTTGTTTTATAGCGTGTACAGGTGAGACACTATACTCCGTTTCACGGTCACTTGGCAAACATTGCGACCCAATAAGAGCATCGGAGCCAGGCACATGACAACACTCCACGGTCGAGTCCTCGTTATCGCCACAGCAAGAGCGCCATTTGCAACAAAACATAGTTCTAGGTTTTTTTGTTTTTTTTTTCTCTTCTTCTTTTAGTAGTGTTGCTGTCGGATTCTTCGGACCGCAACACTACACGACACTGAAGAAAGACTAAGACATATGTTACTTATTAACGACACTTAATATAGATCAACACTTTTGAGAAAAACATGGCTTGTGATCGACGTTCAAACAATCGTAACCGTGAATCGACCACTTCCGCTCAAAACATCGCCCTAGCATTAGCACCCGCCACAGATTCATGGGCAAATTGAGCATGTGGTTGCCTCATAAAAGTGTTACTGAAGACCTCGCTACTCTAGCGGACGGCAATGTTGCTGCAGTGGACGTCCATCCGAATTCGTTGGGTTTCTGAGCATACGACAGCCGGTTCTGGTGGGTGGTCCTTGCATTTGGCGCGGTGACACGGGCGCTCCTGTGACATGCTGCCATGTGCCTCGCTCCGACGTTCTTACTGGGTCGCAGGAGCCTCCACAGTTCACCAAGCTATCGTGAAACAGATTGTAGACTAAGTTGTCTGCTAATGAAAGTAGCGTTGCCAGCATCATGTATTATGTATGAAACAGTGTATACTTCGAGAAAACAAATAAAGCCATTCATCCTTTCCACTGATTGTTTTGGTTCATTAGTAAAACTTGGTTCAGTGAACTTTACATTTCAGCATTAGCATGGACACAACAGGTAAGGTCAATTACAAGTGCTTTAGAGCAGTCCAAACAGTTTCCAAGTGGCTCATGCAAAGCAGCTGACATGGTATTACCCCCAGGAAAGAGACGAGACCTCCTTGATGAATTTACTTCAGCCGCAAGGCACACCAAACTGAATATTGGCGTTTCTAGGAAATTGGGATCAACCAAACAATTCCATGGAAAGGTACACCACCAACAGCTTTGGTGTGAGGGTGAGCCCTATCAGCAGCGACGATACTGAAGCCTCGCAAGCCACCATCACTAACACATGCGAGTAGTCACTCGGTGCCTGGCATACTTGGGCATTGATGCAACAAGGAAAGATTATCAATGAGTGGACTAGGAATGTGGATCCAAATGGGACTTTCTTCACAATCGCTGTATGACCACCATCTGTTGGAGTGTTTCTGGATGTCAACAGCCCATCTGGGACCTAGAAATGACAAATGATGTTAGAAAGTTTGTCACTTACACACTCAGCCCCAGTCTGCTGAGCGAACAAAACAAAAATATGTACATGTTAGCCAGTGTTGACTCCCGTGTCAATTCCATGGGGCGCTCATTAGCTAGGCTTGGATAGTGCACGATATCCGAATTTTCATCTTGGTATGGGAACGAAAAAGGAGACAAGCGACACACAAAAACACGTCAGACACTGACAGCGTCGATGTGGTTCGAAGATACACTGCGCAACACATTTTGCAGAAAGGCGGCATCGGTACTTCGTTGGCAATTCACTCATACTGGGTAATGTGAAACGGCAAATTTGTACTGTCCGAGTTGGTTCACTGTATTACACGTAACAGCCATTCCAACTGCATTCCTGAAAGAAAAAAAAAAAAAAACGATCGCGTTTTTGTGGTAAGTTTTGAGCTTTGTGCTTTTCTACAGCGCCATGATTACAACCGTAGACTGAAACTACTATACCAAATACGATGTATGATTATACTGCGTCTCATCTAAGTGCGAACGAAGAGAAAATTACAAACGCGAGAACGCACTGCAAGATCGCACATGGCAGCTATGATCAAAGCTCGGGACTCGCCCATGTAGATTTAACTTCGATCGCATTTAAAATGAAACAGAACATAGTTTATACGGCCTCCGTGCAGTTTCGAGTCGAAATTCCTAAATATCACCTGCGAAAATGGGCTTCGGAGGATCGCGAAAACACCACATTCTCGGCTGTTTTTCGATTAATAGCGCCTATCGACTCCGCCACACAAGATTTCTAAAGACCTGCTAGAAGGCAAAATCTGTTGTGTTCGTAAAGGAAGCACAAGATAAAAGGCAACTTACCGGTACAATCGGGCGGCGGTCTCGTAGTGACCGGCGCAACAGGCGTTTCAATCGCGAGGCTAGGCAAGCGCCTTCTTTTGATGCTCTTCGTCGTCTTCATCTTGGAATCTTCGAAATGCTTCTAGCAGACGACGGAGGAATCGTAAGGGGCACAAAGCTGCTCGATCTTGTGGACTCGGCAAATTTAAACCGGGCTACAATAAACAAAAGACTCGCGGTCGCCGCTACAGCACGGCCGCCATGGCCGACGCCAATGTTTGTTTACCCCCCGGCCTCCCCGACATGTGCGAGGGCGGAGCTTAGCCGGAATCGTCATCAACCTCCTCTCCCGCCTTCGCGCCTCCTTTCTCATGCGCAGAAGACGAAAATGAGCCCACTTGCGAGGCGTATAGCTACGTGCCTTTTAGGCTATATCCTTGCTGCACATTACAGTGGTACCTTGTTGACACATTCTCAGTTAGTACCGGTAATATGCTTTCCTGGTTGTTACGTTCAATCGAGGAGTGTTAACTTGAACTCGAGGCAAGAATGACTCCCCAAGCGTTGTGTCGCTAGTTCATGCCAGCAATGCTTGTCACGGTCTTAGACCATATGCCATCCTTTAGACATTGTAAGAAATCTTTCATTTTCATCGCTGCTTCGACTGATTACGACTGCAAACCCAAACATCTGCAAATGCACAGACGGAATAAGGTGCAAGTTGAGCACACCACTTACGTCCAATCTGCGAGCCTCATTTGGCTGGAATGTTTTAACTGCAGTTAAACGTGTGGGCCCTGGACAGAGTTCACCAACATCTCATACAGCCTTATTCGCGTCACTGCATGACCATGTTATGCATCAAATCAACTTAAGAAAGAGTAAAAAGAAAAAAAGTCCTCAGTTTGTTCAAAACATGCAGAGGTTAATACAAGCAACTTCACACCCTTTACAAAATTAGGCATCAGAAAAAATAATTAGAAGAATTGTCTTCAAATGATCCTTGTTGTAATCACCTTCCAATTCCTCAGGTGTTGCCGTCTCCTGGACCGGAGTCACCACTACGGTGGGGGTGACCTGGACATCTGCCACCACCGGTGCCACCACTGGTGCCACCACGGGGTGGACCTCTGCACAGCACCAAGCGGGAAACACTGAAGGCTGGCACACAGGGATGCCAAACCACCAGCTTCGCGCTACAACTACAGTAGGCTCGCGATACTTTTAGATAATTCAAGCAAATTTCAAAATTTTGGTTGTCCCGTTACGTTTTCTATGTATTTATAAGCCACTTAATTCTAACCACGTTTTCATGTAATTCGCACTTGTACTCGCGGTCACCTGCGGAGAAGCAACACCCATGGAGCTCGCTTCCGCAGGTATATTGCTTCTCCGCAGTGCATGAGTGCCCGAAAAGAAGTGTGCTCAACGGGGCTAGTAGTCCACAATAGACAACTTTTTTGATGGACGAAGGAATTTCTTGTACATTTTACCACTGTTTCATGTGTGGCATACCTGCTTATGATTAGTATGCCTGTGTAGATGAAATCAATAAAAAGCTGCTCTGTATATGTGGTCATCCATATAACAAATCATTTTATCTCGCATCATGTTTAGATGAATTTCTGATAATTCAAACTTCCAATAATTTTAACTAAATTCGTGGCTTCCTGGAGCACAAATTAATAGGGAAGGTCTACCGTAGTGCTGGCAACCAGGGGAAAAAACGGGAACAGACAAAGATGCAGGCAGAGACGATGTCAGGGACAAAGGTAGATACAAAGGCAGGGCAGAGACAGCTAGGGACAAGGAAGGAGACAAAAAGAAACACCAAGTCAGAGACAAGGACAAACAGAGAGAAAGAAGGAGACAAAGCCAGAGACAAAGCAGGGTGTCTACCAAATTGTTTTTTTTTAAATTCCCTGACTTTTCCAGGTTTTCCCTGACTATTTTAATTGAATTCCCTGACCCACAACTACCGACACCAAAACACAATATATGATAGATAGACACTATTCGCAACGTAAAATATTTTCTTTAAGTTAGGTAAAGCAAACTTTAGAAGATGTTTAGGATACAGCATTGACCCGGGTTTATTGTTTCAGGGAGTTTGGTCCCAGCACCTGATCAGTACATCAATTTGTTCTCAGAGTTACTTTGTTCAGTGACTCATCAGAAGCAACCACCAGATATGGCACGTTAGAGAGGCTTGCTAGTAACTTGTCTTGAAAGTAGGGGGCGATACCACGACATATTGTATATCCCACCTTGTTTTTTCCAAGCTGAATTTTTCTGGCGGTCTCACACATGGGGAACATCAACGGAAACAGCGAGGCAGACGCTGCCGCTGAACGGAAAGACCCATGAGTTGTTATAGTGTTCAAGCACCACATGATCCCCGGCCTTCGTGACTTCCTTCTTCAATAAAAAGCCACCACCCACGTCTTCACAGAGGGGCTAAGAGCTTCCGTGGCGGTGGTTAGACGCATTACCGGAGCCCTACAAGCACACCGGACAAAAAACACCCGTTGCTGTCGCGGAAGGCAAGTCCGCATTTGTCGCAGTATTGAAAAATACGACTGGGCTCTGGGAAACGCTTTGCAGATATTTCATAGCAGTTTGATGTTTCTTACCCTCAAGATGAGCAGCAATCGCCCTATTCCCCATGTTGCTCAGGGAGAACTTCTTGCAGCGCATTGCGCAGTGAGCACTATTTGGATCATTTGGAATGGGCCGAATCCAACTTGCAACTGTCCAGTTGAGATTGAAGGAGCACTTTCTCGACAGCGACATAGTCACTTTCACATACCTCCACTTTCGGAAAATAACACAATAGAAAGCGCAACCCACAGCCACAAACGCACGTGGCAGAGCTCGTAGAGTACAGGCGTCCAGGTTGCGTTTACGGGGAAGCGCGAAAGCACCATATCGACCATATCTGACAAACGAATGGATCGCTAGGCGCGCGCCTCTCAGAGGGTAGATGAATGAACGACGGCTGTTCTTTTTTGAGTGAGTGGTGACTCGCGCCACCTAGTATCGACTAGAGCAACTGTCTCTCCTCGTACTAGAGCAACACCACCTGACTAGAGTCATGAACTAAACAAAACTGCCGCTGCTACTCTGCTTCACTAGTAACTGTAACTCTTTAGCCGCCATACTTTAGCGGTGCTACCCTAAAGTGCAGCTTATTTAGTGGCTTTAGAGTGTACTGAAACAACAACGAGTCACCAGTTTCGCACATGCTCTCGTGTGAAGCGTAGCGCGTGGAAAATTGGGCGGGTCGCATCGCGTTTAGCGGGTCGCGACGCCGCACTTGACTGCGCTCGTGGCTATGCCTGCCCGTGCCTGCCGCTTCTAGCGTAAGCGGGCGAGCATGGGATAAATTCCCTGACTCGGCAATCTTTTTGGAAATTTCCCTGACAATTCCCCAACTTTTCCAGGTGTCTTAAAAATCCCTGACAATTCCCGGTTTTCCCGGTCGGTAGACACCCTGCAAAGACAAAACCAAAGACAGACACGAAGATCAAGTCTACCTTCGGAGGCAGTTTGAGATGCCGGTATTGTGGGAAGCACTGCTGCGAGGCGTGCCTGGGCCATGGGCCGGATGCTTGCCGTCGGGGTCAGCCGGGTGGTCCCCGTGGAGGCGCTGGGGCCCTGCCTCATGGGAGGCGCCTGGACCGGGGGGGTCAGGGGGCGCACGTTGGCGGTCATGGGCTCCCCCACACCCCCACCGTGGCTGAAAGAAGAAATTATACGAGCTTGATTATGCTGATAAAGACCGGGCAGCCCTGAATACGTTGAGCTCAAGCTGCCGTCTCGTAGAACCACCTCGCAAACATTGACGTCGCGTGATGTGGCCCCGTGACGTATATTTTCCAGCTAAATTCAGGGGCAAAGGTGAGGTGCAAAGAAAGGGAGGTCATGCGACATCACATCCCGCCAAATTTAAAGGAGGCTATTGACGTCGCGTGACAGGGTCACATGACATGATCACATTCTATTTCCCTGCTAAATGTACTGGAGAAGTTGACTTCATGCAACATTAATTTCCTCGGTAAATTTAGCAGGGAAATCAATGTGATGGTCCTTCATGATGCTCCATCACGAGTCCTTCGTGACTGTTCTTTACGACGGTTTTCTCTAGAATTCGGCTGATAAAACACATTCTAAGAAAAGAAAATTGCAACCTTTGCATACCCTAAAAGTAATTATGATTTAGGAGAAATCCCCAGGGTGGAGTCGAAATTGGGGTAGAATAAAGGCATAGTACTTCCACCTTTTATGAAGCTAGATTTGCACTCTCTAGCTGACCGGTGAGTGGCCGAAAAATCTTCCTGGACTCCAAGCAACTAAAGCGCTCTACAAACAGTGCTAACCGGGTGCTAGGCAGTGGAGCAAATGCTTGCTTTAAAGGGCAACTCCGCTTCATTTTTGATATTTAGAAAACTATGTAGCCCTCTTCAGTATCATATAGGAAGACCCCATGTCAAATATTACAATCTAATTCCGTTTATATATTTAATAAACTGGCCAGCAAACCTTCAAGCGAGCCAAGTCGCCGAAATCTGCCAACTCTAGCGTGCGGCGCGAGGCGCAATCATCAGCGCAGTCAAAGCCGCGGAGTTGGAGCAGCCGACATTGAGCCACTACGTCAGAGGCATGAGTACGTCATTCTCACGTTTTGTTTGTTTTTACTTCTCAGAGCGAAATTGAACGATGACGTCATCAGTTTCTCCTCCCGCTGTTGGCTGACCGGGCGTTCACGTCATCCCCATAACACGGATGCGCTAGTTTGCGCTGCCCTGCGCGCTTGTCGGTCTGTTTCTCCGCTCCCCTTCTCTTTCATCTTCTCCCCTTCCCCCTCTCCCCGGGGCCACCACTGTCCATGCCACGCGAAGCGACCTGCCCGCGTCGCGTGTCCTGCCCCTCACCCCCCCGAACGTTACAAGACCACGTGGTTCGACGAGACGTGCCATGACTCCGACGACCCGAGACCAGGGCCGTAACCAGGGGGGGGGATAGGGGGTTTTGACCCCCCCCCCCCCCCCCCCGAAATTTTTTTCTGGGTACGGCCCTGGTCGGTGCACTTGCAGCCAGCCGATTTTAATCTCCACCTCTGCGCACGCGCAGTGACACCGGTCGGCTACCGGGTACCAAACCGGGACCGGTTCTTCGGTTTGCTATAACTCTCCATTATATGCCACCGATGCACATGATTCATAGGCGAAAATAAGACAAAATGGACGCCGTTGTCCCCGAAAACCCCCCCCCCCCGAAATTTTTTTCTGGGTACGGCCCTGCCCGAGACCAATGTTGCCTGACGCAACCGAAGTTTCGGTTTCGGTATCTGCTGATGTTTAAATTAGGATTACACAAATAATATTCCACATTTCGCGAATCCGAAGACGTAGAGTTGTTTAGTAGTGCTTTGCGAATTTGAATCACATGGAAGCCTAAATTTTTCAAAATTGAGCGGAGTTGCCCCTTAAAGGTCAGAAAAGGACGCCGAGACTTTGGAATTTGAACTTTTCTATTTCGAACTGTCGAAGCGAAAAACATGATTTTTCTCAACCAACTCTACAGTTCAAACACAAAGCCTGCGCTGGCCCACTGTGTCAAACTGTTGCACATACAGATCATACTGTCATATTTCTACCTCTTTTTTTTATGCGTCTTTAAAGTAGAAAAAACTGAAAAGCAATAAGAGTGGCCACATACACTAATCCTGGCCACCCAAAACAAATGCCGGTTTAGGCCGCTGGACTAAGAAAAAATATTGAGCAGTCCTGTGTTAATCTACAGTACAGTCTCGGAGAAGTTGTTGGGAATCGGTGTTGCGTTCAGGCACCGTGGAGTGCGTGAACAAAAGTGTGCTGGACAAAACAGACATCTGTTTTGTTACGAAGGATTTTTTACAACGAAGCAGTTTATGGCTAATGTTCCGTGGATTTTTCGTGTGCAGTGACTCAAAACTTTACGCTTGCACCGCTGCACATGCCGCACAAATGCGCCTTCCCCGTATAAATGATTCGAAGTAAATAACCAAAAGAAAGCTTTGACAAACGCACGTGCAAGATGTCATTTGGTTAAGGCTTTTGGTTTAGAACCAGGGGCGGATTTAGAAAGGAGGTCCGGATGTCCTTACCCCCCTCTTGATTTCTGCATGTGTAAAATTTAGGGCGTGAAACGAGGGAGGGGGAGGGGGTTTCTAAACATATGTATGCTGAACAACACCTGACCCCCCCCCCCCTCAGAAAATTCCTGCATCCACCCCTGTTTAGAACAGTTACTGCTGCAGACACTGACACATGCGGCACGAGGAACACCATTCCCTGCATTCTTCTTGATGCTTGAGTAATATAGCAATAGGTATATTCACTAGATTAGTTATCAATAGGCACCGGTTTCAAGATCAGTAGACTCTCAGATAGATAATAAAGGTTTCTTAAAGATTTGCCGCTGTGCGACCCGCATCGGCCATTTCCACGCCCGCACTGCCCTCTCTCTGTCGTCGTTCGAAGCGCTTGCGTGCCTAGTTTCCTTCCGCTCTCCCAGGGTGGCAGTCCCGTCGCGCGTGTACAGTTCCCTCCGGCTCTTCGGGGCGGGTCTGTGTCGTGTGCTAAACAGCCTCGCTGGACATCCACTTTCACAAAGTGGAATGGCTCACAATTTTTTTGTTCCAGTTTGTTCCGAACGCTTTTGTTTCGTTTTGTTCAAGAGCAAGTGAAAGTGTGTCTCCCAGCACGACTTCTTGGCAGCGCTACAACGACATTTCATTATGTGCTACATTTCTTCCCAGAGAGTGCATGCAGTGCGCATTGGATGCTACAAAACCCCCAAGTTAAAAGTGGGTTGTTAACGCTATGGCGTAGCTCAGTTATAAAAAAGTAGAGGCAACGAAGAGGACACTGGAATGCTGATGGAAATTGTCTAGGGAAAGTTTAACTGAGTACAACTAACAAGCAGATCTGGGGGGCAGGCGGGAGAAAGGAAAATGGGGACTCGCTTCCGCGTGGCTCCGGCCCAAAGTCTCAACCCTGTCCCCAGTGGGTCGGGTGTTGGGCGATGCCAGCAAGGTTCAACCAGAAGAAAATTGGCGACTCCCTTGCCAGGGGGAGGAGGAGGGGGGGTGATGTTTTTATTGTTTTTGCCCGATCCCCCAAAGGTCTGCCTGACGATCGTCTTCATGACCTGGTGATAGTTAGAGAAACGCATTGGCTTGAAAAGGGAGATCAAGTTTTTGTCATTGTTTTTAGGCTAGGCGGTGCAAGCTTCCGCCCGTTACAAAAAGCACAGCTGTTATCATCCATCCATCCAACCGGTAGTGCTTCCGCTTCGCACGCAGCGGACCCATGTTCAATTTTCGCAGGCAGCGTGCAATCTTTTTCAAAGATTTTGCAAAGTCGACGACAGACAGCCTACACTGTCAACTACATCAACAATTACTACTACTACAACATAAACAACTACAACTACAGTTGAACCTCGATCTAACAAACCCTGATCTAACGAAATTTGCGATTTAACGAATTTCTTTGTGTCTTCCTATTTTGCCTTCATTGAAAACAATGCATTTTATCTCTCGATTTAGCGAAGTACTTTTGCGCCGCAGTTTCGATTTAACGAAGTCCTTGGAAATCGCATTTGCACACATCGGCGGCCTCCGCGAGAAAAATAATTATCGGCAACAAACTTTATCGTCGAAAACTAACATAAAAATGTGCAGACATAATCTTTTTCACAAAATAAAAAAAAGTACACACTGGTGGTGGTGATGATGATGACGAGACTCTGCCTCTCGTGGGGAAAAAAAGTCCGCCATTACATGCATCTACGCCTAACGAACAACGAATATTGTTTCGTGCATCGAGTGGTTGTTGTCTTCCTTTTCTGGAACAATGAGTGGCCTATCGCGCAAAAGGAAAGTTCTAGCTCTCGACGTCAAGGCGAAAATAATCGCCGAAGTGACGGATGGCGAAAAGAAAAAGACGGTTGCCGAGAAGTATGGTATTTCGCAGAGTTCACTTTCCACAATCTTGAAATTAAAAGATAGCATCATAGCAACCGTAAGTGCGAGTGGTTCAAGTACAGCAAAAAAGAACCTGAAGACTTCTGCGTACGTCGACGTCGAAAAGGCCCCGTTTACTTGGTTTACCGACATGCGGGCTAAGAACGTGCCTTTGAGCGGAGAGCTGCTTCAACAGAAAGCCCGGGACTTTGCATGCATACTTGGGTGCGACGACTTCGAAGCCAGCAGTGGGTGGCTGCAACGATTTAAAGATAGCCACAGCATCTTCGGAAAGGTAGTGAGTGGCGAGTCTGCTGCAGCTGACGCGATCGGAGCTGCTGACTGGCTACGTGATTGTGTCCCGGATATTTTGGCACGTTACGACGTCGCCACTTTTCCGACTGCACGCTCTCCTACGGTGCTAGGCACTGCTCTCATAACCGTGCAAAATGCGGGTCGATGAACTGCATTCTTCTATTACCGGCACATTTTATACTGGTATCTTATTTGTAAATGCTCACTTGCTAGATGTGAGGCAATTGGGGAGTTTTGGGAGCCTAGCAGACCACTTGCAATGCTAAAAAACCAAAACCTCGGTTTAACGAGACTCGAGATTTAACGAAATTTTTGGCTCAAAAGACGACTTCGTTAAATCGAGGTTCAACTGTACTACAACAATGGACGTCATTTCCAGTGGTAGGAAGAGCCCATAAGAGCTATCGCTGCAAAAAAAAAATGTTAGAGTGACTAGAAGGCCCGGTTACGACGACAGTGTTACGTTTGAGGACTGAAGGTTCCGGAACCAACCTGGTCCGCTCCACGGGCGCAGTCACCATGGTCGGCTTGGCTTGCTTCTGCTGCTGTTGGGCAAGCTGGAAAAACAGAACGCCTAAAAGGTCACTGTTGGCCACTCGAGAATCAAGCACCGCACGTCAAAGAAAGCGAAGCACACACAATAAATCGTGCACCTGCATGCAGGGATGACACGTCGTACCCAAAGAACTGTTTGTGTAGGGGACCTGACCAAAAGCCAATTTTCTCAAAACGAGAGAAATTTGTCTGTGCCAATATTCGGCAAAAAGAAATCAATCTGCCTTGAACATCCCGAGCTTCATGACACAAATCCTCAAAATATTGATGGTACAAAAACCCTTTCCCTAGAAACGTATCTTCGCTATGCGATCAGCAGCAGACGCCCATCCTGCTGCAGATCTCTCTCCAGCCTGACAGACCGCGGAACTTTCGGCTGACACGAGTTGGGAGCACTTTTCGCCAGAACTTCTACGACCAACCACCAGAATCGTGACGGCATGACAGACCGACTCCAGTTGCCACTTAAGGCCCACTTTGGGTGCGCGGGTGCAATAGCAAGCTAAGCGCACCAGATGGAGACGCTTTCCAGGCACCATGAAGGCTGGTTCACACACCCGCAACTGCTTACGTCCGAATGACGTTTCGCGGCGAGAGAACGCACACTGGCGCCATCTATCGAGTGGCCGTCGGTCACTCAACATTTCTGTCAATTTCCTTCTTTTTTTTTTTCAGCATGATTCTTTCTTTTTTGGCTCCAAAAACTTTCGGCAATGTTATAAACGACTATTTCTCATAGACGGCATGTATGTTTGATCCGGCAAATACCGCAAAACATTGTCTCTAGTGAAATGCAATTCCAGAATCAACTCAAAGATACCACCAGCGTGTTCTTCCACCTGAAGAGATGACAAGAACTCGGTTGTAAGCAAGCGCACACCGCTAAGTGGCGAACACACTGGTCCAAGACGCGTTCCAGGCAACACAACGAGGTTGCCGGGGGCGAGAGAGAAGGCCCTTTGACGCACCTTCTGGCTGAGGTCCTCCACTTGCCGATGCGCCTTGTCCAGGGCGTCCTTGGCCTCGCGGAGTTCCCTGTCCTGTCGCACCAGGCGGCCCTCAAACTGCGACCGGATCGTGCTCTCTCGCAGGCCACTCTCCTCTGCGACGTTGCGGACGCCCGGTCAGGTGACCCCACCTCCGATGGCGGCACTCCCGCGAGCGACTGCTGTCTCATTTCCGCAACCAACTCGCGTTGTACCAGACCGCACGGGAGCGCTCCGGTACACGCCAAACGAGAAGGTCGCACAATAACTAGCACCTTGCGATTGACAAGGTATCCAATGCCGTCACCAGCTTCCCCTTTCCGGCTGCCCCTACTTCGCGCTTCGTCGTTCATTTGCGTGCGCTCACTCAGTAACTCGTGCGTGGATCGTTTTTCTATTTTTCGGTTGCTTTTCTTTTTAGTTTGTTTACTTTCGAGCTTAGAACATTGGGGTTTCGATACATGCTTTCACAAAACGAGCATTTGAGTTGTACGAGATTACAAAAGATGTCACTTGGCGGTGTTCATCGCGTGTATGACAGCAACACACTTTGTGACAGTAAAACATTATTTAAGCGGAAAACATTTTTTTGTTACTTACGACAATGGAATAAAATTCTCAATTTATAGTGCGTGATTTTCTTTTTATAAATCTGGCGTTAGTTTTGATATAGATTGTTTTTAATGTTCTCGATGCAATGAACATGCAGAAAAAATCATGTTGCACACACAATACACTTGAGAGTCTAGTAAAATATGCTAATTCATTCCTTTCAAACCAGTGAGTAAAATAAACAACAGAGGTCTTCAAAAGTGTATGACTGATTTCGTGATTCTAACCGGCACTAATTATTTTTATACAAAAAATATGAACATTAAAAAATAATAAAACATCATAAAGCCCAAAGTCACATTTCTCGCAAATATGGCAGTTTTTCGACCCGCATCTCCTCCTAACGAGCGTACATTGTATAAAACAATGAAACTAATTCGAGTTTACTGTATCTCCTTCGCAGCAGCACTAAATACACACAAAAAAAGATTTTTTTTTATCTTCTTCTATTTTTTTTTTTGCCCACCTAATGACATTCTGCCCACCCCACTTTTTATTAGGAATTTTAGGCAGTGGAGGGGCAAGCAGTGACTTGGTATAGTATGGTACGTCAAATAATTAGCTACCGTCACGCTTCTTTTAACTGGGCTCGACCGTACTGGCGAAAAACTTGGTTCCTCTGGTGCACATGCGCGCAATATTGCCAAGTAAACGTGGGGTGAAAGTGCCGTCGCAACACATACGCCTCGATTGCTCCATGGTGGACACTCTCCTGTTGGACGTCTCCAAGTTTTCCTTGAGACTTTGGTTCTCCCTGGTCAATTCTTCGATTTTGGCTGCAACAAAAAAGAATGAGCCTCAAGCGCTACGGCATCACGAGAGTTGTGGAAACCTCCATACTAGACTCCATTCAAAAGCAGTCTTAAAGTGAAACGTGTAGAGTTGAGAATGCCACCCTTACGCCAGCGTGCCACGCAAGAGTTCGTAAAGGCTGATTCACACACTCACGACGGCTTACGAAAGAGTGCATTACGACCCCTCGTGATGTCTTATGACGGGGGAACATACTGGCGTGCTGGCACCATCTATGAGGTGGCCCTGGAACTGCATTTCGCTAGAGACGATTTTGAGGTATTTGAGAGATCAAATGTGCATACTCCCTAAGACAATAGCAAAAGAATCGATGCGTGAAAAAACTAAAAAATACCGTGACTACCCGACAAATGGTGTCAGTGTCTACTCTCATCTCAAGAGGTTGTAGTGTGCAAGCAGACGCAAGTCTGTGAACCGGCCTCGAGGGGGAATGTGCGGACACTAGGGCTTTGGCCATGCCTACAACGGAAACAAAATGACCCCACTCACTGTTGAGCTCCGCAATCCGCTTGCGAGCCTGCACGATGAGTCCCTTGGCCTTGGCGCCTGCCACATTGGCCTGATCTCGCTCCGCTGTCAGGCGGGTCACCTCCTGATCACATTTCAAGTGCACGGAAGGTAAGCGAAAAGATGCTCTCAGCGTAATACTAAACTCATGTAGGGCAATTCTGATATTCATACTTCTCTCCCCCATCCCCTAAATCCTACTACCCCTCGTTCGGGGGAGATCACTCCCCTAACTTGCGGGAGCAAACTCAACACGAGCTTCGAGAAGGTCTCCCAAAACTTCTGGACAAAAAGTGGAATGTTTTTGCGAGACGCTGTAGAGACAGATCTAAATTACTCTAGCTTGTTCGCCAATCAAACAGCAAATCAAAACTGCATACGGCTCCCTTAAAGGGAAGGTAGTAACAGCGGCGGTCGGCAAAGTTTGGTCGTACCTCTTCAAAGTTTGATGGCGTCTCCCCGAAGTTTGAACAAAACTCCCCAATGTTTTATCGCACTTCCCCAGTTTGAATGAAATTCCCAAAAGATTAAACACACCTCTCCAACGCTCTATTGCACATGCCCAGTTCAACTGCACCTCCCGTCTAATTCCACTTGCCTGGTTTGAGTGTACCTCCCAAACCTTTGAACGCACCTCTCCAAAGTTTGGACGCACCTTCCCAAAGTTTGATTGTACAACACCAAAGTTTGATCGTGCATCCCTGCAGTTTGACTACATTTCCCCAATGTTTGATCGCCCAGTACAAAAGTTTGATCGCATCCTCCCAAAAAACTTTTGCGGTGATCATTTTGTCGACTCACGGCCTTGGTCTTCTCGAGCTCCTCCGTGAGCCCCGTCAGCTTCTCCTCGAGCTCTTTGAAGTCCGTGTCTGGGCGAGCCTGCGCCCGCGACTGCTCCAGTTCGGCCACCTTTGCTTCCAGCTCCTTGCTACGGGCCGTTAAGGCCTGTTTTTCAGCCATCAACTCCTCGTGTTGACTGCGATAGCGTCGGGCTATTTTCTTCACCTGCACCGTCGTTGCATTCGTCTCAGGGGTGGCACTCTAATGGTACAGAACTGTCGACAGTACTATCAATATTATCAACAGTGGAAGCCAAATCTCACCATCTATAGCAAAAAAAAAACTGTCAATAGTACTTTCAATAGTTGACTATCATAAACTATAGATAGTACCTAGTATGGATAGCAGACTACCATGAAGCTGTCGATGACGAACTATAGTAATTGCAACCCATTTATAACGATAATAAGAAAACTAGAAATTTCGATCGGTATAACCGATTACCGTTTTATCTGGACCAGAAACTGATCATTTCCAGCCTAGAAACTCTAGAAACTGATTGTTATAAGCGGTACATCGCTATATGGGGTATCGTTATAAGTGGGTTGCACTGTACATTGATAGTCAACTATCGCAAAGCTATCAATGGCATTTTTGGTAGGTGACAAAGAACGTCATTTATATAAGCAGCTACACTCAATGCTTTTTCAGCCGTAAACAACAAAGACACCCGATGGTGTACACATGCTGCCGTCTACTAGTCCCTGGATCGTACTACCTATTACTTTCCTCAACTTGAAAAACTTAAGGTTTATATTTTTACAGGCAATTTATACCCCATTAGCTAAACGAAAAACAAACAGATAATGAAGTCTTTTTACTCTTTAGTCTACATATTACGCTAAACGGATTCTTCCTCTTTTTATAGACGCTTTGCAGCAGTTGTGCATGGGCGCCACCATAACTGACCTTCAGTTTTTGTTTCCTCTTATTCCATTTTCTTCGCTGAAGGTCATAACTGAAGGTCAAACTGAAGGTCAAACTGAAGGTCATAACTGACCTTCAGTTTTTGTTCCCTCTTATTCCATGTTCTTCGCTTCATCATTACCACAGCAGTACAGGTTTTTGCCATCTTAGATTCCAATGCGTCCTTCCCAGTATTGGCCTTTCTGGAGGCTCGTCAACACCCGCTTCAGTGGCTCGGTATCTCGGTAAAACAAGAGAAGGTCAGCAATGGCGACTGTATTCTGGCGCGTGTGTCTAGAGGGTGAAGCCTCTATATATATCTGAACCTTCGTCTTCCTCTTCTTTCATGTGCCTGCCTAATGTGCGGCTCTTCGCACCCTTGGCAGGCACACATTGTCGAGGGCCTTGCCGCTGGCGCAAAAGGAGAAAACTGCGTAAGTGCACTGCCAATTGGGCTGCACCACAAGGAACTGGCATACCTGCGAAGGGCCGCACACTTGGCAGGCGCATGAAAGAAGAGGAACACGAAGGTTCAGATATATAGAAAAAGAGGAAGAATCCGTTTAGCATAATACGTAGACTAAAGAGAAAGAAGATTTCATTAAAATTGTTGCCAGTCCAGCGACATGTCTGCCTTTTTGTTTGTCTCTGTGTGTGTTTCCTTCAAACGTCCAGCTGGAAATTTAACACGCCGACACTTGCCGAGCGAGTGCAGCTTTCTGGAACCGAAAAGAAACGACAAACGTTTCCGACCTGGACGATGGTCTTGAGCTTCTCCTCTTTGTCTGCCTTGAGCGCCTCGAGCTCAGCGGCCATCTTGATCGCCTCGCCCTTCTGCCGCTCCCCCTCGGCGCGCGCCGAGAGCAGCTCCTTGCGCAGCTGCGGCAGGTCCACCCGCATCTTTTTCGCCTCTTCCAGGAGGGCGTTGAAGCTGTTGAGGCGCGACGCCAGCTCCTCCTGGGAGGCGTTGAGGCGCAGCCTCAGCTCCGCGGCCTCCTCTCCCGCCCTCGCCAGCTGGGCCTTCGCCGACTGAAGCTCCTCGGTCAGCGTGTGGGCCTCTTGCTTCACTTTCGTGTTTTCCTCGCTGAAAACGGGACGCAAACGTGCTGTGAAGCCTCCGACGTGTGGGCAATGCGCTCAAAACTATCTCAAGCCAGAGAAATGCCTGATTTGGCACAAGCTTGGCTATCCTCAGGGTCTAACTTGGGCCTAATACGGTTTTACTCCAAAACGTTACTGCCAGAGTACTCTCCTTTCGCGTTTCTGCGGCTTTTCTCGGGCTCGCCACAGAATTGCCGAAGTGCCTGACCTGAGCCAGAGACGCTACATATGAGCCAAACAACCGGCAGTGAAGCCTAAATTTGGCACTTGTTTGGCAATTTGGGCCCAAAGTAGTCGCACGAAAACCGAACAGCCAGAAGCGAAGCCTAGCTTTGGCACTTGTTTGATCAAAAGGCCGAGATACCCAGGCTCAGGCCAGAGAAGGTCAAGTTGGGCCCTGCCTTGGCTTCTTCAGGCTTTTTAAGACCCTACATTACCAAGCAAAATTCAAGATTTCGGAAAAAAACAAAAAAACGTGCTATCAGCGATAAGACTGAAGCGAGGTTGCCAGAAGTGAACAGCTAGAAAAGCTTTATGCCGGTTGCGAGTTCTAAGCCATTCGTGCTAACAAGAGCATGCCTGCACTTCAGCACTGGTTATGCAAGACTTTCTCATGTTGCATATCTTTGTAAATCCTTCCGATAACCCCCTAGCTAGTCTATCTTGGCACGCATAAAAACATCTGAATTTCTATCACACACTCACTAAATTTCTAGAAAAATTAAACACCATTCAAATCGTGTTTAAAGATTATAATATTCGTACTCTCATAAAATTTATTCATCGATGAGCATCACAAAATGGCATGCTCGCATTGTTTAAAACGAAACCAAAATGAACCCATTTGACCATATTTGCACAGTTATAGCAAGTCTCTTTTTCTAATCGAACAGAAACATGGAAGTCATTTTACGACTTTACCCTAGCACATAGGCACCCCAACTGGGATCCGTTTTATTTTACTTTTTACTTTAGCAGAGCAAATTCTGGAAAGAAGGAAACCTCCAATCGTAGCGAGCAGAGAGCTTCGTGAGAGGGCTCCGTCCTATTATTCTAAACCTGAAACAGACTATAGGCAAACTATTCTTCCCATGTAAGCACTATTTTAGAAGATTTGTGTCATCCGGAAATGCATAACCAATGAGCCAGCTGCCTCCAGTATGAGCATTGTTAGCAGTGATAGAGTGCAGGCGAGCTGGTAATTAATCGACATCTTGTAAACCCTGAGATGGGTTTACAAGAAGTGGAAGTCTGCAGACTTCCACTTTATTCCGCCGATGCCGAGACTGGGAAGAGTTTCTCAGATTTCATTTGAGAAAAATAGGCCTTTCTAGAGATCTATGAGAACCCCTGCACTAGTCTGTTGACTCCTAAGCAGGCGGTGAAGGGGCAGTTACACACTTGCCAGACCAAACAACCCCCTGCGTTTCATCACCTGACCCAACTCTCTGCGCGTGGGTATGGACACAGGCCACTGGTCCAACACACAAGTAGCCTCTACAGCACTGCCAGCTTAGGGGTGGGGCAGACTGGACGGCGGCCGACGTGGGGAACTCACGCTAGGCGCCGGAAGGCCTCGGGGTCGGTGCGGCTCGACTGCTCCAGGAGCTGGTTGGTGCGCTGCTGCCAGCGCTGCACCTCGCCCCTCAGGAAGCCCACGTCCCCCTGGAGCACCTCCGCCTGGGCCACCTTGGCACGCAGCTCCGTCTGCAGCGGCTCCAGCCGGGACTCCAGGTCGCGCACCTGCGGTGGGTCGCAATGAGTCGCTTCTCTCATGGAACCGAGCCCTACAACAGATTTTGTGTTAACACTTTTCAAATGCGTAGCATTTATTGGGTCAGCCTCCGCAATTTTGTGTCTGTGTCACATAGCCTCAATCATGTCAGTGTCCCGCAACATCATGTGAAACTACGACGTCACTTGATACTGCGATGTCATGTGGGACCACTAAGTTACATAACACTGCAAAATGCATGACACTGTAAAGCCACATGATACTGGGACTGACGTCACGTGGCATTATGTCATAACTTCAAGATGCCATGTAACGTTGGGACGTCATGTAACGTCGTGGCAATGCACAACACAGTGATATCACGACACAATGATGTCACACGACACAGTGATGTCACATGACACAACGACGTCACATGCTGCCATGATGTCACAGTGTCAAGTAAGAATGACGGCTTTGTATATTCACAAAGCCCTCGTAATGTCTCCTTGAGTGGCCTCCCGACTGTGTCCACTAAAAGGAGTGCATTCTGAATGCTATGCATTTAGAATGCACTTGGGAAATGCCGAAAGAGACGGCCCATTTGTTCTTCCCTCGAATCCTCCGGTGGGTCTTGTGCGGTCGACCTACCTTGGCCTGCAGCTGCTTCTGGGAGTCGCTCATCTGTTCCTTCTCGTCCCGCAGCATGCGGTTGCTCTCCGACAGGATGTTCACCATCTCCACTTTCTTCAGAAGCTCAGAGTGCTGGGTGTCGCTCGAGGCCCTGGCCTGTGTACAAACCTCAAGATCATTCACTCAAACGCTCACCATCCTCTCTTCTTGAAGCCATGCTACAGGTCCTTTTGGTTAGAGGAACTTTTTGTTGCAGGAACCTCTGTTTATAAGAACATCTGGTTACAGGAATCTTTGGCTATGGAAACTTCTGGTTACAAGAACCTTCGGTTACAGAAACCTTTGACTACAGGAACCTTTGGTTACAGGAACCTTTGGCTACAGGAACCTTTGGCTACAGGAACCTTTGCCTCCAGCAACATTTGACAACAGTAACCTCTGACTACAGGAACATTTGGTTAAAGTAACACGACCACAAAGCAACACAATAGTTTGTATCTCTTGCAGTTGCATGCACGAGCTTTTATACTGCCAATTCCTGCCACCCCATTTCCTCCGAAGTGCATACATGTTCTCTTTAGGGGTGTCGCGAACCAGCAGAGGTTCGAGTTCGACCAGGTTCGACTTTTTCGAACTTTTAGTGGAAAATTCGACGAACCTTGTATTGAGGTTTGACTCGTGTGCGCATGCGCGACAGGCTGGCCAGTTGGCTTTGGATTGGATGGTAGTGGCTAAGGGATAAATTAAGGGCAGCGCTGATTGGTTATTTCACTTAATACAGTACAAAAAAAAAATTAAGTTATTAACCTCTTCAGTGATTAGAATTAGTTTCTTTTAATTGCAACCGTTTATAAAATAAAATAACCCTTTTCTTTAAAAAACATCCTCCAAACCTAGACATGCTTGTGTCAAGGTCTGGCCACACTGTCCACAAAGTCGAACCGGTCGAATCTGTTGAAAAGTTCGAAGGTTCGTCGAACCGGTTCGACCCAGTCGAACCCCGAAAGTTCGACCTCAAAATCTGGTTCGACAAAAGTTTGCGACACCCCTAGTTCTCTTCCCCTTTGCCTTGTGCACATTATCCCAACCCATATGCGCGAGTGCACCCTCTCAACACCTCTAAGATAGTGAGGCTGTAGTTCTAGATTTCCTACGCCAGCTACCGGATTGGACACGAGTGGCGCATTAGCGTTTTGGTTGTTTCGACTCGCATGGCGCTGGTTTACAACTAATCACTCGCGCGTGCCTCGCATTCTCGAGGCACGATTACACCACATGGGGATCCGTAGGCCGGCACTTTGCCTCGTAGCCGCCAAGGTGGCCTCTTTTGTTGCAGGAGCGAGTTACACCCAGTGGCTAGGATATGACACCACCTGCATTACATTGCCTGGAACGCATTTCCGACTGGTGTGTTTATCGCGTCCTAAAAAGCGGTCCCTCGATTTCCGCCCGATGACATCACAGAAGCGTCCTGCTGTTGCCTACCGCGATTCTGGTGGTGCCGCAGCACCACCAGGATCGCGGCTAGTGGATGTGGCAGACGCCTCTTCTGCTGCAGGTCGCTCTCCAGCCTGACAATCCACGGAAGCTAAAGCAGCCGGAAGTTAGGACGCTTGGACGACGGCGACACTCGCGTCCTCTCGGGTGAAAATAGGGAGTAAGCCAACTTTCAGTGCAAAATAAAAAAAGGAAAAAAATATCAGTTTTAGATATTGTGACCTGCGGAACTTGTGATCGCAGGGAGGGGCGATGAACCTAAGACGACCGTTCTTCCCAGTCAGCAATGTTCGCTTATCTCCTTCCTAGGCTAAGTAACACCATTCCTGCTGAGGTCACCATTGGCCAAGGACCTATACTTACTAGAAGTGGACTACCTTTTGGTGTTTTTGAAAAAAAATAGCAAATTATGCCAAAAATAGGGGGCGGATGATCTTTCGGGGGTGGGACATCTATCGGGATATTACGGTATTTTATTCCAAACGCTTTTGTTCACGCACACCACGGTGCATGAACGCAACGCAGACGCCCAACGATTTTGCCGCGATTTGTCGCAGCTATCGCTGGGACTGTACCGTGGATCAACACGAGACGGCTCAATTTTTTTACAGCGAAGCTGTTTACGGATAGGACTCCGTGGATCTTTCGTGTGCAGCGACTAAAAACTCTACGCTCGCACCGCCGCACGCCTTCCCTGTATAAAAGATTCCAAGTAAAAAACCAAAATAAAGCGTTGACAAATGTGCATGCAAGATGCCATTTGTTTTAGGCTTTTGATTTAGAACAGTTACTGCTGCAGGCGTCGGCACGTACAGCGCTTGGAACACCATTCCCTGAATTCTCCTCGATACTTGGGTAATTTAGCAATAGGTTTATTCAGTAGATTAGTTATTAATAGACACAATTTTCAAGATCAGTAGACTCTCAGGTAGACAATAAAGGTTTGTCAAAGATTTGCCGCTGTGCGACCCGCGTCAGCCATGTCTACGCTTGCACCGCCCTCTCTTTGTCATAGTTCAAGCGCTTGCGTGCCCACTTTCCCTTCCTTCCACTCTCCCGAGGTGGCGGTCCCTCCGTGCGTGTCTACTTTCCGCTGAGTGGCGATCCTGTCAAGCGTGTCTAGTTTCCTCCGGCTCCCAGGGCGGGTCTGTGTCGTGTGCTAAACAGCTTTGCGCATCATCTGCCTTCGCAGAGTAGAATGGCTCATGGTTTTATCAAAACTTCTACGGCCAACCACCAGGATTGCAACGTCCGACAGAACGACATCATTTGTCTCCACTTCGGGACCACTTTCGATGCCTGGGTGGGACAGGATGCTTAACACACCAGTCGGAAGCGCATTTTAGGCACCGTACCCACGTTAAAAGAGAAGGACGGCATGCAGTTCATTCACTCACGAGCGCCCTGTCATGCTCCTCCTTGAGGTCTTTCTCGAGTTGCCGCAGCTGCGCCGTGCTGTGCTCCAGCTGCACCTTGAGACGCACCGTTTCCGCCTGCGCCACCTCCGCCCGGTTGGCAAACAGCTCCTTCTCCTTGCGCAGGAAGCCCATCACCTCCATGAGCTGCTCCGACGAGCGGTCCCCTTCCTCGGGGCTCACCTCCTCCCACTTCTTCTGCTGCAGGGCACACACCTGCATGGACGCAGAAACAAAGTTTAGGCACATCTCGACTTCATACGATAAACTTGAGATGCACAGAATGTGTTGCCAATGAAGTGGGCACATGCTGCACATGCATGTCACGTCACGTGACCTCGTGATGTCACGTGGCGTCAATGTGTGACCCCGACATCAGAGTTTCACGTGAGGTCACGGTGTTATGTGAAGTCACAATGTTATGTGATGTCACGACGTCACAGACTACGTGACGTCACGTCGCATGACTGCAACACGAGTTCACGGTGTCATGTGACATCGTGGTGTAACATGACCCGAGGTGTCAAAGTACCAAGTGATGTCGCGAGTCGGCAGGAGGCGGGCAGCAGTACATGAGACAGCTTATGCTGTCTCGTGTACTAGCTCGCACAAACTCGCACTGAAATTGTCGCACGCGCACAAAAACTGATTTAGCCTCGATGCATTGTGGCAGCGACAACATAATGAAACTGGCTGGTGAGATCAGAGATCGATTCAACCGGCATTGCACAGCCTCCATAATCAGCTAATGCAGGCCTGCTTCAATCTTTCTGTCAACCGGCATTGCATTGCCTCCATAATAAACTAATGTAGGCCTGCTTCACATTTTCCCCTAAGTCAACCAGTGTTGCACAGTCTCCAAAATCAGCTAATACAAACCTGCTTCACCTTTTCGCCTTAATCAACTGGTATTGCACTGCCTCTGTGATGACCTAATGCTTATGTTTTCTTTTCTTTTTCGACTTACTTTACTTTAGCCTGATGCTGTCCAACCCACCTGTGAGCTAAGCATCTCGAGCTGCTGATGCACCAGTGCATTCTGCTTCTCCAGTTCCTCTGACCGCTGGGAGAGACCCTCGTTCTCCTTTCGGAGACGCTCCTCCCTCTCAGCCCACGACCGCTGTCCTTCTTCCAGGGCAAGCTCATGGCCCGCCGCCCGCTCCTTCAGACCAGACACCAAGAGCTGCAGGCTGGACAGCTGAAAGCGCAACGAAGACATGCCGCAACACCGCACATTTAACACGATCATGTGCACAAATTGTCAAGTCCAGAAAAACGCAATGTCATGCAGATGTAACTGGTCGGCACCACCTCGTTTGTTCTCAACCCAGGCAACTTGATTTATACAGGCTTGATTATGCTGACAAAGACCAGGGAGCACAGAATGTATCCTGTCCAAACCACACACCGTGAATGATTGTTTCATTGTGCAGTACCGATGTTAGCCAGGACCAGACCAAGCAAATGAGTGCTCTGCAGGGGCGCTACCTTGTATGGCTCTTGTACGACGCGCTACAACAATGAGGTGAACGGCCCACATGGTATGGCGTCACACCATTCCCGCCGGCACATTTTTTTGGGAGCGTAAACCACCTACACAAACTGTGCTGCGCAGCTCAGTGGCCATAATATCCAACTGCCACTGCACCAACCAAGGTTTGAGCCCCGCTAAGGCACCTTTCTTACGGTGATTTTACATGGACCTTTATAAGCTTTACATATAACCTTAAAGGAGCTGTGTAACAGTTTCAGTGCTTTGCTTAAATAATTTGGGAGTTGGTGTCTCGACCTTTCTGAAGTAAATAACAAAAAAACGCTTTTGCCTGCATGTCCTAGTTTTTATTTTAAAAATGGACAAAGATTGAGGTTTTCAGCCCCTCTCAACTCCTTCACCATCTTCCGAGTCAAGTGCGCTGTGACGTCAAGGGGGGTGGCGCGGGGTTCCGGTGAAGCTCTCTCTCTAGAGCCATCAGTGAGCAGCGAGAACTCATCCGCTCGCGACCGCGTGACCACATGCAGGCGGGCGCAGCGCGAACAATATGGTGAAAGGAGGAAAGTCTCATCCGGGTCCGCCCGTCCCCGTCCGGCTCTGTACCCCTCCCCCTCCGGCTACTGGCGGCTGTTCGCGGTAGCAGATAGAGCTGACGGTTTTTTTGGACCTAGGATAGATGGCACCACTAAAACTCCGTATAATAAAATTTTTGTCGATGATACCAGGTTTTTGACGCATTTATGTATATGTTGGAATGACAAGATTTATAGAAAGCTTACCTTTTATCGAGCAGGTATTCCCACAACTTGCTATTTTTCTACAAAAACCCCATTGACGTCACGCCGCGTGTTTCTCATGGCCGCCGCTCGCGGCTGCAGGTCAAGAATATTCTAATTTTTGCCTCGCGATTTAGCGGTGGAAGTGCAACATTTCGAAGGAAGGAGGTGTGTTTTCTGTTCTTAGCGACAAGATGAACAATGTCAAAAGTAGAAGATGCCCATTCTTTCAACGTTAAAATCGTTGCACAGCTCCTTTAAAGTCGTGCAACACTTCCAGCGAGTCGGGTGTTTGTGACACTTGTTTGTGATGCTCATTCATGACCATTGTCTCATAGAAAACGACTCGAAAAACTCCATTCTGTGTTAATACAGTAAATTCCCACTCGAGCGAACGTCGGTTTTACAAATATTTCAGAATAATGAACTTTAAAAACATCCCCGGCAGTTTTCGTATGCATTCTATGCAAAAATGTTTCAGTTAAATGAAAAACGAATTTCGGAATAGCGAATACCGTATTTACTCGCAGAATGAACGCACTTTTTTTTCCGAAAAATCGATGCAAAGTTCGGGGGGGGGCGTTCATTACGCGAAGTAAAATTTTTGCGTCGGTTATTTACTCGCATAATGAACGGACCTTTTATCCTGAAAAATCGAAGTAACTTCTTATCTCTCTGCGCGCGGCGCCCTACCCCGTAACCGAACTAAGCCGTGCAAAAAAAAAAAAAAATCCTCTTTTTTTTTTTCTCTTAGTTCCTTGGGGTTTTTTTTGTTGCCGCCTTTGCAAGCTGTTTTGTTTGCTTAGGCGTTGCTTAGGCGAGGGCTCTCCGCTTATCTTTCTTATCTCCTTGCGCGCGACGCGCGACCCCCCCCCCCCCCCCCCGTAACCAAACTGGGCCGTGCAAAGAAAAGAAGAAAAAAAAAAGCTCTTTTTCTTGTTTTTTTTCTCAGTTCCGTGGGTTGTTTTTCTTTTTGTTTCTTTTTGCCGCCTTTCGCAAGCTGTTTCGTTTGCTTAGAGGGCTTCTCCGCTCCTCTTTGTTACCTCCTTGCGCGCGGCGCGCGACCCCCCATAACCAAACTGCATTGTGCAAAAAAAAAAAGAAAAAAAAAATTCGTTTTTTTTTGTTTTCTTTTAGTTCCGTGGATTTGTTTTCTTTCTTTTTGCCGCCTTTCGCAAGCTGTTTCGTTCGCTTAGAGTGCTTCTCCGCTTCTCTTTCTTACCTCCTTGCGCGGGGCTGCGCGCGAACCCAAAGTCCAGACTGCGCTGTTCAAAAAAAAAAAGCTCATCTCGCATGTTTTTTTTCTTGCTTCCGTTGGATCTTTGCGAATTTTTTTAACGTCTTTTGCAAGGCGTTTTGTTCGACCACGCTGCCCATGCATTCGCGACCTTGCTGACCTCGCTGCACCAGGATAGAAAAGTGCGTTCATTTCGCGCGCGTGGGAGGAGGGGGTCAAAATTTTGACCTCCGAGTTGGGGGTGCGTTTATTACGCAAGTGAAAAAAAAAGTCGAAATTTCGACAGCCGACTTGGGAGGTGCGTTCATTGTGCGAGTAAATACGGTACTTCAGTTCAACGAACTTGATCAGTGGACCCACGATCAGTGGACCCAACCGATCTGCTAAGTGCCCACCTCCGAACGTGCGGTAGAAAGCGCTTCAATGTCGGCGGCGTGCAGGAGGAGCTCTCGTTCATACTTTTCTTGTGCCTGCGGGAAGAGAGCACAAGGCAAGGATGTCAACATCAGTTCATCCAGTTTTTTTTCTGACAGACACCAGGGTTTGCATGATTGACAGCCCTAGTTCTGCTGCACAGTGCAATAAGCACTTCTTTGTGTAAAATAAGTCCTATCTATACTGAAACAATCAAGACAAAGCTACATTCAGCCCGAACTAGAATATGTAATGTCACTGAAAAAATGTGATTCATTACTACATCCTCTGCCATTTGAAAACTAGGATGACTTTGAAATTAATAATAAAATTATGTTATCAGAAATTTTCTCCAGTATCACAATGTCAAATGAGAGGTGGTCAGTCAACACATGGATAAGGAAAAATACTCTGGTCACATTAGACAAAAGCACTGCACATAGGATATGTTGCTGGGCCGCTAACCATGGGTCACGTGGTTGGTGACACTATGGGTCACGTGACCAGACAAAGAGATATCATGTGACGTCTTGGATGTATGCTCTTCCCTAGACGTCGCATCTTGCCCATTGCATCACTCTGAATTGGTGCACAAGTGTGCACAAATCTTTTATGCTGAAAAATGCCTACTTCTACCCCACAATTAGAACTCCACATTCTCAGATAAATCCTATAAACTCGAAAGAACGCCCGCCGATAAAATTTTCGTCGATTCGAATTTATCCGATGAACAACCAATTCCAATGTCCCAATTAAAAAAAAATGTATAAAAAATTCAGAGGACACTTAATAAGCACTTTTTATGAGTTGTGAATGCAAAAGCATGAATGTTGTTCTTTTGCTCTCTTAGTTCGTCTGCGGTGATACTACTGGCGTGGAAGGCCACATTTTGCTACTGCCGAGGTAGCGTCCAGCGAGCTAGCGCGCGCTCTCGTGAAGCGGCTGCCGATGGCTGTCTAAGAGCCTTTTTGCTGAGCCAATGAAAGAATGAATATTTTTTTCGCATTTTTGTTTTGCAGTTACAGACGCCACCGGCTCCGCTCCACGAGACGGTTAATGCTTTCGCATTAAAAAAGAATGATATTTTATAATTAAGTCTGGTCAGCGCATAGGGCCGATGGTCCTGAGATGTCACCTTAGTTTTCTTTCCAATCTGGGATGATTGACAAAATGGTGCTACCGTTTATCTCAAACAACAGGTCATGGTACTTCTGGGTCTCGACCAAAGCTACTGTTCCAGTTTGGACCTACTTTTTGTGCTTCTTAGGGGTCTTTTTGTAAGAGTGAAAGCTACGAACCATCGAGATTTCATAGAAGGAGGAAGGAAGCAGGGGGAGGGGGGGGGGGGGGGCAGTTGAGGCTTCTACATTTAACCCTTTACCGGGGTGATTGAAGAGGATAGGATGGAAACGAGCTTCCCGACGACTATCTCCAGGAGTTGCAATTTTAAGGCATCAACGTTTATTCAAGCAACATTTGTTTGAAAGTTCTGTCATGGGAGACATTGATTAGTATTGACAATGGCAAGGGTGCCAATGACAAATCCAGATGAAGAAATATCTCATACAAGCACCTAGATACCTTTACACCCAGACATTATTTATTTTTGAAAAGTAGGAAACACTGCAAAACTAAACTCCGAATTCCAGAAAACTAAGAATCTAACAAAAATAAACTTATAAACTAAGAAATTAAAAAAAAAATAAAAAATACTCCAAAGAACATTTCTTGAATATGACTAAAAATAAACTCCGAAAACACGGAACCCTACCTATAACATACTTTATGTTAAAACTGACAAAAACACAACACAGCAAATAATAAAGAAATGCTAGAACAAAGGAAGAGGAGAGGAGCAAAGCAGACTGCTGCAACCCGAGTGTCGCGGCGTCGGTGCCACCAGGGGGCAGAGTCTACACCCCTTTGTAGCCGTTCGCAACCCTCCATCCGTCCCACCTGCTTGACCAGGGCAGACTGCACGTCCTGATCCAGGAGCTGCTCCGCATCCCGGCGTGCCTTGTCTTCGACCTGCTTCTGCACCTGCTCAAGCTCCTTGCCCGCAGCAGAGAGGCTTCCCTGCAAAGCCTCCACCTGTTGTGGGGGCGGGGAGACAAGCCAGAACCTGTTTCGAGCTCTATCGTCAACACAAGCACTCTCTCCCAAAGGAGAGAACAGCTTGGAAACTATGGAGACTTCTCTATGTCCGTACCTTCCCTACTACTGGATGTTTTGGGACGAAAAAGAACTGTTTTTGTCACCGTAAAAATAAACTGTGCATCAATAATAAGGTTGATAGCTGTGCTAGTTGGTTTTCATTATGGCTGCAAGACCATTAAATGCACGACCATGAATACGACAGATGCCCAACACCAAAAATTTACACAGAAATTATACTGATGCATGAGGCACTGGTGTCACAAACGCAAGATATGGCAACGATTTTGTGCTATACGGATAACTTTGCAATACATAGTTTTGTCCCATGATGCCCGACTTGCCTGCTGTCTCTTTTCTTCGAGAATCCGGAGCTTTTCGTTGCCCAGTTCGTGGTTCAAGGACTCTAAGTTGGCAACCCGCTCTTCCAAATTCTGCCGGACTGCAGAAAAGAGTGAGTGGAACCAATCAGCGACAGTCGTGCCTATAAAAAGACCTGCTTGAAGCCACCCAATGTTCCCAAAGCATCACGAGTGCGTGCTGAGGGACGAGACCCAGTTCACTGATCAGTCGCACGCAACCAGATACTGTCCAGACCGGTTATAATTAAGTCGGTTATAACGAAATAGCGGTTACAGCGAAGCAATCACGATTTCCCATTTCCTTTTACTTCGTAATAACCGAAGTTGGTTATAACGAAATAGCGGATATAGCAAACTAATTTTCGATTCCCGTTGACTTCGTTATAACCGGTCTCGACGGTAGATGCCAGTGGAGTTAGTTGATCCCGAGTGTTTTTACACGAACGACGGACCGTTTGTAAGTTACAGTTAAAGTAAAGGCTGTTTGTCCGATCTGTCTTACACTGAAACATCTCTCATCATTTGCAAACACTGTTCCTGGTGTCAAATTATCTGACTAAACTTTAAAAGAAAAGGAAAAAGTTCACATTATTGTTTACTTTTTCAAATTAGCATAATATCTGCTAATATAATACCTGCTGCAAACGCCAACTAAAAAGTGAAGAAAAAAACAAACAAATGCTGAATCTTAAGGCTCGAGGACTACCAGCTGTTGGGGGCACAATAAAACGCACAATTAAAGGGACACTGACAGGGTATTTATACTCGCCGAGGTTTTTAGTTGTACGTGACATATGAGAGCTCAACTACCCAGAACAGAATTTGCGGCTCGAAATGCGGTTTCTTTCCGCCCGAAAACCGCCGATCAAGAACTGGCCGGTTCGAGTCTCGCTCACTCTCTTTTCCGCGGTCACGGGCCGTTTTCTAAGGTATCGATGCGACCACCAAATTTAATCAAAGTCGTGGGTCACTGAAAGCACACACTCAATATTAAAAATGGAAAAAAATATGAAACCCATTTTTTGTGGCTTCTAAAAAGCTGTAAATACGTTGATTAAAAAAAAAGTTCCACAGACAACCGGAAGCATTCTGTGCGTGCGTCGTTTCGCGTATCGTGGGACTCCCAGGGACGGCGATGGCAGCGGACGACGGGCGTGGGACCTCTATTTCAGAACTGTCGTTCGCGGTACCGGCGAATTTTGTCTGCCTTTAAAAGAGAAATTTGGGAATGGTCAAAAGAGTTTGTATTCATCCCGTACGACACGCCCGACCACCAAGCCAATTTGCACGAAGACGTCGCCGAGCCGTCGCTCCCTTCTTGTGGCTGAAGACATCGCTCGCGCAAACGTCAAGCGCAACGTGTCTACTTCGAGTTGAATATGCACGCGTACGATTTTTTTTACTAGGTGAGAATGTCGCCAATGCGTGGTGCATCCCGACTTCGACCCGGGAATGCTTTTGCTAGAGGAAAATCGGCAGCAAACTTTCCAACTTACAGTTTATCGGCTGAATTATTACTAAGGAAAGAGATACCCCAGTTTCGATATGCTCCTGTAGCTCAGTGGGAAAGACGTCCCCTTCACACGCGGTGGGACCGAGTTCGACTCCCCGTGAAACCTTTTTTTTTTTTCTTTCAAATATTTTATTATGTCTACATATCTTTTTTTTTTTACAATTATTACTGAAGAAACAAACAAAAAAATATAAGAAACAAATGTTGTGGACGGCACCTCGCTGAATTAAATGGTATGGGATTTCCTTTTTCACACCTGCGAACTCAATGTAATCACTTTCGACAAAATGCAAGGAGCATATAAATCAGGTAGCGTCCGCTTTCCGAGGTGCCCGTAAATGGTCTACAGGAATTGCAGCCAGCCATTGGTCCCGATCCCGTTGATCTTTCGGAAACTCTGCCGCACAATGCCACTTCTGTTTCGGACGCAGGACATGTGAGCCAGCTCTTCACGCAACATCTTGGGTGTATTCTTTTCAGAGCCGATCAAAATTCACCACGGGCACTCACTACTCATCTCCAACTCCTCAATGTACAAAACAACTCATCTTGGAGTACAGAACAACGAGCGGAACATACATAACTGCACAAGAATCCCACGGCGAACAGTTCCCATACGCCGCATGTCGTCTGCTACCGGGAAGGAGAGAAAAAAAAAAAAAAAAAAAACACGGTCGGGTGTAGCCACGTGACTTCCGCCACTCACTCTCTTCTCTCCACTTCTCCGACCTCCGTCGGGTTTCGGTTTCGAGCAGTTGCGTCTTTTGACTTTATAAAAAAAATACGCTACTCTGTTGCAAAATATTAATTGGGTAGTCCTCCAACACCATAATGAAGCGCCTGGCAAAAAATTTAAAAAAAATTTTGGGGGGTGTCAGTGTCCCTTTAATTGACACCGATTTCTCAGCTCCGTAGGCTGTCTGCTGACCTTCAGAGGCCTCCTGAAGTGACTCCTGCATCAGCTGCTTCAACTGAGCACTTGCTGCGTCCTGCTCAGCGAGGCGGGACTCTGCATCGCTCGCCAGCTTCTTCAGCGACTCGGCGTACTTCCGCGCTACCTCCAGTTCGCCCTGAAGTTCTGTAACCAACAGGAACAAAGAGTGACTACTTCAGCTTTGCCCATTGCCGTTGCAAAGGGCCTCCGGAGAACATGTTCTCGGACGCGTAACCTTGAATAAATAAAGAAGGGAGAGTGCTCCCAGTCTCCAAGGGGAGAAAAGTGGAGAGGGATCATCTGCCAAGCTGAAACAGATTTTGCACACGAGCCTACGACTTCCCCTACGTAGTAAGGACCTTACTTCATAGGAACAAAACATGGGATTGCATCGGTGCTCACAAACAATGAACGGCCTTTAATGCAGCACAAATAGTCTTGTGCGAATAGTGGATTCTGAGTTCAAAGCGAATTCGAAGCGAATAGTGGTTTTGCCCGAATATTTTCGATTCGAATATCGAATAGTTTTTCCACACCTTCCACTACCATTGCATAATACCTAGACGAAAACCCAGCTAAACTTGTGAAGGCTGTTCCACTTGTTTATTTATTAACTAAGTTTAATCTATCTATATTTTTGAACTGTGATCTCAGAAGGTCTGGTGTCTTGGGATGGCAAGTAAATGACGGATTTGACATAAAATGAATCCTCTAGAGATGGCCAACTAATATCCAATGGAGTGAATTTACAGATCTTGCTATATAAAATATTCTTTCTTTAATCTCGAGTTAAAAAAGAATGAATCATGCATGATGAAAGCAGGTTGTAAGGGCATCTCTGCCTAAGATAGTATACTCTTGCATAACAGTTTAATTTTAAAAGTTTTACTACAATGTAGATACACACATTCACAAACTTTTCATTTACTTTCGAATACAGTCGGCACAGGTGCAGCATCCCGCTTTGAATGTATGGTTTACTTCCAAGCACGCAAGTACAATATTCATACTTTTCTAAGCGTTTATAGCGGCGGGTTACCCCATTGAGTGCGCTTCTTACCAAGCACCGGTGCGCTGCGGAGAAGCAACACCCACGGAGCTCGCTTCCGCGGGCATTGCTTCTCCGCAGCGCACCGGTGCTTGGTGAGAAGCGCACTCAACGGGGCTAACCCGCCGTAATCAACACTTCGAAAAACGCGAATAGTGCAGTTATTCTCGAAGCGAATATCGAATAGTGTATTATTCGGAACTACTATTCGAAATATCGAATATTCGCACAACCCTAAGAACGAATAAAACAAATACAATGCATGTAAAGAGATGGCATAAAATACACAGACTCAATCTTTAAAACAATCAAGCCGTGACCTCATCTTTACTACGTCTAAGGTTGAGCGAGATCAATGTCAAGATGACTATAAAGTGGTTGAAAGAATTGGATACAGAATCAACTTTGCGCGACCTCTTGCACACCATAATTTATTCCCTTTGCGAGTTGAATGAGTAGGTAGTTTCTTTTGGGAGCGGGCCGTTACCTTTGACCTGGTCTTGTGACTTTGCGAGCAGGCCCTTCAAGGTGGCAACCTGGGAAGCATCGGCCGCTGCAAGGCCAAATGTGGGAGACGTTGAGCGTTTGCAACTAATGTATGCAATGTTTGCAACCAAATGCTTTTTTTCTTTTTTCTTCTTTTTTTTCTTCTTCGCTTTTTTTACCTATTTTCACATACTTTCTTTCCTTCGTTTCTTTTTCTGCACCACGCTGAAGGCGTCATGCTGTTTGTGGGCATGTATCAAATAAATAAATAAATAAATAAAAATAAATGAAGAAAACCGTTGTTACTGTTACCATCATTGCATCATTATTTTTAGGCTAAGAAATAACTAGGACTCCGTGTTTTTAGAGTTAATTTCTTGTGAAATTCGGAGGGTTTTTTCCGAGCTTATTTTTCGCTCAAATTTCGAGGTTTATCGGAATTTATTTTTGCTAGATTCCCCTTTTTTTTTCTTTTTTTTAAAATTGAGTTTAATTTTATTTTATTGCCAATTTTTTTCAAAATTCAATAGTGCAATATTTAACAAAAAAAATAAAAAAACTAAAGTGGCCTCTTCTCAAGACCACTGATCCTATGCTCTTATAAAATTTTTATGTAAAACACCATAATTTTTGCCTTTTGTTCTTCCGCCATAACCACAAAATTTAGTTGTTTTTTTTTTTATAAAATTGAATTGAAGGAAATTTTACCAGCGAGTGTTTTTCAGATTTTTCGGAAAACACGGAACCATAAAAATAACCAATGATCAACCAACCTGAATGTCGCTGTGTTTGTGCGTGATGCCTCGTGGTATGCGGTACAATGTTCACAGTCAGAGATTCCGTTATAACTTTGCCATTAACTCTTTTTTGACAGTGCCCACAGGACATCGATCACCAATGATCGATGGTTTCCAGGTGCCGTCAAGAAATTAAATTTTATGCGGAGAATTATGTACCACAGTCTTTTGTATTGCCGAAGAACCGTAGTTTTGTTTCAACGTTGGTTTAAGCTTCATCACAAGCTCGTGTGCTGTCAAAGATAGTCATGGGAACAGTGGCTGCACTTGTCTAACATGGCTAACTGCTTGTATCAATCTTCGTAACAAAGATGGCATTATTTACATAATTCAACTGCATTGTGGCATATTTCGTAGGCATCAAGAGATGTGGAGAGACTTTAAATGATGTTATAGGCGTCGCTTAACGGATGGTTGTCAATAAGCATAACTATAATTTCCATTGCTTTCCTGAGCCGACGGGCACGTTTTATGTTCCCAACAAGGCGCACAAAAATTCTAAATAGTATAAGGGAACTGCGATCGAAGCTGTGAAAAAACAAAGATAGATCCCAAGGAAAGCATTCTGCTGGAGACATGAGGTGTACTGTCTCTGTTTCACCAATATAAGCATTCCTTCATTAAAAAGCACACATGTTACGCACAGGCTTCGACAAACTGAAAAAAGACAACATCAATTAGAGTATACTAACTTTCAGAAGTAATAGCCATGGGTGTGGGGCACAATTTTTATAATCCGAATTTTTTAGCTTGTCGTTTCATTTGACATAGCTATAAAAGTTTAGGCGTTTGTACGCCTTTTGCACGTACACTGTATTTTCAAGAAATAAGATTCGAAAATATTTTTCTAGACATTATATTAACCTCTGTTTCTTTTGAAAGAAGAATTAATTGACCACATTTCGATGTGTAATATTGTTAAATATACGAGTTAGTTAAGAAAATAAAAGCGTTTGCACGGATCCTTTGAAAATCGCTAGTTTTCCCATGGTCAGGAAAGAGTTAAAAAAACTTTTTTTTGCATTCTACTCACATTTCAAGATTATGCGCAGAAGTCTGTTAAATTAAAAAAGTGAGTGCAAAACAAGGTAGGGATAAAAACAGAAGAAGTTCTCACGTGATCCTTCCGAACGATGGGTCTGCGACTGGGCTTGAGACAGCTGCAACCAAAGCGACAGCAGTCAAGAACAGTGCACTCGAAGTGGGCCACAGGCAACCAACCAATCCCATTAACCACTTCCATCAATCAATCGACCTAACTGTCAATTCTTGGTTCATCCAGTCTACTAACCCAACCTCAAATCAACCCACGCTAGTAACTGCTGGACCAGCGTCAATCAACCCCCCGTACACTATGCAATGAAGTTGGCATCGGCAAGACAGGGTCCCCTTTTCATGCCGATGCCTCAGATAGGCCCCCTTTCACCACACAACGAAATACGACGACCGTTTCAGTTTTCAGAGGAAGACAGACACGAAAAACCAGATGGCAGCTTGTTCCTGCCAACTATGCCTACACGTATACAGTCAAACTCCTATATATCGAACTTGCAAAAAACAGGAATTAGTTCGATATATTGTGTAATTCGATATAACAGTTTTAATGAATTTGACTCTCAAAAAACCACTTTCTGCTGACATAGTCCACAATGAAATAGTCTTGCATCTCCCGCTCCCTTGGCAAAAGTTTTTTTTTAGGGGCGAAGCTCCTTAGGGTCTAGCCTAGTCCGTCCGTCCGGCCGGCGTCCGTGCTCACATAAAAAGAAAAAATGTTTGCGCAGTCGACAGGACTCGAACCTGTGTGTGGAGACCCCAATGGATTTCTAGTCCATCGCCTTAACCACTCGGCCACGACTGCGGGACGAGTAGGGGGCTCTGAGATGGGGTAGTAACTCAAGTGCTGGGGTTTCTGTCATGGATGAAACGTTGCATGTAGCCGCTCAACGTTTATACAGGAGAGGGCGCTGCGGTCAAATGCGTATATAATCGCGTTAAACTTTGCATGCAATGGCTCAACGTTTATAGACGAGAGGGCGCTGCGGTCATATTCTCAAATGCGTACATAACCACGTTCCATACCACACATTCTCTTTCTGACATGGACCGTTGACTTAAGCGGTGGAGATGCATTCCCAAGCTTCTAGCGGATCCAAGCTGATCCGTTAGAAGAACCACCGACTGCATTTCACTGACCATGAAGCAGTAATAATGAAGTCGAAACACAACCCGGAACTCAGCACTACATATGAGCAATAAAAAAAATCAGCACCCTCAGCACTACATATGAGCAATAAAAAAAATCAGCACCCTCAGCACTACCTATGAACAATAAAATCAGCATCATCAGCACCACCAGAGCTTCGCCCCAATCAACATCATTCACCACGTGGAGATGCGGTCATTTTTTTTCTTCCAAGCAATCGACGCGGCCACCCGGAAAAGAGAACAAAAAAACGCCAGCATGCTCTGCAAGTTGGCTTTCCCCCAATGCGGCCATTTGCATTGGGGGAAAGCCAGCTTGCATAGCAAAACGGCAGTCTTGGCAGTTCGATATATCGCTAGAAGCTGCCATTTTTGTTCCATGTAACCGTAGTTTTTGCTATATATTATCACAGTAACATTACTGGGCACAAGAACTGTTCGATATAAGAGATAATTCGAAGTAAACGGGTTCGATGTAGTCGGGTTTGACTGTACATCCGATCCGATCAATCACCTCAACTATTGTCACTGGCGCAGTGTGTTCAGAACATCTTATTATCCCTTTCCAGACAATAAGAATGCCGAACATAATCAGTCAAACCCTGCGTGTCTTAAACTGTTACTGACCACAGTCACCCAACTATCGAATCTTCAAGCAGTCCCAAATTGGATACACATTCCAAACCTGTCCCACTCAACCGATTCAATAAGCTTCAATAAATAAATAACTCAATCGACAAAGAGAGAGAGCCTCCTGAATCTGGTTGAGGCAAATGTCTGAACAATCAACACAAATTCGAAAGCTATCAGTCCCAACAAACCGATCAATCGGCCTCAATGGACTTAGTCGCTCAATCGATCCATCTACGAGGTGGGGGTATCCTCACCTGCTGCCTGGCCTGGTGCAGCTGCGCGTAGGCCTCCACGAGTTCGTCCTGGCTCTTAGTGGCCTTGGCGGCCTCTCGGTCCGCCCGCTGGCCAGCCTCCGCCACCTGCCGCTCCCAGACCGCTGCCAGGGACGCCTGCTGCTCCCGCTGGCTCTCCAGCTGGCGCCCCAGGGACTCAATCTCGAGCTCCAGCTTGCGCACCTGCACGAGACGGGCGCCACGCAGACCACCGGTCGTTTGTGGATCGTCCGCAACACGCGCATGGTCTGCGGACCGGGTCGTGTCAACATCCGGGGGATCGGTTGCCAAGCGTGTTCGTGCACCGCAGCTCGTTCAAGTTTCTCGTCTACGGAGTAAACTAGTGTCGCCGCACCTGAAAGGCAGACTGACCTTACGCTGTACAAAAAAAAAAACATTTAATTTGGTTTTATTTGGTTTCGGTGTTGGCATCCGGCTTCTTTCAAGTTTTAAAATGGTCTCCTTAGGCTTCCTCAAGCCACTTTCCACACGCAACCGTAACGTTGCAATGGTCGATGGTTGGTTTTATATATTTATAAAAATTCGGACGGTGCCTACGAACCGTCCCCCGCCAATCTTGGATTGATGGGAAGTCTTCGTAAGCGTCCCTCTAAATGTTTCTTCTTGTTCGCCGATCGTCATCTCTGCACACATTCCGAAACCAAGCTTCTAGACAACTGAACGTGCTTATATATGGCCTAGCTTATATTCACGTCTACCGAGGATGTTAACAGATGTGTACTTGTGATGTTAACGAATGCTTACTGACAAAGTTAACAAACGTCTCCGCAAACTGATGACAAACGTCCACTGACTACGGTAAAACAGTCTACCGACTATTAACAAATATCTACAAGTTTAACAAATATCTACAAGTTTAACAAATATCTAGAAACAATGATAACAAGGATCTCCAGGGGGTGCTGACAAAGGTCTCCAGACGACGTTAACAAATGCTTGCCAGCAATGTTAACGAACTCCTGCAGACAATGTTGACAGAGGTCTCCAAGTAATGTTAAGAAATGTATAACCACAATGATAACGTCACCAGAGGATGTTAGTGAATATCTATTGACACATTAACAAATGTACGCCGCCGACGTTGACAAATGCCTACCCACAATGCTGAAGTCTGCCGATGAAAACGCACGTCTAGTTTGGCACAGTCTGCCAGAAAACAAGCCAAAGCGCAGCCCGACGGGTTGCTTTCTGTTGTCGTCTCCCCAGAATATCATGCCCGGAATGTGTCTCCAAATGGTGTTTACAGCATCCTCGAAAGTGGTCTTTCAATTTCTGCCGGAAGACGTTGTAAAAGTGCCCTGCCGATGCCCGCCACGATCCTGGCGGTTGCACAGCGGCGGAGGTAGGTGCAGCAGACGCTTCTTCCACTGCAGGTCATTCTGCAGCCAGACAGCAGACAGAAACCAAAGCACGCACGAGCTGGGACGCCGCGACGACGGCAACTCTTGCGTCTGCTCGCCTCTTTCGCCAGCATTTCCAAGACCTGCCATCAGGGTCGCGACATCCAACAACGCTGGCTCCCGAAATGCAATATGTTGCCACAGGTTGGGACGCTACACGCAGGAGTAAGAGGTGACCTTCAGCCACCATATCCGGAACGGGAATGTGCCACGAAGGCCCCACCTTGCTGCTGGCAGCCTCCTTGCGCTCGGCGTCCATGCGGTCCAGGTTGAGTTGCATCATCTGCAGGTTGGCCAGGATGCGCGCCTGGGAGCCCTGTTCCTGCCGCAGGGACTCCTGCTCGCGCAGCAGGCGCGCCTCCGTCGAGCGCAGCTGGTCCCGCTCGGCGCGCATGCTCTCCAGGGAGACCTCGGCGCGGGCGGCTTTCTCCTGGGAGACCATCAGCTCCTACGACAAACAGACGAGCTCAAATGTAGCAGATGCAGAAAAGTGAGTTGCGCTGATATTCGAATGGTAGTTTCGAATAATACGCTATTTGATATTCGCTTCGAAATGAACCGCACTATTCAAATTTTCCGAAGTGGTGATTGTGGTGGGTTTGCCCAGGTGGGCGCGCTTCTAACCGAGCACCGGTGCACTGCAGAGAAGCAACACCTGCGGAGCTTGCTTCGCGGGTGTTGCTTCGCCGTTGAGCACCCGGGCCTGTAAGAAGTGTGCTCAAAGGGGCAAACCCGCCACGAACGCTTCGAAGTACAAATATTGCAGTAGAGTGCTTACGAAAAAAGCACACTTTAAAAGCAGGAGGGCTCACGCCTGCCTGGTGTATTTAAGAACAAATAAAAACTTTGTGAATGTTGATATCCACACTACAGCAAAACTTTTAAAATTAAAATGTGGCTATTATGCGGAGTATACGTCAGGCAGAGATGTACTGACAACCTGTGTTTATCATTCACGATTGTCTTTATTTCTTTTCTCAAATTCGAGATTTAAGAAAGGATACTTGCATAAACTAGCAAGAGAATTTTTAAATTCCCTCAAGCAGGTCTAGCTGGGCATCTCTATGCAGAGCGCAAGATTGTCTGCTTCTTGCACAGGGGTTGCAGTGATGTTAGAAAACTGAGCTCTTATTGGCTGATTGAAAAAAAAAATAGTGGGTAGACCTCAAGGCATCCAGCATTGGGGTGTGCCCACTATCCTTTCAATCAAAGCCAATCAGAGATCGGCGGCGTCCCGACGTCACCGTAACTCCTGCGCGAGAAGCAGACGACTTGCTCTCCGCATAGGTTTAATGTTACATCAAATCTGTCGTTTACTTGCAATCCTCATGTGGGCACTGGTTTTTCCGAGGCCACTGTCCATAAATACAGCTAGATTGAAAATAACTTAGCTCAGAAATGGACAAGTGGAAGCTTGGGATTAACCTTCACGGATTGGGCTGGGTTTTCATTTAGGCATTTGTTCCCAAGTGGCACAGGTGCCGAGCCACGTGGCACACGTGACGCAACATCATGTCATGCAACGTTATAAAAACATTGCGACATGCCCTTTTTTTTTTAGATGTATCTTGGAAAAGGGACAAAAGAAAAGAAAAAATTTCATTGAGCAAGGGACAACTGAAGCTTTGGATTTCAAGTATGCTTCAGTTGCACAGACTTAGCTTGCACGACAACAAACCACCTCAAAATTCACTTTAGTGGTCTTTTAAAGGGATACTGAGCTCACCCCCAAAATACTTTTCAAAATGCTCGCATAGGATGCGTATGTGACAAAATAAAAATTTTCCAAAGAAAAAACTTTAGCAAAATATTTACGCACACTACGAGTCTCGCGGTGCGCTTAGATGTCGACGTGCTGAAGTGGATGTCACTCCATGTCAAATTTTCCCGCTAAATTTCTCAGGAGACGTAAACAATGCCCCAATATGGCTATAATGCTCATATGACCTTGACCTGTGTGTCGGTCTAGCATAATGTGTTGCTTTTCGTGAAACCCGGCCCTATAACGTGCTTCGTGTTAAAAAGATTTGTTGGGGCGTGCAGAGTCTCTTTAATAAAAGGAAAGCTATGGCAGTTTTTCTGGCTACACTAAGCACAATTTTCAGAATACCGACGCTTCACTCTTCTCAGTGTGTTATTTATTATTTCTAAATTCAAAATAGCCATCGAGAAAACGACACATTAAGGTTATGCCAAAACTAACATTCAAACTTTCTCACGTTCTCCAATGAAGGAACGTCACATGCAATAGTATAACGCGCAAGTCGAGCAGGCATTTAAAGAACTCGGTAATTCACGAGTCTTCTTTTTCTTTTTGATTTTGAAGGGGGGGGGGGGGGTGGCATGAGCTTTTTGGGCACATATTTCACACCATCAAACGTCTTGTAAGCCGTCGGGAACAACCTGTACTACTCCCGTATTACGACATTGGAAGTCACATTTTTGGTGTTGCCAGTTGTAGAGCTTCTCAGCCTTTCAGACCAAACTCGAAACTTCAATCACTTCCCCCCAATACATTATTCTGACTTGTAATCTGGATTACTCGTTCGGATATGTCTGTCAATGTGTCGAACCAAATTTGAGGCAAACCGGGGATTGTCAAAATTTCACCGCAGCCCCCTTTTAACGACCTGTCTGAGGGTGGCGATGGTCTGCTGGTGCTGGACCAGAGTGTTGGCCATTTGCAGCCCCCGTTCCCGCAGGGCCGCGGACTCCTTCATGAAGTTGTCCAAGTTGGACTGGACCAGGGACAGCCGCTCCCGGGTGAACTCCAGCTCCGCCTCCTTCTTGGAGCGCTCCACCTTCTGCTGCAGGCAGTCTTCCCGGGAACGCTCCAGCTGCTCCGTCACCATCCTGCAAAGCGACACCGTCGACCCGACGACATTGTAAAGTTGTCACGAAAGCGTCGACCCAACGACATTGTAATGACATCATTGAGCAAAGATTTTATCTCGACTTAATAACACTGGGCACGTTAAGTCCGTGCTCCAGAGCGCATGAGTTTGGCGCTCCCTTCACTAAACGGACAAGAGTGCCACCGGAGACTGACACTCGAGCGCGCGCTTCGTGCACCGAGAATTTCTCGGAGCACGAATGACTTCTTTGTGCTCTGTGACGTCACGTAAACAAACAAGATGGCTGCGCTGCTGTTGAGACCGTCTGGACGAAAGACATAGCCAGACCGCTGCCCTTTTTCAGTTGATTAGTGCTTATTCCAGCAGGTGAAAACAATTTGATTTGAAAGCCAAAACAGCAATTAGCGTACCGAAAAAAATTTGTTCGTGCATCTCGCCAGAAAAAAGAAATTCACCTAACGAACCGTGCCGATAGCACAGCGACAGAAAAGTTGTCGACATGAGACATTTGGACCGCTCTGTCCCTTTTATGATGCTTAGCCCAGCGAATACAGATACTTCGATTTGAAAGCCGAAACATCAGTGAGCGTTGAGGAAAAGGTTTGTTTGTGCGTCTTGCCTAACGAATTGATCTATCAAACGAGCGTGCCGATAGCTCGGCGACTGAAAAGTTGTGATGAAAAGACAGTCAGACCGCTGCCCTGGTTAGAATGCTTAGTCTAATCCAAAGCTGAAATCTGACGCTCTAACGTAACTTTTTTATGGAGGTGACCATGCAAACATATCCTGCGTTACGAAGGGAAGTTCACAAAGCTCAAGGCCAGTTCGGTAACACTGCTAAGCAAAAATGCATGCAAGAGCCCGATTCATTCACCCAGAGCGGTCCAAACTAAAAAGCCGCGACACCCTCAAGCCGACAACGAGGGGGCCAGCGAGAGACTTGCCTGTGGTTCTCCCCCATCTCCTTCTTGAAGGTGTCGAATTCCTGCTGCAGTTCAGCCAAGGCAGCCTTGTCGTCAACTGCGCCATTCCCGGGCTGGGCCTCCGCTCGTTCGGGGGAGGTGCGCGGAGGAGGGCGGGCGCCGCTCGGCGTGGACATCATCAGAGGCTCGAAGCTGGACAGTTCCTGAAGCATTTTTGTAGCAACAGCTGTTACTGGGAACCTCCCTGGGTACATACAGGAATGGAGAGTTGGGCTAGTTGCTAAGCTTTCATGATGAAAAACAGTGCAAAACACAATGACACAGAGAAGCGAAATACATACAGGACAAGGCGCTGTCCTATATGTATTTCTCCTCTCCGTGTCCTTGTGTTTCACGCTGTTTTTCATCATGATCCCTGGTTACTAATTGCACGGTCTTCCCTCACGAAAACTCCCGGCGACGTCATCCGCTACGTCATGAATTACGCGACCACTCCCAGCTTCCGCACCCGAGATTCCCGAAGCGCCAGCCGCCGAGTTTATAAAACAAGAATTTCTGTTCAGACGAGCCGCATCTGAAATAGCGACCTATGAATGACCATTTCCCCTAGAGTCGACCGCTCCACCAACAATTATAGTCTCCTTTTATTGCGGTTTCTAGGTTACATCTTTTGCAGATTAGTTTCACATACACTTCTCTTTCACATCGTAGTATCTTTCTTTTATAGTTTTGAGTGTATTCTTTGCAGATTCTTCTTAAACACCTTTTCCACGAAGGCGCAGCCATCTGGGAAGTCACCACTTCCAGTATGGGCAAAAACATTGTTTGGCCATCGCCATGCCAATCAAACACATTCAGGATACAAGCGTAACCGTCACCCATTCTCGTTTTGCCTCCCCTCAATTTTTTTTACTATTTGCGGGTTTAAAAGTTTAATTTTTTTTCCTCAGCAAACTGTCACAAACCGGCTTTCGGGACTTTGGATCAACAGAGGGCAAGACTCTTTCCGAACTCACAGGAGGCAGCTTGATGTTCTTCTGGACCACCAAGGCGCGGTACATGTCCCGCTGCTGCGCCAGCGACGCCACCAGCGCCACCTGGCGAGACTGCTCCTGCTCTAGCTCCTGAAGCTGTGCCATCACGCTGTCATACTTGGCGCGCAGCTCACCGGCCCTGCGGTGCCCCCCAAAAAAGCGAGCGGGAAAGCAAGAATGATTGTGAATGCAGATCGCAGCACAAGCACACGAATTCCGTTACGCGAGCAGGACATAATACACACAGTCAAAACGCCTTCATGCCAAATGCCTCTTCCACGATAAAGGCCATTTAACGAAGTAAACTAAGGTCCCAACCAATTCTCCAGCTCAACAAAAAATAAAAAACCTAAACATAACGGGCTCATTCTTGACCTGCGCAGCGAAGAGTGTCGTGCAGTGGTGTAGGAAGAGGGAGGGTGGGAAGTTTTGGGGTTAAAGCTCTCCATGAAACACTCCACGTAGCCCACCTCCCTCCGTAACGCCTCTGGCCCTCAGGGTAACAAAATATATAGATAAATAAATGAATGCTCCATAGCTAACCTCTCCCCCTCTCCCCCCTTTCTCTCCCCTCCCTCCCAAAGAAAAAGAATTCTTGGCTATGCCACTGCTGTTGTCGATCAATTTTGCAACACCTGTCCAACAGCAAAGAGAGTGGTTACCTGTCTTCGGCTGCCCGCTTCTCCTCGTCCTCCTGCTTCTTGCTCAGCTCCCGAACCACGGCCAGCAGCTCCACGTTTTTGTGCTGGAGCTCCTCAATGTCCCTGCACACGCCGCCCACGGGCAAACAGACGGTTCACTTCACGCAAAAGCCGACCCAGGACGCCGGGCATGGCGAGATTGCCGCGACATCCGCAGTCGTGGCAAATATGCGCAGATACGACCTACTTTCGTGATACAACAGTATAAATCGTGGGCTCTCAAACTGGATTCCTAGGAGCCCAGGGGTTCCTTAAGGGAAGGCACTTTTCTTTGAGGCAAAAAAAAACAACTAAGAAAACACATTTTTGAAATTGTGTTTTTTGAAGATTGGTAGGCACTTATCTTGTCCTCAAGGATTTTCGTTAAGCAAGTCTCTCTTATCTTAAAATATTGTCTTGGAAACAAAGTAAAATGGGTCTGTGGATGTTTTTTTTATATTATTTCTGAGTGAAATAAAGCCACATCTCCACTCGCACATATCTAATCTTCATTTTTTTTTTTCTTTCTCTGGTAGGCGCATGTGTGACATATGCAATACATACAAACATATTAAATAGGGTATCAGGCTTTTTTTTAGGTGCCTTTTAGGCATCCTACAATAAATCATTTTGAAACAGGAAAGTTCAAAAGTGTCCTAAAAAGTTTATAAAGCATCCTAGAGCTTTCATTTATGCCTTATTGAATTCCATACACCTTTAGTTCACTGATATATGTTTATTTTCTTATTTCAATATTTCAATTTGCCTTAATACTTCCGATAATCTTTGCAAATCAAATTTTCAATAACAAAACTAATTAGGTTACATCAAAACCAAGTACATATTTGCAGTCAGATTATAATGGCAAATAATTTCATTTGAGTTGAATCACAAGTTGTATAAAAAAAGGTCTAGCGTGTTGCCCTTAACCACCCACGTAGGTTCCCCAGACTACCCACATGGGCTCCCCAGACTGCCCTCATGAGTTCCCAGACTGCCCTTATGGGTTCCCCAGACTATCTTCAGGGGTTCCCCAGACTATCTTCAGGGGTTCCCCAGTCAACCCCCAGGTGTTCCCCAGACTGCCCTCAGGGATTCCCCAGACTGCCCTCAGGGATTCCCCAGACTACTTAGAGGGGTTCCCCAGACTGCCCTCATGGGTTCCCACTGCCCTTATGGGTTCCCCGGACTATCTTCAGGCGTTCCCCAGACTACCCCCAGGGGTTCCCCAGACTACCCCCAGGGGTTCCCCAGCCTACCCGCACGGGTTCCCCAGACTAACGTCCATAGATAACGCTATGCGAGGTTGCGACAAGTCCCTCCTCCCGCAATCCTCCCCTCGCGCCTGCCGTCTGCTAGAGCGCTGTCCGCCATGTTCTTCCTAACTCGCCCACTATGGCTGTGTTCGAAATCTTCTAAGTTACTCTAGCGAGTCATCTCACATGATAATCCAGATGTCACAGCGTTGGACGCGGGTAGGTACAAAACCGTTACTGGGGAGTGAGGTTGAGTCAAATCCGCCATGTTCTTCCTAACCGAAAACGGAACGTGGGCGCAGACCAATGGGAGAGCGCGTCGGAACATCAATCGCTGTTGCTGCTTAGCAAAGCGTTAATCGAGAGACTCTACTCCAGGCTATCCTCAGGGGTTCTCTAGACTACCCTCATGGGTTCCCCAAGCTCTCAATTTTCCCCACTCGTTCCTGCCCCCAAGCATAAAGATTTCTTCTTAAGAGCTGTTTTAGCAGACCTCAGTCACCCACTGGAGCACAACTATGAATCAAACATTTCCTGTTAACCTGCAATATTGCTTACAATGTATGTAGGCATCTGCACAGCTTTACTATATCAGTGCATAGACTGGAAGGAGTTTCTCGTCTGTACTTCGAGGCAGAAAGGGATTCGTTGGCTGTCATCCAAGGCATGAAGGGTTCCCAAAATTAAAAAGTTTGACCCCCGACGTAGAGAATCCAGCACCACGGCCCGGGAAGTGTCACATTGACCCCGGAGAGGGAGCCCACCTAAAGGAGACGAGGTGCTTGGAGATGACCTCCTCCGCCGAGAGGGGCGTTCCCTCTTCCGACGATGAGATCTCCTGCTCCTGGGCGCGCACGGCGTAGCCGCTCCTCGCGTCTTCAACTTCCTTCAGCAGCTGGCACACCTGCGGAGAAAGCAGTCATGCCGGCTCAAAACGACGTGCCAACGAGGCATCGCCAACCTTGGTAAGGGAAACGCAGTGTGAGTCAAGGCATATCTCGATAAAATCTAAAAAACTCTTAAGATGCGCAAAATATATGGTAAACGAGCCGGGCACATCCGTGCGTATGTGCAAGGTAATGTGACGTCATGGATCACGTGCACTCATGACATCATCAACTTCACAGTGTCACCAGAGCCGTAAATATAGAGAGTTTGGTCATTAATTGGTAAGAATAAGGCAAAAATAAGGGCATGTCATTGGCTAAAATTGTTTCAATAACCTTGGCACATTGATTGCCATCTCTTGCGACCAACCACTAGCCACGAATATTCCTTTAGCAGAGGCAATGAGCTTAACTTATATCTCCCAATCAAAATTTGTAGGTAAGGATGCCTTCAAGTATTTCATCTCAGCATGCTAGAGTTGAAATTGGCAACTCTTCGTAACTGAAAGGGCACGCACATGACGCTGTCGTGACGGCGACATTCAGAATGCACTCAATCTTTCTTTTGACTGCAGTCGCAGCTGCGGCCATGATGGAATGGACGGTGAAAACCGTGGACTCGGCCGCGTGAGAATTTTTACCCTAACTCCAAAATGTTCGCAGTTTCGCCTCCACGTTTCCTTTTCACCTTTTCTGGCCCAGTAAATGCACTCAGCACACTGAAATTCTCTATTTCCATCAATCTCTTAATTACCCATTCATGCACTTTCAGCCTCGTCCAGAAACAAAAAAAAATACCTGCGCCGTGGCACGCATATCTTTCAAAGTCATCTCTGATAATTTTACTTCGCAGGATCATCGCAGGGTGAATGTGCAGCGCTGGTGGCGGCGCCGCATTGTCGCTCCTCCCATTAACCACACTCTATATACTGCTCTGGGTGTCGTGTGACATAACGCGATATGAAGTCGCATGATATCATGTCACACGACACTGAGACATCATAATGTCCCATCACCCGAATGTCAGAACGTCGTGCGACATCACAGTCACTCAATGTCACGGTGTCACGTGACAGCCCAACATCAAGGTCACGTCGGGGCTATATTGCTCGTACGATCTCAACCTGCACGTCGGCCGAGCATAACGTGTCGCTTTTCTCGCGACGCCTACCCTAGAACAAATTCTGCGTTGAAATGCTTCCGTGGAGCAACGAGAAAAAAGCGAGGGGCCGCCCTCACCTGCTTCGAGAGGTCCTGGCACTGCATCTGCCACCGCTGCGACTGGCGCTCCGCGTGTGCCAGGACGCGACGCGCTTCGTCACGCTCCTGGATCAGCCGCTCCTGCTCCACCAGCGCCGTCGTCAGCTGCTCTCGCAGGCTGCCCACACTCTGGAGGGCCTTATCGTACTCCTGCGTGCACGGGCTCGCGTTTAAGGGGCGAGGCAATGCTCTGGCGAATCAATTGAGGCAACGGTCTATGTCACAATGGAGCAATGTAAGGCACGAATGTGCGGCGGGGACGCACCTCCATGTGGCGCGAGACCAAGGGCACCCTGTCGGCAACCTCCCGGGAGAGCTCGTCCAACTGCTGTCTCAAAGCGTCCCGCTCCCTGAACGCTAGGCGCAGCTGCTGCTGCTGCTGGAAGTGCTCGCCAACCAGCTCCGTCAGGCTCAGCCCGGAGCCCAAGGCGCGGCTCGTGGCAGAAGCTGCGGGGAACAGCGTCTCCAGGTCCCGGCCGTTTGCTCCTACTGGAACGTGTGAGGAAGACGCAAGGTCGTCTAGACCTGGTTGCAAAAACAAAATGCAACACGACACAACGCGAAAAAAAAATAAATATGTGAAGTCTTGTAATTCACAGTGCGGTCAGGGGAATAGCTGCAACAAGTCCTGGAGAAGTCGTTGGGCATTGGTGTTGTGTTCACGCACCGTGGGGCGCACGAACAAAAGCGTTTAGAACAAAATAGACGTCTGATCACTTTGTTCCAAATGCTTTTTTCTGTTTGTTTTTTCTTTCGGAGCATGTGCAAGCGCGTCTCTCAGTACAAGCTCTTGACACTGGCAATTCTACAGCAACATTTTTTTCTGCATTTTGTCATCGGCTAATTTTTTTTTCCAGAGAGCAAATGCAGGGGTTATTGGATACTACAGAAACCCTAAGCATAGAGTGGGTTATTACCGATGTGGTGAAGCTCAATGGTAAAGCTTCCGCTTCGCACGCAGCGGACCCAGGTTCAACTTACGCGGGTGGCGGGCAATCTTTTTCGGGAATTTAACAACACTAATGACAAATGCTCTACATCGTCAACTACAACATCAGCAATGACAACCACTACGACGTCAACAATGGACGTTATTTTGTGAGAAGAGCCCATAACAACTATCACGGTAAAACATTTATGTTTGTGTTTAGACAGTGTAAGGTAGGTCCGCTTAAAAGGTGTGGCGACACTGGATTACGCTGTAGATGAGACATTTAGCCAGTGCAGCACCACTGCGAGCCTGGGGTCTTTCACGCGCATCACAGAGGTGATACACAACCACATGCCAATACGGTGGTCATCTAGATCAAAATGGTCAAGGGTGGAGATTGAACACAGTATTCCCGGGTTCTTCAACGCGAGTTTGTTTGGCTCAGTTATACACCAATGGCTGGCTCAGATCTGCTAAAACAGAAGCGTTTTAAACAAAACAGTTTTCTATTTTGTTTCGAACGCTTTTGTTCACCCACCCCATGGTGCATGAACGCGACGCCGATGCCCAACGACTTCGTCGTGATGTGTCGCAGCGATAGCTGCGACTGTACTGTGGATTAGTGCAGGGCTGCTCACTTTTTTAAGGTTTCAGCCATCCACAGATGCACAACTACGTGCCAAACACTCGCTAGTAACGTGAAGTACTGTTTACAAGGTCTGTGATCTTTTAAGCTGCTTTACTGCGTGAATGCTGAGGCCTGGAGAAGTTGCTTGGCTATTGACCTAGAGAGATTGGCGCTGTTCAAGATTGAAGAGTTCGAGAATACCTGGTGTAGTCACAGGGTTCTCAAAACTGGGTTCTCAGCAGCCCACGTATTCCTTCAAAAATACAGTTCCGGGGTTCCCAAAGCACCCAAGACCCTTCTATGCTGCCCGACCTGAAGTTAAGCACTTCTCTATCTTGGCCACCGTTTTAAGTGAACGTTATTGCGGTCAGGGGATCACCCATTCCCGTAACATGCATCGAATTATGAATCAGTGCAAAAGTGACGGAGTTCCTAAGATGCTTTTGAAAGTGGCTGGACATTAACTCAACCTCACATTAACTCATTCCCACATTAACTCAATCTCCCATTAACTCAGACGGGCAAAGATAGAGTGCAAGCCCCACCCTTGTCCTGCAGGAGGCTGTTGGCCAGCTCCAGCTCCTTGGTGAGCTGCTCGCAGGCCCGGTCCCTCTGCTCGAGCAGCTCCTGGGCGCGGGCGTGGTTCTGCTCTAGGGCGGCCTCCCTCTCCTTGACCCGCTCCTGGGTCTGCACCAGCAGCTGCTGCATCTCGCCCAGGGTCGACACTAGCTCTTGCACGCGCGCCTTGCCCGCCGCATCCGCTTCCTGCCGCGAGGGACAGAAACAGACGCCAGTTAGACACACTCGAGGGCAACGGAAGCTTTCAACTCAAAATCTCGCTGGATGCACACTTCGGAGAAGCCGGGCAGTTTGTGTGCTTGTTATGCAAATGATTTGCTCGTTATAAGGGAGAGAAGCCCGCATGGAAGGGGGTGTTTTCAGAGAGTGGCACCAGTCTAACCATGCCCTACGTCTTTCTATGCGCGGAAGCAGTGTTCTTCAGCTCAGTCGAGTTTGTTTGAGTCGAGATCAACTGCGTCTGCAAGAGTAGTCGGCGACACAAAAGAGCACCATGTGGTACTCGATTTTTATACATGCCGGTCTTTATTCGGACTTTAAGACGAGCCGGTGATCGAGACGTCGCCCAGGCGAATCGGAACAAAAAGAAATCGAAATAAACCTGGATTTATGCGACCCAAATTCGTCCCTGATCATACCTAGTACTGAGCTCCGACACTGAAAGAGCCGCTCAACACACAGTACTGCGGTGTTTCACCAACATCGAAAACGACGTCAACCACCAAGTGCCTGCGTGTAAACAAATGGTGAAAGTGGCAGATGCTGTTCATCAACATGGTGGTATGCAGCTTACCGAAAGGAAAAAGGCATTTTGTGGAACTTCCCTATAGTGACTGGAAAACGCCTATGCCGTTCGTGCATTGAACAGTCCCTAAAATGGTAACAAAATGAGTTACGGCAGTCATCGAGAAAATGCTAAAGGGTTGTCGCCATCCCGACAGTCGGTTGGAGAAGGCCCACGAATGCTGCCAGAGTTTCCACCAAACGTACAACCTCAGAGCAAGCTACAGCCGAACAGGTATTTTCCATATCTACCTCCAATGGTGGATTCGTGGTAATCCACAGCATTCGCCGGTTGCAATGCCCACGCAAAACATTTGAGGGCACTGTTAGGCGGCGCATACTGTAAGTGTATGCATCCTCACCAGATGTCGCCACACAGGTTGGAGAGGAACACTTCCTGCGAGCCCCGGAGGAGAGCGCACAAAAAAGAAGCAAGCGACATGTGGGAGACGTGCGGATCGAATGAGATGTTCGGTACAACTTCACGTCAGAGCGCACAAAAAATGAAAGACGTTTACAAATCTCTGTAATGCAGCACTAGAGTGCAGCTCTTGAGGAGGAGGGAAGAGAGTGGAGGGGAGGGTATGCCCCTCCTCCTCCTTCTGCCGCTTAATTTGTTCATGAGTAATGTGACACAAAGTCGTGATGCCATTTTTCCTGCCATATTTTGCAAGGAAACTTAACCCGCTAAAGTTAGCAGGGAAATTTAACCTTCTAAAGTTAGCGGTAGGGTTGTGCGAATATTCGAAATTTCAAATGGTAGTTTCGAATAATAGACTATTCGATATTCACTTCGAGAAGGACTGACCTATTTGCGTTTTTCGAAGTGTTAATTGCGGTGGGTTAGCCCTGTTGAGTGCACTTCTTTCTGAGCACCGGTGCACAGTGGAGAAGCAATACCTGCGGAAGCGAGCTCCGCGGGTGTTGCTTCTCTGCATTACATCGGTGCTCGGTAAGGAGAGCACTCAACGGGGTAACCCGCAGCTATAAACACTTGGGAAAGTATGAATATCGCAATTGCGTGCTTGGAAGAAAAGCATACATTCAAAGCGGGATGGTGCACGCGTGCCAGCTGTATTTGGGAATAAATGAAAACTTTGTGAATGTGTATATCTACTTTGTAGTAAAGGTTCCTAGATTAAACTGACTGTTATGCAAGAGTATACTATGTTAGGCAGAGATGCCCTCACAACCTGCTTTCAACATGCACGATTATTTCGTTTTTAACATGAGATTAAAGAAGGAATGTTTTACATAGCAAGATTTGTAAATTCACTCAATTGGGTATAGTTGGCCATCGCTATAGGATTCATTTTATGTCAAATCCGTCGTTTACTTGCCATCCCAAGACATCAGACCTTATGAAGACACAGTTAAAAAATACAGATAAACTTAGCTTATAAATGAACAAGTGGAACAACATTCACAAGCTTAGCTGGGTTTTCGTCTAAGCATTATGCAAAGGTAATGAAAGGCAGGGAAAAACTATTTTATATTCGAATCGAAAATATTCGGCCAAAACTAGTGTTCGCTTCGAACTCAAATTCCACTATTCCCACAAGACTAGTTAGCGGGGAAATTTTCCCACTACATTTAGCGAGGAAATTTTTCCGCTAAGTTAAGTGGGAAATTTTTCCGCTAAATTTAGCAAGAAATTTTCTTGCTGAATTTAGTGTGGACATTTACCCACTAAATTTAGTGGAAAATTTCCCTGCTAAATTTAGCAGACAAATTTCCGTACTAACTTTAGCGGGCAGATATCCCATAATGCAAAGCGCGGCAATTACACTGACGGCGATGGCGACAGCGCCGCCGCTCGACCCAGAAGCAAGCGCCTAAGAGCGGCACTTTAAAAAAGGTTTTCAGATCTATTCACATTTACCCCAGGATGTGAAGTTTGTTGGAGCAGATAATCGAGTCTCAAGCATGCATAACCAAAGAGCATGAAATAAAGGCACGATAAATGCCCCAGCAAGACACATGTTCCAGGAACTGCAGCCAGGCCCCCTTGTTCGCAACTCGAACCCCAAGCTTCCTAATTCCTGCAGCCTCTCTTTTGCGAACTGTTGGTCCAAGTGATTCCGAGGGCTGCTTCCTCACCTTGTAGAGGTCCGTCAGCTTGGCCTGCGCCTTGAGCTCCTGGCCAAAGCGCTCCTCGAGGTTGGCGTAGGCCTCCTGGAGCTCCCGCACACGGGCAGCCTGGGCCTCCGCCCTGGCGTCTTTCTCCAGAGATGAGCTCTTCCAAGACTCCAGCTGCGTCTGCAACACCCGCACCTGCACGAAATACCAGGGAGAGTCAGTCTACACCCCGAGTAAAAAGGGTGCAAGGACGAGACCATTCAACAAACGATACTACAGCGGGAGCGATGGACTATATTGCAAAAAGCGCTCTCTGGCCGCCGCCATTTTGCGACTTGAGCGACCCCTATCAGCCAGAAATTTCTGCCACTTGTCTAAGCTGTGGAAACCCGGTCAGTGCGACTCCCCACCTGCATTGTGCATTTGGAGTTTGCTGGCTTTTCTTGAAAAGTTTTACTTTATTGGACTGTTTAGGATGCTTACAATTTTTGTGTTTTCTTCCACTGTGAGAACCAGGGAATACCAGGGCTCGTAGCCTGCTCGGCCTTTGCAGGAAACAAATGAAGAGAGCGAACGTCAAGCAGCCAGCGACGCGGGGCGTTCAACATTCTTCGAGGATTATTTCCGTTGAGATAATCTCCAAAAAGCCTTCCCGGCTATGTTTCCGATCTTCGTGAACAATAGCTGATAGGGCAGGGGGACGGAAGAGATAAGTTTGTTAATTTTCTTTGGTGCTCTGCTTTTTGCACAACACCAAAGCAAATGAATTAACATATTTTTTCTGTTCCTATACCCCCAGACCCTATCGGCTATTTTTCGCAAAGATCGGGAATGTAGCCGGGACAGCAGCTCTCTTCAAAACGTGCCCCAAAACAAGCCGGATTCCATTCAATCATTGTGAAGTGACTATCGTCGATACTGCATATCGGATATGCTGTGTTATTTGAGACCTTACTCAAAACCTGTTCGGACAATGCGAGACCGTGACGTACGTACAATATATGTTGTTCGGTCGATGAGACTCGTTGAATTTCATGTTGTGAGCAGGGAATACCTGTGTATTTCGGCTATCCTGCGGTGTGGTCAAATATTTTCGGCATTTAAGACCTTAATGAGTGTATGGTGCCACAAAAAAATCAACATAAAATGAAGCAAACATTCCAGTTGCATTTGTTCTATTGTGCATGGACTCACCAAAAATAGCTTTCATTTGTTTGTTTTTGTTCCCAAAAATAGTACAGTGCCCCTTAAAAGCCTCGAGAGACTATTTGCCATAGAACACAAGAAGAAAAAATGAGACTAACAGTTCCCTCTAACGCCGAATTACAGCACAGCTCTTGAGGAGCTCGAGGGGAAGGTAGGGAAAGAAAGGTATGTACCTCCTCCCTCATCCGTACCCCCCTCTACCACTCCCCTCCCATTTAGCGGGAAGCTTTTACTAAATTTCCCGCTAAATTTAGTGGAAGAAATTCCCCGCTAAATTTAGCTGGGAATAAAAAAATACCCCGCCAAATTTAGTGGCGAATATTTTTCAGCTCAATAGACCCTTTCCGGAATTCAGTGCCATCTGGTGACTGAAATGGCAGTTTATCTTGTACTATACTAATGGCGGCAATGAACCTGTGGTTTGCAGTATTTAATGGGGCACAGTCACTTAAAGGTCAGCGGTAAACGAGAATGTGCACTTCACTACAATTATTTTTCAATCTCTTTTAGTGTCGATGGCGAAACAAATGCAGCCAGTCGCAACGAAGCGCCAACCCACATAGACGCCTTGATAGAGTTCTATACATCAAGGGGCTTTGAAGCCGAGTAAGTGCTACAAACAGATTGACTGGGACCGAGTTAGAAATGAACGCTTACGCAGCTCTTGAGTTCAATTCCTGCTTCACGCCGCGCTAACATCTAGAATGTATAGGCCTCGAATCATCTGCTTAGGAGCATCTTCAACTTCTTCCTTCATCAGTAAACAAAAGGCCGCCATTAGTATTGCACATATGCCGTTTTCAGATGATGATGATAGTGATCAAAGTGCCCAGACTGAATTCCGGAAAGGGTCTATTTAGTGGGGAATATTTCTCAGCTAAATGTAGTGGAGAAATATTTCCGCTAAATTGAGCAGATAAATTTTCTCGACAAATTTAGCGAAATCTTTTTTCTGCAGCGGGAAAACTTTTTTGCTAAATTTAGCAGGGAATTCTTTTCTCTAAATTTAGCGGGAAATTTTTCTGCTAAATATAGCAGGGAAATTTTTTCACTAAATTTAGCGGGGAAGATTATCCATAATGCAACAAGTAATTACGGCGACGGCGACGCCGCTCAAGCCGGAAACGGGCGCCTAAGAGCTGCGCTCTAAAAATAAAACAAGGTAATTTAGCTGCCACCAGAGTCCGGAACTGCACCTCTGCAGGCTGCCACAGCCCACTGACGAGAAAACCCACAGCCCAGTGCAGGCGGGCAACACTGACGTACACTCTCAAGACCTGGGACGCACGCCGTAAATCACTTTGTTCAAGACTGTCGCTAGAAAGGTGTATAGCATAAGCAAACCAAACGAGAACGACAAGCCTAAATTTACCTCTCATCGAAAAGCTCTTTGAAGGGGGAGGGGTATTGTGCAGGCTCTATTACTGTTTTAACGTTAGAGAGACAAGCTTACCGACGATGTTATTTAAGTACGGAGGACCTCGAATAACTTTCAAACTTGCAACTCATGCTAAGTAAGGTTGCGATTGTACACAAACCTTAAACGTTGAACTTGTCTAATAGGAACTAGAAAAGAATTCCAAACTCTTCAAACTTTTGCAAGCTTGAGCCTCGAGGAAATCCGAAACTGCCGAGTACAGACCAAGAGAAATTTCAAGAAACTTTTAAGTTTGAGCTTCAACGTTGTTCAAACTGTTACGAAACATTACGACCCCCACTTGCTACCCTTCACCAATCAATAGACCAGTTTCGAACGTTTGTCAAGCAACACCGGCGGTCACAATTTCTTGGGCACGAAGAGCGTGACTGGAGCTGATCCCTTTCCAGACGTTGCAGCCCTTGTGTCCAATACGTCCTCAGAGTATATGCTCAAACAAAGGTGGACTCGGATGACCAATGCAGCGGCCACTAGACAGCGCACTTTTAAAAAGGAATGAGGATGGCTAGTTGGGCTAGTTGGTTTTGCATCATGGCGTAATACGCCAAAACAACAGGGACAGACAAAACGAAGGTAGAACTAGACAGGACGCGGCGTAACTTTCAACTGAATTGTTTATTTAGAAGACAGAATTTAGGAAAAATATAATATAAAAGCAGGCACACGTGGCAGAACAGATAAGGTCCAAAAACACACCCCCCTCAAATGCCAGCGTCATTGGTTCTTCAAATAGTAGAATTCTTTATCAGTCAATGACAAAGAGGGAGCGCTTATGCAAGTATTGTCGTGGTGGGACCTAATCAGGAAAGCTTCATGAATTTCTCTTGCCGTTTTTGTTTTATAATGGCCCATGACACAGGTGTCACCAAAGATGGGGCTGCACTTTTCAGAGTTGGGCCCGCAATCGCAACGGTCACAATGAACCGCTAAGTGGCCAGACGGGGACTGTCTGATCGCCAACGCATGCTCTCTGACCCTATCATTAATGCATCTCCCCGTCTGGCCAACGTACACCTTACCACATGACAAGGGGATTTTATACGTGACACTGGTAGCGCACTCGCGGAACTTGGTGACATGTCGTTTTTTGCACGACTCTCGTGTCACATCCGATTCGTCTCCTAATCGGCTTATCCTCTTACACAGCGAAGAAAGTTTGTTCGGTGCTGAAAAAACGACTGGTATGTCAAAGCGATGGGCCACCTTCTTCAGATTGTGGGACATCTTATGTATGTACGGTAGGGCAACAGGCCTACCTACTCTCTTAGGAGCCCTTTCGCACACTGCGCTGTTGTCTTTTCTCATCTTTTTTGCTAAGGTCTCTGAAACATCTCGAAGAACATGACGGGGGTACCCTGCCGCTTCAAGTCTGCTGAGGTGAGAATGAAAACTGTTGTTCATCCTGTGGGGGCATGATTTCTTTAGCGCAGCCCTTAGGCAAGATGAAGCAATGCCCCTCTTCACTAACTTGGAATGCGCCGAGCTGAATGGAAGCATTCCTTTCTTGGAACGGGGCTCATACGCCCAGCAGGTGTGCTCCGCTCCAAAATATATCCCAAGATCCAAAAACTGCAGCCGACCACAGACCGACGTCTCGTGGGTGAATTTTAAGCCGAAAGCGCAGCTTGCGAACAATTTTAAGAAACCGGTGATTGCTTGATCATCCGCAATTACATTTGAAGCATTTGAGGGGGGTGTGTTTTTGGACCTTATCTGTTGTTCTGCCACGTGTGCCTGCTTTTATGTTATATTTTTCCTAAATTCTGTCTTCTAAATAAACAATTCAGTTGAAAGTTACGCCGCGTCCTGTCTAGTTCTACCTTCGTTTTATCTGTCCCTGTTGTTTTGGCGTATTACGCCATGGTTTTAAAAAGGGTCCGTCGAGGCAGCGACAAGCGTCGATGCCCGGTTCGATAGGCCTTTTGGCGTTCCACCCACCGCCTCCTTCTGCTCGTCCAGCTGAGCCTGTAGCTCCATGGCCACCCCGGTCTTGTCCCTGCGCAGTTGGACCACCTCCTGCTTGGACTGGTGCAACTCCTCGGAGAGCTCTGCGGCACGCTTCTCCAGAAGGTCGCGCTCCTGTCTCAGGTGGCGCTCCGTGTGCTGCAAACAAAGAACACTCGTGACCGAACGACGAGGGAACAGGGGAACGCTTGCGCCCGGTGCCGGGCATACGCAGGACTGCGGTCTTTCACTGCGCTAAAAAAAAATTTTGAGCAAAACATTTTGGTTGGAAGACTGGTATTTGAGCCTTGCAACACACTTCTATTCCGGGTCGATGCGTTGAAACGAAAGCGTGTTTCGGAAAGTTTAATGCACCAATAAAACTACTGCGCACACCGAAAATCTGTAGGTGCGTCCAGGCACGCACGAGCTTCCGATCTCAGACGCTGGATACGAGAAAGCGACGAAAAAGGGCGGCGGTGTTCCTGCAAAGACCACTCACCTGGGAAGTGGTCTCCTTCAGTTGAAGTTCTTCCAAGCGGACCATCTGGTCACGGTGCTGCCGGTTGCTCGCAGCCAGCTCCTCTGTGAGCTTCTTGACCGTCTCTGCGCAACGAGATGCCGACAGGTTGCCAAAAGTACAAAGCAAAACGCGGGACACAGCGGAGGTATGGTGCCTGGAACGTCTCTTCAACTGGTGCGTTTACCCTCAAATAATAAGGTTGACAACTGGGCTAGTTGGTTCTTGTTATATATATTGAGGTGAAATAGTGCAAACACAAAGATGGGAAGAAAAATGGGACAGGAAAGAGGACTGGCATGTGCAGAACTCGGTGTTTTCTTTTTTCCTTTTTTTTTCCTTGCTTATAGTAGTAAAATTCCTAGTTGCGAGTTAACGCTCTGCCCTGTCCCTTTCTTCTTATTTTGTGCTGTTTTACCTCAATATGTACCGTCCTATCCCGCCCATGCATCAAAGACGGTCTTGAGGTGGCAACGAGTAGGGTAACAGGCGGCGGTGCTGTCGGATGTCGTGATCGTGGCGGTAGGTCGTAAAATGCTGACAAGAAAGTCGCCATCGTTGCGGCATCACAGCTGCGTCTGCTTTGGATTCCGTCGACTGTCTGGCTGCAGTGCTACCTGCAGCAGAACAGGCGTCTGCCGCATCCACTACCGCTGCTGCGACACCGGCAGAATAGCAGTCGGTGAGAGCACGACACTTCAGCGACGTCATTGGGAGGAAACAGAGGGACCACTTTTTTGGACGCTGTAAACACAGCAGTCAGAGATGCGTTCCAGGCATCAAAGACTCACTGAAGGCATCGTTTGTTGCTGAGACGTAACCCTGTTTCTGCCAGATTTAGAAAGGTCTTTCCAGTGACGCGCGTCGCAACCAGAGTGTCGAACCGAAATTTTTATCGGTTCGTTTCCGGTTCGGGTTCACGGCTTTCGGTTCGGTTCCGGTTCAGTTCCGGGGAGCAAAAATAATGGTTCAAACCGGTTCGAACCGGTTTGAACCACTAAATTGATAATATATTTTCCGCGTTGTTCTGACACTATACACTATTTACGCCGTGAAACAATCAACTATATAGTTTCTCCTCTCATCTGTGCAATTAACTTTTTTCCAAAAACCAAAAATATGAAATTCATTTTTTTTTAAATTTCTTAACATACATAACGGCGTGTTCATACGACATAACATACACATTACCAGTAACATATATTTACCTGAATCCAAATGTTTCAGTATAACAGTAAGGAGCTGAGCTTGTTGGTACATACCTAAAAAAATTGATCAGCTTGGAATTTAGTACTATACTGTCTTTTCCTGTCCTTTCTTTGTGTTTAGGTAAAACTCTAAAATTCAAGCTGATTTATTCACACAGTATAAAATGTTGACGCCAAGTGTGGCATGGTCACCAAAAATACCCTTGATTGGTACAACTTTGTGTCGCAGTATTAAAAGTTAAATCGTGATTGTGTCCTCGAACTAAGGAATTAATTACTGCACAAAATTATGAAATGGGCACCTCGTGGCCATATATATCATGAAATATTGTTTACTAAATATGTTTCACAATATATATATGTATATGATGACGACACAACTAAGCAAAAGGCAATGAAATTTTCAAAATGTCACGAAAGTTCTAGGATAATCCCCTTCAGTCTATTTTTTTAAAGAAATGCCGAGCGTCAATCAAAATGCTTGTTGTTTTAACCAAACATTGCTGACACTCAGCACCGCACTGCATGCGGCTAATCGTGCAGCAAGGAGCAATCAAAATTGTTCAGTCTAATCTATATGCACATTCGCACTCAGATCGAATCTTGCCCAAAATAGCGCTTGCCCACGTTAGTTAACATTTTCTTATACAGGATAAGCTGGCATAGCCTGGCTATTGAGGTTTGCTCTTGACAAGAGGCCGGTCAATTTAATTTGCAAATGAGTATCACCCTTGCTAATTGATTATTTTAACGCAATAGCACTGAGAAGCTCATGTCGCAGAAAAGTCGATTTCGGTGACGTGACTGGAAAATCCTGAATGGTCGATAAGGTCATGACGTCAGAGCTACATGCCCTCGCTCAAGAATTTCAAACAACTCACAATGCTCACGTGAAACGTGACATCACGCATGGAATGAAAGTGATTAAAACATGACATGTAACGTGAATTGCAGGTCGCCGTATGTCTCTAATAATTTCTCTTTGCCTTAAAGAAAAAAAAAAGAATTTTAGGAGGGATTCGATCCCACGACCCTTCGGTTGCGAGTCAGACGCTCCCGACTAGGCAACCGAGGCACGCTTGCGCGGCAAGTAAGGAGGCGATTTTAAAGCCGAAGCTTAAGCGTCCCCCAAAGTACCTTCTTTATTAAGTAAAACGAAGTAGTATTTAAAGTTTTTCTCGGCATGGCAGCTACTTAATTGGATATTTTCTGACAGTTTGCGTGCGTAATCGTCATGGTTCAGCCGCGCGCGCCCCTGTTTACTTTGTTTTTGTCCAGCCCAGAGACACATTAAAGCAATGTTTACCATATAGAAGAGGCAATAACAGGCTTCTATATGTTTAAGAAGTTATATTTGTGAGGAACAAATTGTTGTTTAAATTAGCTTCAAAATCAGAAATGTATGTAAAGCTGTCCCAAATAACCTTCAACGTGCCTGTCGAGGATACAAACGCCGGAAAAGATTGGCAGAACACAGTTCAAATAATTTTGGGGGGCATAGCTTTTGGGTGGTCGGCCATTTATTTATGTTGTCAAATAGTCAGTTAGCAATGCAATATATTTTTATAATGATCAATAAATATTACCTTAAAAGTTCACATAACCGCTTGAGACCGACACGGAAGGAAGATACTCGAAACTACGCGAGCTGTTGAGTCTGCGTAAAAGTGTTTTTCTGTTTGCTGATTGGCAGTGTGAAACATCGGGTTGTAGGGTACGCTAAAAAGGACTCTGTGTTCACATGACAGATCTGAAAGCAAATACTCGAAATGTTAAAAAAAGAGAAAATAATGGTATTTTCCTAAATAATCTCTTACAGAACGCCTTACTGCAAAAAGAGATGCGTAAAGGTGCACGCAATGAAATTAATAATTTTGCACGAATAGCGCGAAGGACCGATGAAATTCTTAAAATCTTAATATAAATCTCATTTCATCAGCTTACATGAGCTCGAAACTTCGCAAAATACTACCTCGCGAGGCTAATGTTACATTCGGTTTTACCTGCACTTGTTTTGGGCCCTCGCTTTACAACACTGTGCTTCAATAATCATGCGCTCTAACATTTTTCTGGGCTGCCATCTATCATCGCGAGACTGCAATAAATACTGGAAAACTTTACAAGTAGGACATCTATTGCTAGTGTTGCGAACATCACATTTCACCAGAAAGCTGAACTGTTTAGCATGGCATGCACGTGACGTCATCATACTATATGCTAATATTCATTGTGGCTTCTTGCTAAGAAAATCAAATTCGATGATGCAAAATGCACGCTGCAGGAGGTTCAAGCTCAGTGAAAGCCAAGTATTTGAAAGGCACGTATTATTATTCGTAGTGCATCTTCGCGAGGAACTGCGCAACCGTCTGGCACGACAAAAACGTGCTTTTTGGCAAGAGTGTTTTTGCAAACAAAGTAGTTTCCGGGCCCACGCTTTTTGGTCTCCGCCAAAGATGAGGGAAGGAGGAACCTCTTTACAACAGAGTATGTTTTTAAAACTACCCCCCTCCCCCACACACACACTCACGCACACACACGCGCTGATTTTTACATCGGAGCTATTAAGGGTCAGTTTCCCATCATGTCAGTCAGCAAACAAATAATGACACAAAACTCTTGACAGCTACCGCCATCTATAATTGACGGCGGCAACCAGACAACCGGCTTCCCGGTTGTCTGGTTGCCGCCGTCGCGCATTGATGGCGACAACCTCTCCAGTCTTTGCACTCTGGCTTGCCGACTTGCGGCCGGCCCATTACTTCATTCCCACCATAGTACAGCTTCGCTGGTCTTCCTTCTTCACCAAGGTGGAAAGGCTGAAAGTATTCCTGAGGAATTGCCTCCTCCGTTTGTGTGTGCTAAATCCACAATTTTATTTGTCACTTGTTAACAGCAACCCTCCATTGCTTTTTTTTGTATTATTTTGCACCCCGCAAAGTTTAAAGCGGTCATCAAATGATATCGGGTTGGAATGTTCATGAATTTTCAGAGGCGTATTCGTCCTAGTCTGACCCAAGTATACTCGCACAGGCCGCCACTGATCCAGAAGTTCCCTTGTCACGGTGGAATTACGAGAATAAAAGGGAACTATATCTTTCAGTATTGTCTTCGCAAAGCTTGACGACGTAATTGGGGGATCGAACCCACCCGCCTGACGACAGTCGAGCGCGGCTCATGGATGAGACACGAGAACTGCGTGAGCACTGTACATCAGCTCGTAACAATCAATGCCTCGGCGGACACTCGGGCAGTGGCTTGTGTCCAACCACTGCGGTGATGAGATTAGCCGAACTCTAAAAATGCCTGGAGCTCCAGCAGGCGTTTTTTCCTTTCCAACCCCACCAGGGGGCATGATTAACGTTGGCGGCCTCAGATAGGTACCAGGCCAGGAGGCCGCTTCTGGCTCCGAGTTGAGGGGATCAACGATGCTCATATTTCTCTAATTTTTTGGCCACTGCCATTGCCTAAAAAAAAAAGAGCAAAGCCAAGTTTATTTAGTTATTAACGTTAGGAAGTGATTTTAAGCAGCGTTATGTGAATGTATAGAAATATTTGTATTGTTCCTTTAAGCAAAATACAGAGGTGGTAGAAACCTTGAGAACGACGCTCGTGTGAGACTTAGGCCGTGTTTTAAAATTTACATGATCTTACTCCAGAGTAAGGGTTTTGTTTTCTGGCATTCCAAAACCTAGCCGCGTCCAGCACTTTTCAATCTGTGATGTCACGTGACATGACCCGCGGGAGTAACTCGGATCCATTTGGGTAAGATTTGGAACACAGCCTTAAAGCGACTGCCAATGTTCGGCTCTCCCTCTGAGGTCAATATTTTTTTTTCTGTTTTTCTTTCAAGTATTTTTTTTGTACAGTTCAAAAATTGGGCAGGCGATCGAACTATAGGGGGCGTTCTTACCCGTTTGTTTCCACACACCTAGGTGTTTACTCAACACAAGGCCTCTGCACGTGCACACAGGCCTTATGTGCATGTCCATGTCATCTTCTACAATAAAGCGCAAGGCACAATTTAATGTAAAAAATACTAACAATCGACGAAGCGACGTTAAGTATCGGATCTATCCTCAGAGAATGCTAGCTGGGCCCACTTCGGCTTTTGTGCTGAGCTGGGACCATGCATGCTGCATTGTTCATGCAGGCCGGAGTGGAAACAAAAGAGCCCCCCCAAGCAGCACAGAGTTGGCCAGTCATCGGCCAGTGGCTGGCTGTGGTCCTTGGCCAAGTGGCCAGACAGTGGCCAGAGACTGGCCGGTGACTGGCCTTTATCTGGCCATTGGCCAATGGCCACTGGCCATCAGCCATCGGCCAACCATTGGCCAATGAATGGCCACTCTCTGGCCACTGGCCAAAAGACCATCGCCAGAAATTGGCCATTGCTTGGCCAAAATCCGTGGTGCTTGTCCTCTTCCTCACCGGAGAACACGAACTCCAGCCGAACGCTGACGCCGCGTTCGGTTATGCCGGCCGAGCGCTGAGTCATTGTATTTATTGTCCCCATCCGTGTAGTTCTAAAGCTAACCGCTTGGGGCGTCACGGTCGCTCCTCCTCCCCAATAACGAAAACATTTTTGAGTGCTTCAATAATGTAAAATTGGTCGTGCAACATTTGTTTTTGTACTTTCAATAAATACTGTTAAGAAGTAACTCCTGACGTTGATAGCTTGCGAAACGAAAAAAAAAAAAAATAGCAGATGCAAAAGAAAATAAAGAAACAAATAGCTGTCGATCCCCTCCTCAACTCGCAATTTGAACAAGCAGCCACGTGATCTGACGCTAATTATATACCGTCAGTGTTCATCATAGTCAAGCGCTAGGGTTTAGAAAGCAAAAGCTTGGGCTGGAGCTTCAGATATTGTTAGAGTTGGGCTATTATCATCTTTAATTGAACACAAGCCGTTCCCCGAATGTTCAGCGATGCTGATTGGCATGAACTTGAGCACTCGATTCGGGGCTATGAAAATTGTTTACGTCACGGTGTCACGTGACTCGGTGCAAAATCGTGATATCATGTTACGTCACGCTGTCAACAAGGTTAATACATCTAGTGACTTTCTCAAATTAAATCGACTTGACGCAGTGAGTCACGTGACACTACTTGACAGCATGTATTGACACCATGACGTCACGTGACAACGTGACACAGGGTTAATCATAGTGCCAGTACAAAAGCGCCACGAAAACCCACAGTTTACCATACATTGCAATTCTGTATGTGACAATTCGAACAATAGATAGAAATACAGCCGCCAATTTCATATTCCCATATGTTCGTTTTATGATACTAACAAAAACGAAAAAAGAATACCTTGAACCGTTTTGAACCGGTTACCGTTATATTTTTTTTCGGTTCGGTTCCGGTTCAGTTCCAAGATGGCGGCGAAGATTTCGGTTCGGTTCAGTTCCGGTTCGGCTAAAAATAACGGTTCGGTTCCGGTTTTCGGTTCGGTTCGGTTCCGGTTCGACACCCTGGTCGCAACACGCGCCGCTATCGGGAGAAGATAAGCCTCTTGGCGGAACGTCATCTGCCATTCTGCGGCTCAGCGAGAGGTTCTTTTTCTAGCTGTAATTCGGTAGAACCTCTTGAAAGTCAAGCCTGATACAGTCAAGATATATCCTGGTCCAAGATATCAGAACCTCCTTCTTCGTGAAGCCTGATGCAGTCGATATGAAAATACTGAAGCAAAATTTAAGTATTCTTGTACCCATCCTTCGAGCATTTAAAGCACTGACGTGGCAAAGGTACCAATGACGTAAACACCTTTTCTGAAAACAAAAATCTAACTTTGGTACAGAAACATTCTATGTTGTAGACCGCAGATCGAAGTTACTTTTCGATCTAATGCAGTTTCTCACGAGCAAAAAAAAGCAATTTCTGTCGACTTGACTAGGCTCTTTGCTCCATACCTTTGTGTCGAACGAATCCCACCCAGGCTCATGCTAACGATTGAGATAGCGACGACGCCTTGCCCGTAGCGAGGTGCTTTCCGAACAAATAAAGAGAGCTGCTGATTTGTCATCCAGGTCCAGATGTTGACAAGACGAGGGGTGCGGAGGGAAACCGGCGGAGAGCGTACCGTTCAGGCTCGCCGCTTCCTCCGCGCTCTTCTCCAGCTTCCCGACCAGCTCCTGTTTCTCCCGGGAAACCTGGTCCAGTTTCTTCACGGTAAGCTCCTGGGAAAAACGTGCGACATGATACAAGACGTGCCAACACCCCCGTTCACGACAGAGCCTAGCCCTCTGAGAATATGTTACAGGTAGGATTCAGTGTTTTCAAGGTTTATTTTGTCACCAATTCAGAGACAATATTTTCTGGATTTACTTTTTATCGCAGATTCCATGCTATTTGCTACCACTATTTGGTGTCGGGCAAAAAAGTGGGATCAATCGAAGCATATGTTGAAGTAAATAGGATTCCCTAACTTTGCGCGAACATGCACGTGTCTCAAATATACTTGAAAAATGTGCCCGTATCGATAAGAAAAATAAGCAAAATGTGTAATTCTCAAGCAAAAAAAAAAAAAGCCTCGCAGACAGTTTACTGGGGGCTGCATTCTGAGTCAATACAAAATAAAGCTGTGGACAAAGATTTCTTCTTGTGAAACATGGTTTTTTTTTTTTTCATTCAAGGACAGCTATGATTCGGGAATTTTCAGTTTTCCCCGATTTCGATAAAACCAGCACGGGCGCTAATTATCAGGGTTCATCGGTTGTTACCGAAAACACGGAACTGCAGTTATAGGGCCCGCTTCCATGAGACAAACGTTAACGACACAAAAGAATGCCACGATAACACCATTGCAAACTTGCCAAGTTTAGCAGACTTCTGTCCCGCTATACGGAAATCTGTCACGGAAGTGAATTAAGATAATGTATTACAGAAATCACAAATTTTGCGGGCAACACAGTGGACGGTGTTCACGTGATGTCGGTGTGACGGAGGTCGAAGCACGTTGTCGGCGTGACCTCGTTTAATACGTGATGTCACAAGGCACCGTGACCTGATTTCAAGATGTCACATGACCCATAGTGTCACCAAGAATGCGTCTATTGTGTGTGTACTATGTACGATGAGTTCAGCAAACCTCACATATAAAGGCCGAACGCAGCTTAACACATGCTGCACATTCGTGTCAGCTAACTTTATTCGTAGGATTGAGGAAAAGTGTGCATCTTAGATCTGAGCACATATCACAGCCAGAATAATGGAGAAGTTAGTTAAAGGCGTAGTCAGCTGGCTACTTCTTGACAGTGTGGAAACATTAAAGACTGAGCAAACGCAGAGAGGCAACTAAATGAGTGAAGTACCCGGACCTGTGCGTTTTCGCCTTTTTGGTTATTGGTTTCGTAACATCTGGCTTTCCTTTGAGATTACGTCAAATCAAGAAACAGTCTATCAATGCTACCATACGCCACTTTCTCAAGACCGAATTGTGCGATAAATAGTTTAAGTTACGAGACTGCTACTTCACGCAGATTTAAAGCTTCGTAGGAGCATGAACGAGGTGACACACAAGCGTCTAAAAGTGGCCCCAAAACCCGTCAATTAAAAATGAAAATGCTGCGAAACTTGATCCCCGCTTTTGTTCTAACAGTGGCACACTATTCATAGCCTCGTGAGAACAAAGCCAGGCAGCAGCGTTTAGGCACTTTTTTTTTTAATTGAGACGCCCCATTCCTTTCCGGTTCATCGGAAAGACGACAAATCTGTGGCACTCACCAGGTCTGCCTTGGTGGCTGCCAGGCTCGTCTTGGACTCCTGGAGCTCGACCTGGCATCTTCCTAGCTTGGCATCTGCACGAATACAAGGCCCCCAAAGTTTCTGTCACACAAACTTCTCAAAGGCCTCCGACAAGGTACTGTGCATGCCTAGGCTTGTACGGATACATGTCCCAAGAAGGCACACCAACAAAAAAAAAACATGCTGCAACTCAAAAATGGTTATTCGGGGCTTTACTGCTCTTTTCTGCGGTCTCAATAAGGCTGTAAGTAATAAGTTGCGTAAGGTGCATATTCATGAACAAAGATGGTCGATGCGATGAATCACACTTTGTATAACCATAGATACCGCATAAATTTAAAGCAGAACCGAACGTGCAGATGCAGACTGAAACAACCCACGCAACTTCCAGGGCCTCCAAGCTGACATTCCTAGCAATGGACTTCCAGCCTCAATTTAAATTTGACCGTATTTACCAGCCAAGATGCAACTCCATGACTGACAGGGCAGTGTCAAGGCACTATATTCAAGTGCTTTGCACCAACACAGTTCTTATGGGCGTTATGAAGCGCTCTGAAGAATACACAAAAAACCTCTCTTCTGCACACAAATGCTTTTTAAAAATAAATTTGCACCTAACAGCCAGTAACGCAATTGGGATGGTGACAGTACATAATTATTCCAAATCATTTTAGAAAACATTCCATCAGCAAATTTAATGGCTACCGTGCATGCCGAAGAGGTATAGTAGCAATTGGCTGACTCGTGCGATCCAACGTTTGTTTTTAGGGTATGGATCGATGGATGGATGGTGCATATGGCTAAACCCAGTGGATCGGGTGGCGGGTTGCGCCACCTAGCCAATATTTTATGCGAGAATCTCAAGGCATCCTTACTTAGGTCGGCCACTTCCTTCTTGAGCTGGTCCTGGGCTTCGCTGGATGCCACGAGCTGTTGGCTGTGATCCGCAAGTGCAGACTCCAGCTGGAACGCACTGTGCTCTGGGTTGTAAAAAGGACAAAAAAATGCAGTCAACATAATGTTCTGCACTGCAGAAGAACCTTGCAATGGGCAGTGGAAAACCTAAGCAGTTCCCTGGTGAAAAGAAACACACTAAAAGATTTACTAATTACTAAATATTGTTTTTGTTTTTTTCGCCCAAAAATATACTTTGCGTTGCCAAGTGCTTAGTCACCACCCAAATGCAGCACTAGCACTCCAGACAAGATGCCAAAATTTCAGAGCTTGCCGTTATCTGAACATTTTTTTTAAACAATTCTCAGTATCCATTAACATTCCAGTTATTCCAGTAACCATTCACGTTCATGCATGCATAGGCCTCATCGGCCCTCATTTCCTCATTGAAAATGTCAAAAATCGCATGTAACTTCTTAATCAGATAGCAGCAAGCTCCAAGGTTTTTGCCCCCCATCTGGTGCAGATCGCTAGCGTTACATTTGGGCATAGACTGATTGTTCGACAATGCATATTTTATTTCTGCTTTGGAAAAGAAATGCAAACTCTTTGTGGACATTTTGTACTCTTAGAAAACTAAAAAATAGGCCTCAAGGTACACCCTTTTAAAAAGATACTACAACGAAATTTCGGCGCTCATTTTTTGGTCTATGTGTGTTCAAAAGAGCAGTATCACATGGAACATACCAATATCTTGTTAAAAAAGTCTCGAAAAGGAATTTTAAAACGAATTAAACGATTAGCACAGAGCACTTGTGGATGTCGCTAACACCTCGTTTGTAATGCTCGTCTAGGAACCTTGACAGCTAGTGATGGAGGTTGTCTCGTCTCCGGCCACGACGAGATAAGAGGAGAACAAGGAACTCCCCTCTTCCCGAGAATGTTTTTTGTGTGTCGCAGAAGTCGCTATTGTCCCCCTAGAAGATTATAGAAGATTAACCCGTCACTCAAAATTCGTACAAAAGCAGCCGCTTCAGTGGCTGGAATGACTAGGCCATCCTCTCGACGTCAGCCTTGCCGTAGCTTTGCTCGCCTTGAGACGACCTACGTCACGATTGCGTTGGATGTCACGTGGTCTCCACTGGGCCTTCTCCGAGCGCTTGCCAGAGTGGGCCGTTTATAACGAAAAATACAGCCACCAAGATCAAAATACAAACGTGCGATTGTCATTTACGGATATTGTGGATCATATTCAACCTATTTTTGAACACGACGGGAATATTTCAAATTTCGTTGAAGTATCCCTTGTCATCACTCAGCTTACAAAGCATTTTGCTAGAGGACCCAAGAAAATGTTGGGATTTTGCGTCGCAAAGCAACTGAGGCTATGAGGGACGCCCGGAAGACTCTTTGAGGAAGAAACCACCCAGAATCAAACCCTTAACTTTGTCCTCCGGACTGCAAAGTGGCACCAGCTATTTATTTGTGATGTCTGCAATACTCTGAGGTGAGCATGTTGGTATTAACATAAAAACTAGAAAGAATTGCCCTGTTTAATGTATTTTTGTTGAATTATTCTGAAGTTGGGTGCTTCATTTCATCAGGGGACACACACAAAAAAAGAATTTCGAAGCACATCGTGAAATGCTCCGAAATTCTAAAGTCACAAAAAAACCTTACTGCAATGTCACGGAGCTCTGGATGGTAATTTACACACAAAAGCAATTAGGTAATCTTTAAATGGCAAACCATTTCCACACATCATCTTTTTTATTTATTTATTTTTTATTTTTTTTTTTTTTTAATTGGCGTTGAGATGTTTTGTTGGCGCCACCTCTTGGGAGCCCTCCCGTGACAGAGCTGGTAGAACGCGAGCAGACGACGCGCTAAGGCAAAGCACAGAGTGGCTACGTTAGTTCACATCTATGCCGATTAAGAACGCTGTTTTTTTTTATTAAACAAACGTGTATGATGTTGTTGTGGGGGATCTTTCTAACGAAAAACAGTGCCTCGAAGTTGTTTTTCTATATTTAAAGAAACTTTAAAATGTTCAAAAGCAAGCCTGGAGCTTCACATTACAGCTTGTGCGGCATGCGTCAGGGCTATTTACAGCCTCTCTACGTCTTGAAGTTTCGAATATGTGGAGGCTGCTCTAGAAAAAAGATTTTATGTTCATCAGAGTAAATGTCGTTATGTCTTCTTAGCTGTGCACGTGCGCACAGTCGTGTTGCAAAGCATCACAAACTTGTTTAAGCTACATTGAGCTTGTCAGAACCGACACTTCTATCCAAGCGTGACTCGAGCTCACGCTTAGCTCCTCCCACATCGAATACGTGGCAAAGAATTTTGTCATATTGCGACGTCTGCTCGAAGAAAAAGCAGAAACGTTTACAAATTCTTAAATTGTCATACATGGCCCGGCAAATTCAGGCGATTGATTAATCTGTTCTATCCAATTTTTACTAAGAATTGTTTATAAATTTAAGATCTTTCACTGAGAAGCGCATCACGCGTTATGTGCTTTGGGTCCGCAAAATAAAATTAAAAAATAACTAAAATAAATAAAATCGTAATTCATAGCAATTGGTGTACACCTCATTTTTTGGGGATGCTGGAGTGTCACCGACTTACTAGATTTGAGACTTTGATTGTGAGGGGCTTATTCAACCGATCGCGCAGACCGGTTTAATAAGCAGGGACTTAATTGAAACGACTCCAGATGCCAACCACCGCTTCTTCCTGCCAGTTTTCTGAAATCAACTTGGAACTAATAGCACTCAAAGAACACACTGGAACGAACAGGATACACTGAGTCGCTTTCACTGAAGTGTTTACTACACACGCGAGAGGTTCTCGAATATCGCTTTCCTATTTTCAATTTGATGAAACATTTCTTTTTCAATTCTATTTTGTGGGTCATAATAAAAATATACACCCTATTCGCCGTGGCAGACGTTGTAGTGCGGTAAAACGCTGAATATTCTATTTTCATCCAGCTTTTTGTACAGGAGTAGGGAACAGCACACCACCATCCCAGCGACTCGGCACCTAAAGGCCCGTTCACACTCTTGCAACTGCGTACAACCGAGAAAAACAAGACCGGTTTTTAAGCCCCTTACGACATCTTAAAACCAGCTCCACAGCAGCGCATCCGGTCCTAAAACGTCGCAAGAGGCTTAAAACCGGTCTGGTCTCTCTCGGTCTTACTTGGTTGCATATAAGTGAATGGCACTTAAACGCCAAGAGTGTTTGTTAGCAAGACTATGCATCCCACGGTTTCAAGCTTTGGTAAAAGGTCCTACTACAAATATAATTTCACCAAGCAGAAACAATGTGTAAAACGGACTTTGCCGCGCGTTACCCAAAGAGCGCATGAAGTGAGCTGACGAGCCGAGGTATCCTAGATCTTTTTGCAGGCTGTCCCAGCTAGAGCACTATATAGCTCCTACGGAGCACAGTAGCACAATCCTTTGATCCGCGTGTTTTACCGACAACATGGCCGACAGAGCAGCTCGGCGCGAGTCACGTGGTACTAAGGGTTCCAGGAGGCGGCCAGCCCTATGGGAGTATACATGGAGATCGACTCAACACGGCTGATTGAAAAATAAACACCGAGTTGACACTTTTCGAAACTAGTCTGTCGTGAAGTTGGTAAAGTACTAAACACTCTATCAAAGTTTTAATAATATTGAATCCATGTGAAAACTTTGAGAAGGCAATTTCCACGGCTATGGCGTCTGAAGCAGACGATTGTTTTGCGCAGCGGAGATGGAGTTTATGGATTGGCCGGAGCGGGTCACGTGAACGGTGTGACGTCGCCGCGTCGTCTGCTGCACGATGCCGTTCAGACATTTTTTTTAAACAAATTACATTATTACATGGCACACAACTTAGCGCAAATTATTATAAACCAGGGCCGTAACCAGGGGGGGGGGTTAGGGGGTTCTGACCCCCCCCCGAAATTTTTTTCTGGGTACAGCCCTGGTCGGTGCACTGGCAGCCAGCCTATGTTAATCTCCACCTCTGCGCACGCGCAGTGGCGCCGGTCGGCTACCGGGTACCGAACCAAGACCGGTTCTCCGGTTTGCTGTAACTCTCCATTATATGCCACCGATGCACATGATTCATAGGCGAAAATAAGACGATAGACACTTTCAAAATGGCCACCATTGTCCCCGAAAACCCCCCCCCGAAATTTTTTTCTGGGTACGGCCCTGTTATAAACTGTTCCTTTATTACGTGAAAAATTATTGTCGTTCTGTACATCCCCAAAATATTCAACAAACGGCGATTTCCTCACGTTCCCCATGCATTTGTGACCAGAGTTGGAACCCTCGGGCGTTCGCCGCTAGTCGTTGAGAGATGGCGTTCTCGATTGCGCTACTCTGCTCCGAAGGAGCTATATAGTGTTCTAGTCCCAGCCTGTCCTACCCGTGACGTCACAAACGATGATGATGATAGCTAAAGAAGTGCCCCTTGCAATTCGCGCACGCCACTGATCTCTATGACAATTGCTGGATCGCGTTTGCCCGCTCCGCGAATGCGGTCACTGGCGGCCATCTTTAAGTAGAGTTATATCACCTCTAGCCGATGTAAGCTGCTGCAGCCGCTGTCATCCATCCATGGTTTTGGCAGGTGAGTTGGCAGGCTGCGGTCAAATTAGCGTGTGTGATATTGCGTGCTTGATTAAAATTATTTGACGAAACATGTTTTTGAAACCCGGCGTGAACAGTAGTTTGGTTTTTTAGGACTTGGTAAAAGTTTCACGAAATCGCAGCACCGGGAGAAAAGCTGCACAGCACGTATCGAAAGTCGCATCAAAAGAAGCATCGAAAGCAGACGACGGTACGGAGTCTGCTTTTGATGCGAGCTGCGCTGCTTTCCCCCGGTGCTGCGCTTTCGTAGAACTTTTGCCGGGTCCTCAAAGATGAGGCTACCGTTCACGCCGGGTTTCAAGAATCTGCTTCGTCGAAAAACTTCAATCAAGCACGAAATGTCACCCACGGTACAGTGTACTAGATCTACGGCTATTTTTAGGGCAGCCTGCCGCCATTGCGCTGTCCGCCATTTTACTATGATGGCTAGAGATGATATAACTCTACCTAAAGATGGCCGCCAGTGACCGCATTCCGGTCCATAGGAGGAGCTGGGGGGCTATGTTCGACAAATGTTTCGTTTCTCCTAAAAAGAAACGGAAGTGACTGAAGCGACGATATCGCTTCTGATTGGTTTGAGGCTCAAAAAACGAAAGTTTCCTCTATCGTCATTTGAGCCTCTAGCCAATCAGACGCGATACTGTCAGTTCCGTCACTTCCGTTTCTTTTTAGGAGAAACGAAACATTTGTCGAACATAGCCCCCCTGGTCAAACGCGATCCAGCAAATAGACATAGAGATCAGTGGCGCACGCCGCCAATAGAGCCGTAAGCTTTCAGGGTGATATCTACGAAAAGTAAAACAGAGAAATCCAGTGGCACTCAGCTTACGAACACTGGAGCTCTAAAGCGCAAGCGAAACGACGTCAAACAAAACTGGTGACGCGAGCACCCTTTACAACTGTAGTACCCTGTAGCCAAAAGAAGGTTTCCCCGACGCACAAAGTTTCGTACTACTATGCTGCGGCGCAGCATTCACGAACAGGCACGCTTGAACAGCTTACAGCTTTTCCAACAAGTTCACCGGCCGCGAGAATGTTTAGCTGACTTGACAAGTTACCTAAACATTCCTTACAAAAACAAGAAAAACCTACGCCGGTTACCGGCCTCACCTTTTGTTTTCGAGAACATTTGGGTGCATACGCAGCCAAGTGTCCTAGAACGTTGGTCCTGCTCAGCATGACAACTGCACGGTTCCTCCGCTTTAAACATTTGTCATGAGCTGGTGCACCTTAAATTTCCGTCATAACTTGTGCTTCCCCGCGAACAATACCGGCGGTCCCGCGTCCTGTCATGCGTGAAACGGACTCACCGCAACGCGCCTTGAGCTGGGCATTTTCTTCCCGAAGCGCCTCGACGTTCCTTAAGCTCCCAGTCACGAAGTCCTCGAGTTTCGTCCTGCAGTCGGCGTCCAACTTTTGAATTTCGTCGGCTTCCAGAACGCTGCTCAGCGTGACGAGATCCGCCATGCTGCAGCCGCCATCAGATTTGGATTGGATTGAATTACGTTGGCTTCCCCACCGCCCCACTCCGCGAAAGCGGCCACAGGAGGGCCATCTTGCATGCGGCCAAATCACAATTCGGCTAGCGTTGCAGAGCCTGGCGAAAGCGTGCTGAAGACACGTTTTCTACTTGTTCATCGTCATTCGCCGAAGACGTTTTGTTAAGAACCGGAGTAAGCAGTGATACGTGCCGTTGAAAATATGTATACGAAAGTGCAGTGCCGCAGGAAAAGGGTACAACTCGTCGAAAGCAAGTTTCGCCGGTCTCAGGCGTGATCAAAGCTTCCTTGGCACCTTTTTTGACCTAAGAGGTGTAGCACCCCGAAGTGCTGCGTCGCTGTGCCTTCGCACGTTTGGATACCAAGCAAAAATCGATGCCGTGGACATGTGTCTTGCGTGTGCAATGTGCGTGAAACTGTATGTGCGGCCAATCGCTCCTGCGAAAACTGCTCATCGCAACGAAAAAAGGCTTGTGGCGTTTTGGTGCTGGGCCAGGGGCCCACTTAGGAAAATTATTGAAGTCCGTGATAATTAAATTGTTAATTATTTTTGTGTAATTAACGTTTTTAATATTGCGTTTAAGGGCATGGTTTCAATTATAAAATTGCTCAGCATCATCGAAAAACACTAAATCAACAAAAAATTGCAGAACGATAGAAGGCACGCGAAGCATTTTACGGCTTTCTGAAGAACCGCACAAAATCGACGGGTTTTTAAGTTTCGGTTTGCTATCGGAGCGCATCTCAGCCCCGGCGGCACTGCGCCCCGTGGAGAGATAGTAGGGAGTTTTCGTAGACCGCGTTGCCCCCTCCGCTAAGCGTTCCGCAACGAAGAAGTTGCTACTGCGCCTGCGCGCCGATAGCCTTGACTGTGGAGTTCCCGCTATATCGTAGCGGGTTGCGGAGGGCCTTGCGGGACGGCGAAAACGATCTACGAAAACTCCCTAGTGCGACGAGCCTCTGCTGCGTCGCACGATGACAACGCAGCAGGGGTATTTCAGATAATGAATACAAGATACAGTATCAAATACTCTCGATCAAAAGTATTTGGAAGATACCAAGATACTTCAAAACGTATTTGAAATACAGTGTCTTGAGTAGAGTTTTTGAGATAGGAACAAGTCTCGTTTTTCATGTCGCTTTGACCACAACCCACGCTACCGCGTGAACCAGGCATAATATGTTTGTCGACGTTCATCAGCACCACAGTCCTTCAATCGCTTCCCCGAAGGAGGTCGAACCTCTGGAAGCTCGCTAACGCCAACTAATCACCGACTGCAGGGTTGAAACATACACTGAATAAGCTCAATGCGTTGCGCATTGAGCTTTTCGTAGATGGTTTTCGCCGTCCCGCAACGCTCTCCGCAGCCCGCTTCGATACCCGGAACTCTACGGTCAAGGCCATTGGCGCGCAGGCGCAGTAGCGGCTACTTCGTTGCGAAGGGCTGGGCGGAGGGGGAAACACAGGCTACGAAAACTCCCTAATGTACCATAAATAATAGGGAGTTTTAGAAGACCGTGTTTTCCCCTCCGCTAGCCCTCCGCTACGAAGAAACCGCCACTGCGCCTGCGCGCCGATGGCCTTGGCTGTAGAGTTCCGGGTAGCGGAAGGGCTTAGCGGAGCGGGAAACACGGTCTACTAAAACTCGCTAATAGGGAGTTTTCGTGGATCGTTTCCGCTGTCCCGTAACGCTCTCCACAATCCGCTACGATACCCGGAACTTTACACTCAAAGCCATCGCCACGCCGGCGCAGTGGCGGCTTCTTCGTTGCGGAGGGCTTAGCGGAGGGGAAAACACGGCCTACGAAAACTGCACGTTTGGTGTGCGTCGCGGTGCCGTTTCTTTACGGGCGCTTCATTTTTGGGCGGGCGGGCGTCACTGAAAGGATTGCATGCGGCCAGTCGAAGGCCGGTCGTGATGCCTCCGCCGGCGGGTCTGGCCAGGGGGTTTGGAGACCCCTTGCGTAAAATCATCAACGCCGGTGAGCTTCCTTCTCTTTCGCACGTAACGCCAACACACTTGGATGACGCCAACCCAGCAGTGGGGGCTCGGGCTTAACTAGCATTCTACGGATCATCCATGAGTCTCGAGGTCCGGCCCAACGAACGCCAGCAGTCACTGTGATGGCGTCGAGATAGTTGGCTCCTTTTGCCTCTTTGCACTTTAGCAGAGCGAACAGAGGAGAGAAGCGAGAAACTCGCGTCCCCTCTCCAGTGTCTAAACTGGAGAGAGGTGGACACCGGGGCAGTGCCGGCTTTCGGCCAGGGGCCCTAATCTGGACAGTCGGCGAGAAAGTCGGCGAGAAATCTGGCGGACGCGTGATTGGACAACGCCACACTTGTCCTTGGCGCCGGCCAATCAGAGCCACCGAATTTCTCGCCGACTGTCCAGATTATGGGGCCCCAGGACTATGATTCAACCACGCGCTTTGTGGATCAGGGGGAGCCAATGGAACAGAGCCAAAATTGCCTTGTCACGGTCGATCGTCGTCTTGCTCTTCTTGCTAGAACCGGCCAATACCAATCGTGCACAAAAAAAGAGAAAAGTGCAGGATCACGTTGCATTCTTACTGTACGTGATTGGTTAACCGGTGATAGGAGAGGCGCAGAAACCCGCTAAATCTAACCGGAAAATCTACGTCACGTGTCATAGGGTTACCACCTGCCCGGTTTACGACGAACGTGCTGGATAGCAGGTTGGTTGTCGTTTTTTTCTTTTTGCAGCTATCCGAGCGCTTTTTTTTTTTTCTTTTTTAGAGAGGGAAAAAAGTAAAGGGGGGAGACCCCCGTTTTTAGCCTGCCAACGCAAAAACAAACAAAAAAAACTTTTTTTTTTTTTTTTTTTTTTTTTGCGCAGAGTGCGCGAAATTTGTTGAAGACTTCCAAGTAGAGAAGGCACGCGTGAGCGAGCTTGCTTGAGAAACGACCGTATCGTTCAAAATCTCTAAGCGGGTGCGGCAGCAAGCGAGCAAATGAGAGGGAAATCGGCCTGGTGAAGTTACGGAAATAAAAGAAACCAAAGGGATTTTGTTTTTAACGATTTTTAAGGAGTAGGCGTTTCTCCTCCTCCCCCCCTCTTTCCGCTTGTTTTCTTTTCAGTCACGTACTGTACGTCCGCATGGTGTTACAAAAAAAAAAAAAAAAAATGTACGTATTCATTCATCTCAAATGTCACAAATACAGCGTGGTGGTTACGGGGGAAAAGGAAAGCAACATGAACGCCGGAAATTACGAGAATTAACGGGCGTTCATGCCGTTTTCCTTTATCCCCGCTGTCAAACTCCGTCTTCTTTTTTTTTTTTTTCCTTTTTTTTTTTTAACACGAGCATGTTTTTGAACATGCACCGGCTCTCCGGGAAACGCTGACAGCTGCAGCGAGGGGCAAGAAGCCGTGCACAATGGAAACGGCTTCCTCTTGAGTCATTTTCTCCTTACTGCAGCTGCACAGGATGTGAGTAGCGGCAGGTTGCGGTGCGGGATTTGTTTTTGAAGCTTTACTTTTGACTAAGTGGTACGCATTATGTTATTAAATTCGGTGTTATGTATTCGTGTACTTACATGAGCTATTGTATCTATGTTAATATTTCACGCCGGAAAGCTCGAGTCAAATTAAATTGAATTTGCAAATTAACGACTCCAACACTGCGCCTTTTTATCAATTCATAGCCATTTGTGTTAGAGCGCCCGTTTCCGACATGAGCGGTGTCGCCGTCGACGTTGGCGTAACCGCGCGTTGCATTATGGGAAGTTTCCTCTAATGACGTCACTTGTGAAGTCGCGAGGGAGGAAAAGGTGGTGAGAATTATTTCGCTAAATTTAGCGGAAAAAATTCTCCGCCACATTTAGGGTAAAAAATTCCCCGTTAAAATTAGCGGAAAAAAGTCTTACCTAAATTTAGCGGAAAAATATCCCGCTATTTTTAGCGGAAAAATTTCCCACTAAATTTAGCGAAAAATGTTTCCATCTAAATTTAGCAGAAAATTTTCCCCGCTAAATTTATCCGAAAAATCTTTCACTAAATTTAGCCGAAAACTTTCTCGCTAAGTTTAGCGGAAAACCTTCCCCGCTAAATTTGGCGGAAAAAGCTCCCCGATAAAGTTAGCGGAAAAAAATGCCCAGCTAAATTTAGCAGAAAAAATTCCCGTTAAATTTAGCGCGAACAAGACCCCGCTAAATTTTGCGAAAAAATTTCCCTGCTAAACTTAGCGTCAAATTATTTTCCCGCTAAAGTTAGCGGGGACATTTCTCCTCTACATTTGGCGGAAAATTTTCCTGCTAGATTTAGCGGAGAAATTTTTCTTCTAAATTGAGCGGGGAATTTTTGCCGGCAAATTTAGCGGAACCTTTTCCCCGCTAAATTTGGCAGGGAATCGTTTCGCCATATTTAACGGGAAATGCAGCGAAAATTTCCCGCTAATGGGAGGGGAGCAGGAGAGGAGGAGGGACGGAGGAGGAGCAAATCCTCCCCTCCGTACCCCTCCACCCTCCTCCTCAAGAGCTGCGCTCTAATTCGGCGTTACAGGGAGTTGTAAACGTCTTTAATTTTTTTTTTTTTTTTTTAGTGGAAAAGTTGTAATTTTTTTATTTGCTGATGGCAGTTCGTGCACGCGCTGTGCGTACCAGGCAAACACTCTGAGTCATTAGAGACTTTTACTAGACCATATTTAAGAGTTATTTCAGCCATAGCCTCCTGGGAAAGGTGGAGCGGCAGACAACAAATGAGAGGAGAGCCACGTGACTGGCGCCATGCTGTGGCGAGACGCCGAAACACACTTCTCCTGAGCGAACAAGTGTGTTTCGGGTCCTCGCCGCTGCAAAAGCTCTGCGCTGACGTCCAGGTTCCCCTAAAGCCCCTTTATCGTGGGAAAAGTGGCTCCATACATTGCGGTGGAAATGCTCGACGGGCCGCGCGCCACATCTGGGAAGAACATGGCGTCTGAAATCTAGATAGCGCTGCGCTGTCCCGCCATGATCTTCTTTTTTGTTGTTGTTGTTGTTGTTTTCAATGAAAATTAAGGGAGACTGTAAGTAAAGGCTCGAGTAATTTGTGAATAGCGAGTTCAGTTTTGGATGAATGCATTTTATTACTTTTTACAACACACTCTTCTCTTTTCTTTTTTTCTTCTAGAGCGCGACAATAAACAAACAAAAAAGAACTAAAAGGCACACAGACCGCATCAGCATCTCTACTTTGCGGAGCTGTCACCTATATATCCCACAATCAACTAATCGCAAATGACTTCCTCGAGTTTGTGGTCGGATTCTATGATGGAGGAATTATTCAAAAGATGTCCAAGTGTTTCCACAGTTCTAAGGCGTTAACTTCGCTGCATCTCTCCCTCGCCCTACGCTTCAACCTCTCGCATTGCTCGGGCTTAAAGTAGTTCTTCCAATCACCGACTATCCCCTTGCGCACAAACTCATCGCCGTGCGGCTTTCTTTGTAGATTTCCCACCACGTCCGCGAAAAGAGAAGCCCATCGGGGAATCTGATCTACGGGAATCACCGTCGACACCTGTCGCCTGTAGTCCTTCTCACGCCAGAACAACTCTCGCACGCTGTCCATAGTGGCCGCGTCGAGGATCCTCTCCATGGCAGCAGGATCCTCCCTCAAGCTATCGCCGTAGCAGCTCCCCAAGAAGTCGGCCACCTTCTGCACCCAGAACCGTGTGTCCTGCTTCAGGTCTTCGTAGGTCATCAAAAGGACGTTGGGCTCGTCCCGATGCGGGTACCAGGAGAGCAGATGGTCGAAGTAGTCCCCGAAGTCGACTTGGCCACTCATGAACTGCTCGAAGAACTCGTCGAACGTACCGTCTTCGAACAGGTAAAACGGGAAGAACTTGTGGTGGTGGTAGAAGGACACGCAGCAGTCGTACGGGTTTCTGGCGAGGTAAATGTACTTGGCCTGCTTGGACATGCGGTTCGGGTCGTACAGCATGTGGGTCTTGATGGCACTGCCTGGCCTGACGAGGTCAGCCAAACCTTCTGCGCCCATCCTTTCCAGGAAGGGCATTTTCTTTGCGAAATCCTCAACGGACTCCACGGGTGCACCGTTGGTGTAGATGCTGTACAGGATGGACTGCAACCAGGTCGTGCCGCATTTCGGGTACGTGACGATGAAGACGTCTTCCGGTTGTGGTTCGTAGCTGAGGGCCGACCGAAGGATCTCGTCCGGAAAGTGGGTCGCCGTGTAGTAGCTTCCAACGCTGCGGTACTTTAGCTTCGGCTTCACCTGCATATAGGACGTCATTTTTGATGCAGAAAGTATATTCAATGTTTCATTTATCGAAGGGATGGCGGAGCCTCTGCCACTTAACGTCAGGTACGTTATGGCGACTTGATAGGCATTCTAATTCTTTTAAAAGAAAAGTAGTGGCGCCTGCCCGTCGGCAGGAAGTGCGACAAAAAAAGCTATTGCGCCATTTTTCCTAGGACGGCAAAAAAGGAAAAAGTATTGCAATGGACAATTCGCAGTTTTATTGTAGCTACCGCGGCAGAAATAAACGGACACTGAGCGCATCTACATGCAAGCGACGTAACAATAAAGCTAGGCACGTATAACGGCTTTCACTGTCAGCGTCACGCATCCGTTTCGCAATGTCATCCACCTGTGCCCGCACCTGCAACTGATGATATTTTTGTTTTGTTTATTTATATCAGGTGACCCAGCAGCGTCCATGGCCAGAAATTTACGACAGGCGCTTCTAGTTCACCTCATCATCTCTCTCCACGTGGCGTATGTGCAAATTCCTGCCAAAGCGGAGTGTGTGCCGAGTAAAAAAATAAAAATAAATAAAACAGTACTTGTAAAGATAAAAAAAAAAAATGAAGAGGTAACTTGTGTCTTGCGGTTGCAACAAACTGATAACTTTATCATTCTTTGTTACCACTTCATGGCGATACTGCGTCTAAGGAAGGTACCATCGGAACCTCTAAACGATTTCGCAGCATTCATCGCAAGCATTTATATATTTGTTACAGTTGACTCGGAGCGCGATATAGTTAGATAGCTCCAGATATAACTGCGTTGTGAGTGAGTATAGGGCATAAAACGTACGCTATTATTGGTGGTTGATCCCGTACAGGACGTACCTAAAGATGGAATGTCAACTCATGTTTTTCAGGCAGTCAGTTTTTTACGCGTGTACCTATATCTATTTTCTGTTAAATGCAATATTGTCACAAAAAAAAAAAAAAATAACAATTTAGAACGGGAAATAAAAGTTTATTTCGGCGAAGAGGAACGTGCCACGCGTTTTGCGTCAGCTACGGAAGTGTGACTGACCCGAAGCAGCGCGTCGAGAATGGGCTGGGATTTCTTAGAAGAGTAGAGCATGTATAAAATAAGGATCCGTGCCGAATGGGATTCGAACCCCATTCCTCTGAGTGACCGCCGCATCCGTTGCCACTCCGTCACGCACAGACGCAGCTGATGCGAGCTGATGATGGGACCAAGCGTCAAAAGCACATCGTCATGATGTTTGTCGCGTTTATGTCCGTGTTCTATCTTAACCAATCATAAACAGTACTAAAAGCCCAGCGACTTGCGCTTTTAACCCTGTTTGATCGGCACCATTATCATCGGAAACGTCGGCTTAAAAACTATCGCTTATGCGGCATTTAGACCACGTCCGCATGTCCAACGAGATTAAATTCACTACATCTATAAAATGTATACAGGGTGTTTATTTTAGGCTTTTCACATCCTTTTTTTTTTAATTAGTTAAGGCTACGCTAATGCAGTATAGTTGCCTAAGCTATCGACCAACACAGCGTTTACAAACATGCCCGCCTTTGCCCACCGGGGGAGGGCACTGCGCATGCGCAGAACCCAGATTCGCCCGAGGCGAAGGATCTGCGCATGTGCAGTGCCTACAGCAGTCCCACCGCATCGGCGCGAAGGCATTATATATGGGGCTATATAATCGTCACGGTAAATTGAATAATTAACTAAATTTTGTCGAATAGCTTTAATTTGTAAAAAATAAAACATATATTGTTCAACTTAGAAACTTGCCGAGCAGCATGGGAAACGCGGCGGTGAGCTAAAGTTCCCACTCTTGCAACAGGCGCCAGGCTGACGGTGCGAAAACACGGATGATAATTTCATCATCCGCGTTCAAAATTAAAAACCTTTCTCCGTAAAAAAAGAAAAAAATAATAATTTCGTGCCAAAAAGAAAGAATATATTATTAATTACGCCTATAGACGATTCAACAGAATCAGCTTTATGGGGTTAACAAGGGGACGGTTTCGCGCACCCAGTCGGTGACGTTCGTCTTCCTCACGTTATCATAGTTGGCGTGCGCAACTTAATTTAACAGTCCTGTTTTCTTCCAACGTCATGGTGCGCTCTGATTCTCCTTCAACATTAGAAGCGTGTTCGGAGAAAATTCAGAACTAAATAAGGACAAGAGGATAAATGTCAAACCTAGAAGGAGAAGCTAAACATTTCGACAAAAACCCCGAGACTGGGACAAAAAGGGACGGACAAACACAAAGTCTCAAACACAGCTCAGCTTTTGAGCTGTGTTTGAGACTTTGTGTTTGTACCAGCTCGTTTGCGCCCTTACCTTTTGTTCACTAAGGAGAAGCTATTTTCAACAGCATTCGTGTCTTGTTTAGTGCAAATGTTTAGTCCTGCCCACCATTTTCTTGTGATGAGCTGCCTGGCGCGTGCTCAGGGTGAGCATTCCAAGTATAGTACTCATTAGGTACCATAAAAGGCGTAATGCACAGAAGCATAGAAGAGTCGCCGCTCTGACATGTTGCAACAAAATGGCGGATTGACTTTCTGTGAAAACGGTCAAAAGGCGCTACAATTGTATCACTTGTAAATAAGATCAACAGTTTTACGAAATGCTATTTCACTTCCGGTATACGTATATGGAACTGCGGTGGGCCATTTGGGCATTTTCCCTATTCGTTTCCATGGAAGTGATTATTCATCAGCGTCGTTCTCGGTATAGCCGTATCACAGAAGCATGACGAGTGCGTCCGTTGAAATGCCTGGTTACTTGACTTTTTCCTTCGGGGAAGTCTTCTGAGCGGCTCCGCAAAGGCTATTTCGACCTCCTATTAGACCGTTTCTTGCGCGACATGTTCCAGCTGATGCTCTTCTATGTCGCCGATTGTTCGACCCGCTTCTCCCATTCCTCGCTAAGCTCAGCCTCCATTTGCTCTAGCTTTTCATTTCATTTTCATTTTATTACTTTTAAATCGCCCATTTCTAGGCTTTACGGGGGGGGGGGGGGGGGGGGGGGAGGAAGGTTACAAAACATTAATGAAAACTTACGTCAATACAACACAATTCAACAACTGGCACACAGGTTGTGCGCTTTCAGCGCATTTTTGAAATCATCCATATTTGCTAGAATAACAACGTCATCAGGCAGCTTGTTCCACAGAGCGGTTCACAGGTGCAATGCTGAGTACTTGTATAGGTTTGTTCGCGGCGTGGATAAATGAAGTTTGCAACAATTATCAGTTCGTGGTGATATATATAACCACCCCCTGCAAACAAACAAAAAGAGAGGCCAAGTTTGATACTGCGACAAGTTCGATGCGACCACTTTTTAGAATAAAGTCCCCCCCTCCTCTAAAAGAAAGGTCTGTGGCGAACTTTCCAAGAAATAGAAGGTCACTGCGACCACTCTCCCTATTACGGGTTCACCTAAAACGGGATGCCCTCTTTGGCCAGTTCACCTATGACCAGTTTACCTATTAGCATCCTCGATCATCCGCACCGGTGCGCACCGGGGCACTGAGGTGCGCCCCTTCATCTTCGATCAAGTGCACCGATGCGCACCGGACGTCCTCGATCAAAGAAGCGCACCCTCCCCCCAACGCGCACCAAGAAAATCGGCGGTGCGCCGGGGGGGCAGTCCCATCAGGCATTGCGGCCAGGGGCGGGAATCGAGACGATGCCGGGAGTAGCAGACGCGCAGACTATCGAGATGGCGATCTTGCAAAAACGAACACGCCTCGCAGCTGCACTAGATGATTTCCTCGGGTCTTCTGACGGCAAGACGACGAGCTTCTCACCATCGCCGCGATTACTGGCGATTGCTGCGGTGGCAAGGAACGCCCGAAAAGCACGAACTTCGTGGAAAGCGGCGCGAGGCGTTTCGATGACAGCGAGGTACGGCTATTATCTGGTGTTTCGTTTTCTTGAACCAATAATAGATGGCCAACATATACATGTGAAATTGACACCCGCTTCGTGACCCCATCGACAATCACGTCCACGATGTTTATTTCTGTGGGACCGTCAAATCCGCGAGTAAAAAAATAGAAGACAGACAGCAGACGGGCACCGTGCGCTGACCTACGCAAGAAAAAACGAACAATACGCGAAGTGACGCAAGGTGGAGCTCGCCGCGGTGCACCTGGTGCACCGGCGAGCCTCCCTACACCGGCGCGGCGCTGTTTGTCCTCGATGTTGCACCGACATCGCGCTGCACGACCGAGGAGCGCTGCGCACTGTCCTGCACTTCAGGGCGATTCCGGTGCGAGTTGATCGCTGTGACGATGTGGGCCTGTTACCCGTTTGTGCAATGTGAATGTTCTTGTTATCCCTGCATTGTGCGTCAAGTGGTATCCTTTTCATTTCAGTAGTTGCTTGACCGGCGGGTAGAGGGCGCTGGCGCACTCGCCGCCATTAGGTTGCTTCAATTTGGTCGGTTTCGGTTTCAACGTGCACGCGATTGCGATGCTGTTTCATGCCACTTTCGATTATTTTGCGATATAATTTTTTTTCTTGTAGCACACAGCGAATGAAACAATGGTACTGAACCACTTGGCAAACCACGAAGTGGTTTCGAGCCTAAATTGCAATCTTTTTTTACGAACACTACATGCGTCTGATTCCGTGCATCGTTAATTTCGGCCAGGTTCGGCGGTGGAACAACTGCGCTGATGCACAGGGAAAAGTACCATTGTCCACGGCCGTACCCGCGGACACTAATTCTCAGAAAAAAAAAAAAAAGAGCAGGACAAGCTCCGCCTGCAGCGTGCGCTCGTTGCCTGCCGCCGTGCTTTGGCTGTGCGTGCACCGAGCGGTGCGGAAGGTAGATAGCTGGCGCTCAAGTCAGATATCGAACTGATCATCTTATATTGCAACAGACTATATTGCATGAGTGCTTAGTGAAAAAGCTGGTCGACAACATGATTAACAATCTGCTGAATCACCAAGAACAGATGAACTGACAAGTTTACTGTTCGATGTTTGGTTTCCGTACACCAAGCTTT